GTGGGTTTGAACACCTTATTGTCTGCACAATTTGATTTAGAGGATTCATAGATGGGTCCAGCAGAATTTAAGATCAACTTTTAAGCTGATTTAAATTCAGCTCTAAAATGACACTGAACTTTAACTGACACTTGGCTGCAGAAATGTTGTTTTTCTCAAAGCACTATTATAGTCGCGTTCAATTGTTTGTTTTTCTCATCTCAATAACAAATCAGCAAAGCCGACTGAAATTCCTTTCAAAAAGCTTCATATTTATCCATGTTTTGATTAAGCTATTTTATGCCACCTTAAAGCCATTGAAAAGAAACCCCATAAATAAACATTACAATTAGATACAATGTGTGGAAAAACATAGTCTCTGGCATATTGGAAGGCATTCCTTCAACGTTCCAACACTAACATATTGAGTTATTTTGAATAAGGATAAATTGCTTATTTCTTCCAGTCCCCTTTCATTCCTGCAGCTTCTTTCTGGAAAACATTAAATGCATGTTAATGATCTGAGCCATTTGCCCTTGAATGTATGTCAGACGCACAATAGCCGACAGACATGCTGTCCCCATCACTCTAATGGGGATTCTTGAAGCGCTATGGTTGCTTATAACAGAAACAAAAAAAAGATTCTTGTTATATTGGGCTGAGGCGAGAATGCACAAGATGTTATCATTGATAGCGCAAACCAAACAATGCTCTAATGAGCAACAACTGACATCAAATGTTAGGCACACAGAACCACTTCTATAACTTGATATAAAAAGGATAACAACATCAAGGTCTTCTTAAAGACTAACAAACATTTGATCCGCGATGGAAGTCTTTGCTGAGAACCGAACTCAACATACCTCCCCTCTTCTTCTCTTTTTCCAGCAGCTGTTTTTTTAGTTCCTCGATGTCATTCTTCAATTTGGCATTCTCCACCATCAGTTTCTTCTCTTCTCTGACACTGGCCTGGACGGCTGCAGGAAGGCAAATTCTTGTTACCTCTCAGCACTGGAATTAAATTTCACCATCCCAAAGGACAGTTTTAGAGCTTTCTCTGAACTAGTACAAATATACTGTTGACTAAAATATGATGACTATTAAAATCTAAGCTATGCTTCTTTTTGAGTTAAAGAAACCATGAAATTGTCAACTAATCCAGGATTTGGATTTAAAAAGCCACAAATACATTTAAAGACTCCATTTTACCCTTTAGCTTTATCATTTACACAAATGCACCAGAAATAAAAGCTTTGCTTACTCATTACATTTTGTTAAAATACCACTAGACAGGAGTAGATTTCTGACAATGACAGATGTATAGAGCATCTGTGCATTTTTTATATACTTAATTTAATAAAAAGTAAATGAGAATGCAAATGTCACAAGTGTACGAGATTATATCTATCGCTCTCTCTCTCTATATATATATATAAATGTATATGAATTGAACTTAAATATACCATAGGAAATGATCTCGACTGAAGTACATATACCTTCCCATAATTGCAGCTTCAGGTGTCATTAAACTGCTAGTAAGGCTATGTATAAGCGTTTTAGTGTCTGTGTGTGACTTACTGGCTTTCTCCTTTAGCAGCTGGACTTGTTGTTTCAGGTACTCGATGATCTGGTCAGCCTCGGCCGCTCGCTGCTCCAGCCTCAGCAAAGGATTGTGACTTGACATCTTGATCAAGGAGCGAGCTAAAAACCTAATAGACAAAAAAAGACATGCAGCAATCTTAATACAACAGAATATCAGATAGTAGAACTTGAAAAAATACAATCTGTAGGGGCCACCACAGCAAATTCTGCAATATTTTGGGGGGGGGTCTAATAGATAGTGTATCTTTCCTTTGGTTTTAAATGCAGACAAAGGTTCATGAATCAAGCTTGCACGTACAGTGAATACTTCAGGTTTAGTGGCAATGTAAAAAGAGATGGTATTCTAAAGTACTATGCTGCACATTTACAAAGATACATGTTTGGAGTTACAAGACTTGCATTCCAGTACAACGCCACCACAAACTACAGCCTCCAAAATGACCACAGATTTAAGCCAACTTCTCTCTGACAGTCTCAACAAAAACATTTCCACAAAGGTGGTATGTGTTGCAGGGCTATTCTATTGGACTGTATTACATTGTAGAGGCGTGTCCTTTTTATTGTATAAAATATCATTTTATGTAGCGGCAGAGTTTTAACTGGTTCTTTAGTCGAAACTTTTTTAATTTAAGCAAAGTGCTGCAATATGTCTGACAGGACAATCTTAATCTGTTTTCCATAATGTGCACCCCAGTAGGTATAAACCATGTGATAATGGGATTTTCATGACTGATATATTTTGTCTGGTTGCCCAAAGTGACAAAGGCATGTTGACAGATAATTAGAAGAATGTGTTGAGTGTTGAATTTCAAAAAAACAATTAGACAATAAATCAGCCAATTTCAAACTCATCAAATTTGAGAGTTTGGTGCTACATTTCAACAAGTCAACCCTGGCAAGCCACATTCTTTAATTAATTCCTTCCTGTCTTTCATAGTAACAGCTGCTAAAAAGTAAGAAGTGACATTTCTCCTTTAAACCATAGCATCGACATTATATGTACTCAGTTTTGGAGATTTAGTTTAAAACAGATCAGCCACTCTTGGGCCACCCAACCAAAATACAACTGGACACCAGTTTTGGTTCGGGGTAATGTTTCTTTATCATGTTAAGCTTGGCAAATTACCTCTTGAAGAAAGAGGAAAAGAAGGATTTTTACAAGGCTGAGGCATAGGGAAGAAAACTTCTTACACATATTACAGGGAGGCGCTGGAAAACAACAGCTGGCCCGAGATGAAAACAAAATGTTGGGGGATGAGGAAATTAGAAACACAAAAGAGCTGGAGTTGATAAAATCAAGGATCAAAGCATTGTTTTTAGAGAAACTGAATTGATTTAAACAGGACCAGTGGTGGAGTAATAGCAAGAGCCACAAAAAGGCTGATCTCATTTGGATAACCTCTGAAAATGGGTCCTGGGGCCGAGGTATGGTCCGAAGCATTAAGACATGAAGAGGTCATTTCAGCTTTGGATTTCAGATGGAAAAAGTGTTTACAATGTTAAAGTGATTTGTGCTTTCACCTTCAGGATGTCTAATTTACCAGCTTTCACTGTATAGAAATACAATATCTTTGACTTATTTGCGACTGCATGACTCAAGCAGGTTAACTGTGCTATGGGGGGGGAAGACAACTGGTGCTTTACTGGAGAAGGCATCTGACTACATCCACTATTAGCAAACTCCTAAAAATAGGCATGCCTGGTTTGCTCAGTCATACAGTTCTCAATAGCGCGCCATAACATTTTATATGTACATGTATTTTAAAATTAAATAATGTACACTACACTACACAGGTGGTTTGAATCAAATCTTTAAATGTCTTACTTTTAACCACCAGCTCTCTCTGGTATGGCGGCGCTGTGTGATCAGACCCACCAGGATACAAGTGTTTCCTCTTTTCATGCTCCATTCCCACAGTAAAAATATACTGTAGGAGGATACTTCCCTACCTGTCTGCCAACCAGACCATTATAAATGAAATGAGAATGCAGTATGCCAGCACCACCTGAAGGCATTAGGAGGACCTACACATTTTAAGTCAAAAGTAACTAGGAGCTGTGCAGCCTTCGACACCAGATGCTGTCACTTTCAGGCTATAGATGTACTTGCCCTTTTAATTACTTTTTAAGAATGCACATGCAAAAACAAAAGTGCATATACGAGATAGAAAAAAAAAACAAGCCAAAGAACAAAGTAATAACTGAGTGTTTAACAACGGGGGGTAAATTTGATCACAAATTTAGCAACGGCAACTCTTTCCAAGAATAAATGACTCGAGGTATAGAAGTGAGAACAATATATAACCCCCAAAACACCAACTACTGAGATATAGGAATCAGGTGGGATCATGAGCAGAAATAGTGAGACTCTCCCATGAATAGGGCTGCATTTATCACTTGACTTCATTAAGTACCAGTTCTTTTTTTAAACACTGATTAAAATATAAAATGTCAAGTGCTCATCTCATGTACCCAAAGTGATATTTTCCATCGTCACTGCACAAGGGTATTCAATTTATATGAGTGCTGAAAGGATTGGATCACAGACAGAAAATGATTTGATGGTTATATATACTGTCTGTATAAATAAGTATAAAACAAGCAGGTTACAGTATTATTGAATAGTTGTGATTTATGTATAACGATTTAACAAAATGATTTGCTCCTCAAATGTGATTTTCTCTGTTTTATACCACCTAGTTAGGTTTTTGGTTTTGGGACGGTGGCAACACCAAATACACATTTATAAATTATAAATAAATAATGACATACTCAACAGGTTAATCAATAATAAAAACGATTGTTGGCTGTAGGTGCAGTTACTAACAATGAGCTAAACCAAAGACCACATCATGGAATCATTTGCAACTCACAGTAAACAAACAACAATCTTATTTCATATTGGGGCACTTAACTAGTTATAGTGTTAAAATTAACTGTAATGTTATATTGTGGAGCACGGATTGCTCAACAGTACACTACACATTATTTAACGTTGTCATTTAAATGAGCCATTAGCCGGGTCAGCTCACACACAGCTGGTATCTTCAACGACACTGGGACGAGGAAAATCCACTCAACTTTAGGCTAACTCTCACGTAGCTAGCACTGGTAGCCTACAATGTCGACGGTCGGTGAGACGTTAAATGGTTTACGAGTCGTTAGTTAAAGCCGAGAAATAAAAGACAGAAGCTTTCGAAACTTACATGGACTCTGAGCAAAAAACCCAACACGTTTCAGGGGGGTGGGGGCTATTCCTGCTAACGTTGGCTCAGCTAGCTGACATACAGGCAGCTAGCAGTAAGCCGCAGAGAGGCTGATTCAGGCCCCCGCGGTTAGATCTCTAAGCTATCCGGATATGAAGCCACCCCGTACGTTTTACGTTGGCGTTCGCTAGCCATATGTTCTATAGATCGGATATGTCGCCGAAATACAAGGAGTCAACGGATATTGCCTGTATGTAAGTTCTATAAAGAGAAACTAACTGCTGACAAAAATGCGGAAAATAAATTCAAGGACAACTTTTCCTGCATATTTGGAATAATTCAGATGTTCCACCACCGTGGTTATGCTCTGTTCCTGTGCACTACTTTGTCGCACAAAAACAACGTCGTCGGTCACGTTCACTCAGCTGTTCCCCTCACGTCGCAGAGGCAGGAAAGGAATTCATTTCAAAAATATTTTATTAATAATTTCACGTTTGTTCTGACGTTATGACCCTGCAGACTTCCCATTAAGCGTGAGTACACACACATTTTAAGATGTTATGCACATTACATCACTGGTTTCCTACCCGGGACAATAACACAGTTATTTTTTATAACTTAGCTAGCTTATATATATCTATACACACAGTGGGTTTAACTGCAGCATCACTGTACACACTAACACTGTGTCCTTTGTTTCGGAAGTTAATGTAGCTACAACGATATGGTGTCAATATATTCTACTTACAATGACAGTGTTAACCTGTCAGTTGCTTTAATGATGCTCTTTTCCTCTACGTTTAACTGTGGCTAAACAGTTCACATTCATTGTTGTAACACCTCTGGCTACTGAATGGTATTAATGGGAAATGAATATACCATACTGATAAGCAGAATTCATAGTCCTATATCATTAGATATTATTCATATATTGTATTGAAGACTCTTTCCCAATATCAGTGCTTCAAGCCAGTGGCAACATGAGGCCCCTCAAAGATGCCCAGCTGGGAGCTTTCACCTTCTTTGCCTCAGCTCTCCCTCATGATGTCTGTGGGAGCAATGGCCTCCCTCTTACCCCCAACTCTATCAAGATCCTTGGACGTTTCCAGATCCTCAAGACCGTCACTCACCCCAGACTCTGCCAATATGTGGACATCACCAGAGGGAAACACGGTATAGCTTGCCCTTTATAAGGGGTCTATTGTATATCCTGTCCTCCCATTTTATCCCATTTTATTCTATTTAAGTTTCACTTAGTGATATACTGTCCTTGCTGTTTACTTTCACTGAGCTTATCAAATATTATTTGGGCAATCGAAATATAACATTCTTGATTCCTGGATATTAAAGGTGGGGTCAGTCAGTCTGGATAAAGATTGGTTGTTGTTGTGGTCACCCTGGTAGGTCACCTAGCGGTGCTCGCGCCCCGTGTGCAGAGGCTGGGTCTTGCTGCAGCAGCCATTGGTCTTCCCCTGTCTCTTTCCTCTCACTCTAAAGCTGTCACCATTGATTAAAGGCAACAAAAGCCCCCCAAAATATGAAAAAAACAAACAAAATTGTTTGTTGATTTTCATTCCCATGTTGTCAAACCAAAGCACGATATGGATATTTTTTCAGCCAATACAATAACCAGCTATAATAGTAGTAATAGACATTATCGTGCATCCCTAGTGTCTCTATTGGACAACCTTTAAGGACAAACGTCATCTGTTCTGACGTGTGGCTTACTCTGAGCCACTTTCTTTCACTTTTGTGTGTGAACATTGTGCAGAACTGCATTTTATTGTAGTCCAACACAACAACACCACAAACTACAGGCTATAAAGTTAACATTTCAATCAGTCAGGGCCAGCCATGCAAATTTTGCCACTAAAAATTCTTGAACCTTCAGAAAGTACTACCCTGGGACTAGGGAATGTTTTCTTGATACAAACAAAATTTTGTCCCTGGTTCCTCCGGTCAAATAGGCAGTTTCTGACTTCCTCTTAACGTTCTTGATCCAATGGGAATGTTCCTGCTGTGGAAATACCCTAATACACTCCTCTATGACACACTGTCAAAAATACTTCTCAGGCTATTGTTTTAAAAAATAATTGCATAAAAGTTTAGAGAGCATGCAGCTTTGCCTTTTATTAATCTAGTTAGATTTAGATTAGAACAAGGCCTGCTTTTTCACCTCACTTTTTATTGTGCAGGTTGCATATGTTTATTGTGATTTTGCTTGCTCTATAGAACGGCTGATCGTTGTTGCTGAACACTATGAAAGCTGTTTAAGTGATTTCCAAAAACAGGGGAAAACAGTCAGGTGAGATTATCAATAAAAATCCTCATTAACTATCCAGAAGTAATTAGAGTATATGTAACAAACCTCATTGTTGTATTCTCCCTCACTTTCACTGGTGAGCAGTTATCGTTAAGCCTTATACTGTTGATAAATTCTATTGTATATGACGGCCAGGGAAATAGTATGCATTAACCTTGCCATCTACTGGCAGAGGTTAGGTTTGCATAAAAACAGTGTATTGGAATTTCTAATAGTTGTTAAAAATGTAGATACATTGTTTGTTTTCTCTGACCCAGTCAGCCACTATTTGTGTGTTTTTGTTTATCTTAGCCCAGAGAAGGTGCTGAAGATAGCCTATGAGGTCCTTGAAGGTCTGGAGTTTATGAACAAACATGGTATGGTGCACAGAGCCCTCAGTGCACACAATGTGCTCATGGACTGCAAGGTGAAATTGAGCTATTTTATTTATGTCTATCTTTTACTGGCTGAAAGTCTGTCCAATTAAAAGACAATGAAATGAATCCTTATTGCTTCAATGTAATATTGTCATTCTAAGATGTATTTTTCCTTTGTAGGCAAATGTCAAGCTGGCAAAGTTTGGCCTTTATCACATGACTGATCATGGGGCTGATGTAGATTTTCCCATTGGGTACGTCTTTTTCTCCTCATTCATCACTGAGAAAGGTCCATTAGGGCTTCTCTGGAACTTTTCAACTGGTGGGACTGAGTTATGTGAGCTGTCTGTTCGGGGTCAAAGGTTCTGTTCTGCTGTATCTGTTTGATGTTAGTCAAATCATAAAAAAGGCAATTGACCATAAAATTAATGCATCATGAACCATCCCTTTTCATAGAAACCAGGTTTTGGGGCATCAAAATAGCTTCCTGGTTCAGGAACTGTGACAGATCATTTGACTTTTATCCTAATCCAAAGGCCTTTGTGTTCTACCAAATATTGCTGTGTAATATCCTTTTGCAGATTGAAAAGAGGAATCATGGCACGTACCCACGACTTAAATAAAACATCTGGATGGAAAATGTAATAAATGTAACTGTCAAACAGCGATGCAGAATATTTTGAAGAGCAACTCAATATATATCACGTAATGACAGAAATGTCAGCAGTATTATGACTTTAATTTTTCTCATCAACATAGTATGGAAAGGCGCTCCATAGCTCACTAATGAATGAAAAACTAATGTTTCTGCACTGAGCTGTTAAACCAGCTCAGTTTAATTATATGGAGAATACTGAGTGTCAGCGACAAATGTTATTTAGAGGCTGACAAAGTAATGTGCTTATCTGTTTCGGGATCGCCGCCTCAGGTACCCATCATACCTTGCTCCAGAGGTGATCGCTCAGGGCTCCTTTCACCCCAGTGACTCTTCCCATGATGAAGCTCCTCTGCCCTCAGGACCCAAGACTGATGTCTGGTCTCTTGGGGTTTTGCTCTTTGAATTGTGTGCAGTAAGAATCCTTCATAAACCTCTTTGTACAAGCATGAGATATTTACACAAGATGTTCTGATGCTGTTTGGGTTTTTGCCTCAATTCACTTATGGATCTTAAATTCTAATGCTGGAAATCAATTACAGGGTAGACGACTGCTGCAGAATATTGATATAAGCGAGAGACTGAAATTCATTCTAACTTTGGGTAAGTGTAAAGGAAGTAATTAATTAAAGTACTGAGCAGTATGCTTTTAAACTCAATCAGGCTTACACTGTGATATTTTGTGTCATTCTCAGGTTGCATAGACGACATTGTCACTGTCCTTGCTGAGGAACATGGTTGCTTGGATGCCATTAAGGTAGAGTCAAAATCATTGGCTGCCTTGATCTTCGTCAATGAGATTCTTCATGTATTTTAATTGATTTGATTATTGTCATTGTCATTTTTATGGTTTTATTGTCATAGTTTAAGGAAAGAGCTATTAGGCATTATTGGAAAATTTGTTACAATAAAACCAAACTGCTCAATGCATCAGGGTTAAATAAAGATCTTTGCCTAAATTGAATATCGAAGAGAAAAGAGAGAAATCAGTAAATAGCCAATCAAAAAAGTTTTCTATATTCAGTGCTACTGTTGGCCAAAAGTGTTGACCTTCGATACCCAACCCTGAAACGAATACATTTTGTAGGTGTTTCTAAGAGTTATTCCTAAAGGCTAAATTGTCATTGGTACGTAAGGACAGTCTCACCAATCCCCAGAAATGATTATACACAAATTGAATATTTTCCAGTAAGTTAGTCCCACTAGTAGTTTTGTGTAAGCACGTCCTAATCTTTCTTGACCTTTCGTGAGATTATTGTAAGTTTAAATGGGACCTGTCTGTATTGTTTGTAATGCAGCTAATGTGGTCATTTTTTTACAGGAGCTGCCTGAGAATGTTCTCAAGTTATTAAGGAAATGCTTGACTTTTCTTCCATCCAAAAGGTAAATACAGACTCTGTTGGGTATCATATTTTGTTGGAAAACATTGGTCATGTAGTTTCCAAAACACTTCTCACGCAGGTTAAGAAATACATGCACGTCACAGAGGATTCCAGCATGCCAGAACCAACAAGTGAAATGATACCAAAATAAACAGACTTGCTTGACACTGCAATAAACAGCTTTTATGAGTTTATATAAATAAAGGTTTAATAGAATAAATTCTTCCAACTGAAAGGTCTTTGTGGATATTATATTTTGCTCTGTGTCCTCCAGGCCGACCCCTGCAGAGCTGCTGGGAGACCCTGTGTTTAATGGCGTCTCCTGCCTCTACACGCCCTTCCAGAAGCCTGGTAGCCTGTTCTCTTCTTCCCTGCGCTGTGCACATCTGGAGCTCCCAGAAGACATCAGTGACCTTTGCAAAGGTTTGGCACAACTACACATAATTTTACATGCAGCCTTATACAGACTCACACCACATACACACCAATCACTCAGTCAAACCTTCGTCCTATGGACTAAAAACTTAAAATATAATTCTTAAAGCTGAATTGATTATCTTCAAGTAGCTGTAATTAAGCATGCCGGCATCAATATTAATAACAGTAGCAGATAGATAGAAGTATTTAGTGTCAAGAAGAGAGTTAAAGTATCTAATTGACCTGTCCTGTGAGAATTTTCTTTGATATTTAAGTTTTTCGTGTTCTTGAAGGAATAGTTTTGTCCTCTTTTTATTCTGAGCAAAAGACCATAAAATAATTGCACAAATTTCAATATCAGTCAGTTCCTTTTGACAGCCTAATTTGTATTCTTGTACATATACTCCTACCTCTTATTTCTGCCAATTGCACATCATTTCCCAATTTTTCTGTGAAATATACTATATGTGAAACCCATCTGAAAATAAACAGGCCTAGGACAGGTGAACGTAAAACACACACAGGGGACTTATCTGTGGATTGGGATACATTTATTTTTTTTTAGTTCAACAAGATTTTTTGCTCCTCTGTGTGTTAATGGCAAATAATTGTGCAGTGACTTCACAGAGACAAGCACTTCACATTGAACACCATGTTGACAGCACAAATTAAAATTAAAATTTCCTCTGTGCTCCTTAATTTTGGAAGATATTTTCTAAGATTTGTTGCTGTTGTTGGCCAGATGAAATCACATATGTCTAATTTCTTAACCCAAACAATATCCCATTGCCATACGAGTAAACATGTCAGACTGTAGGGAGATGATACCGGACTTACTAATGGAGTAATCATTTGACTGTCTGTGCTGCAGCCCCTCCTGTGCCAACTGTTTTTGTGTGTGTGTGTGTGTGTGTGTGTGTGTGTGTGTGTGTTATTAGACGATGATGAAGACTACCTGTCAGAGCGGGCCATAGATGAGGTGTACCATCTGTGGTGTCTGGCGGGGGGAGACCTGGAGAAAGAGCTGACCAACAAGGAGATCATACAGTCCAAACCTCCAATCTGCACCCTGCCTAAGTACATCTCACACACACACACACGCACACTTGCACACTTGCATTGATGAAGGCATTTGTTAGTGTTGGATAATATTCAGACTTGTTAAAATCTCTCTCTCTTTCTCTGTTTTCTTTAGTTTTGTCATGGAAGACGGGGAATCATTTGGCCAGGGAAGGGATCGGAGTTTCTTGCTTGACGACACCACAGTGACACTGTCTCTGTGCCAACTCAGAAATGTAAAATAACAAACTTGCCAGCAGACAAACATGCAGTATTGTGTCAATTAATGTACTCTGCATTCTAATTTCCACTATCAGAACTGATGACCAAACAATTTTACCATCATTTGTATTAGTAAGTGCTTGTTCATCACATTAGCTGACAGAACTGTGCCATAAACAATGCATCATGTATATTTTATTTTGTTAAATGTACCTTGTTGATCCATGATGGTGACAAAAACACGTGGGTAATACGTAAATCTGGGTGTCTTATTTATGTAAGCATTTTAGAAAATACACTTTTTGAACCACATACAACCTTTAATTGTGAATCCACTTTATTTTTTTAAGCTTCTCTCTTCCTTTTTCAGAGACTCAAGGATGTAGCAGGAGAAGCCTATTACCCTCTACTGGAAGACGAGTAAGCAATCTCTATCCTGAACTTGCCTCTCTTCCCCTGTCACTATTTTTCACATCACCACATCATTTATTTTGGCTTGGGTAATGTCATATTGCTTTTACTTCTCCCTTCTTTAGACAGTCAAGTTTGCCCCAGTCCAACAGCAGCAATGAGCTGTCGGCCACCGTCACGCTGCCGCTCATCATCCGCGAGAGAGACACCGAGTACCAACTCATCCGCATCATCCTTTTTGACAGGCTGCTCAAGGTCTGGGCTCCATACTAATTCATATGTATATACACACGTGCACACATGGGGAGCGACTGATGGGATGCTGCACACATGAGAATGTCTTTCCCAATTAGACAGAGTCCCTGAATATGAGCCTGCTGATGATTTCAACTCAAATATTATTTCCTCTAATTGTAATAACGGTTTATTGTTGATTTATTTCTGGATAATATATTCTCTGTTTAATGTTTTGTATTCAGGCCTATCCTTACAAGAAGAACCTAGTGTGGAAAGAGGCCAGAGTGGATATTCCCCCTCTTATTCGAGGCCTGGCGTGGGCAGCACTGCTGGGCATTGAGGTACAAGAGGAATTGTAGTCCTGCAGTGACAAAAGGTGCAGTTTTAACATTGTTTTGGACACTCATCTTTCTTTTTCTTTGTTCTTCATTTTTACACAGGGAGACATTCAAGCCAAATACGAGAGCATTGACAAAGATACTCCTATACCAACTGACAGACAGGTAACTTATTTGTTTAAAACTATAGAGCAGTGTTGAGTCGTATAACTCTTCTTTAAAATAATTCTAGCTTTATTCTTTTGTTGGGTGACTTTTTGTGCATGTGTACAGATTGAGGTGGACATCCCACGCTGCCACCAGTACGATGAGCTGTTGTCATCTCCTCAGGGCCACATCAAGTTCAGACGTGTGTTGAAAGCCTGGGTGGTCTCCCACCCTGACCTGGTCTACTGGCAGGGTCAGTCACTCCCTGTATATTTCTTTTTCCGTTTCAATGGGTGTTTCTCTTACGTTTCCTTCTCCTTTTTTGCTTCTTCATTTTTTTTCGCTCTCTCCCTCGTTTGCACTGTTCCTGATAGCACTAAACATGACTGGACACTAGATGGTGCTCATGTCACATGTTTTATTTTCATCATTTCAGGTTTGGATTCACTTTGTGCCCCATTCCTCTACTTGAATTTCAATAATGAAGGTAAGAATTTTGATTCTAATCTCACTTGTTGATTGTTTTATTTTTTCTACCATCCTTTTTTTGTTGTGTTGTCTTCTTTTCATACTTATATCTCTCTATTACAGCCCTGGCATATGCCTGCATGTCTGCCTTCATCCCCAAATACTTGTACAACTTTTTCCTGAAGGACAACTCTCATGTGATTCAAGGTAAGATATACTAGAAAAATATGTGTGTGTTTGTGTTGTGTGTGTGTGGAGAAGTTAGAATGCTCTGCTGTGTTTGCACAGTAATACAGTATTGTGATCTCAAACATATTTTTTCCCCTGATTGTAATATATATTACACTCTCATAAATGTCTTATTTTTCTATATTACTTGTTTCGACTTCAGCCAGCCCGTGTTTTTGAAATAATGTACTCAACTGCCACTGCAAGTTAAGTAATAAGTATTAAACATGGTCAGAGCACTCCGCTAAGTTCAAAAACAAATTATCATCAGCTGGCACAGAGCATCAGGCCGTCAGCTCAATGTTGATTAAATTTTGGCTCCATGTTGTTCCTAAGCTGTGAAAACTAATTTCAGTCTGTTGTAATGGAGTTTGCAGCTGAGCCACATCATTTAGAGATAGGGAAACAAATGAAACTGCAAAAGCCTGCAGAGAAATGTCGCAAGCAATTCTTACGTGACTGATAAACAGTGACACCATACACCTCTTGAACTCTGTGGGGAATGTGGCTATTATCCTCCTTTCCACCGCTAGATGCCCTGGAGAGCTCACTAATGTTTATCTGTCTGGTCAGAGCTCCTTTTGTTGACTTACAGTGTGAGGAATGGTGGCAGCACAGCATTATACTGTATGCGTTACACTGCATGCCTTTCCATTCAACATGTACATAAGTTAATTTACAAGGTTGCAGACTGGATCAGCAGGCTACCTGATACAGTTTGGGAATTCTATCTCTTTTTTATCATTAAAAACACAGACAACAACAGTCCAAAATTTTCCACTCCTATTTGCAGTTTTTTTTATTATAAGGTAACAAATAGTTTACAGAAAATATGTGAATTACAAGTTCTCATTGCCTGATGACGGATTTACTAAATCCAATCATCATTAGATACGTTTGTGTATGTTTATGTATTGTGTAATACCTCTTGCGTTCTTACTGTTGACTGTAAAATCTTTACCATTCAAGGTTTTTAGCACTCAAGATACACAATAGCTTATACCTTTCGCCCTTTTGCCTGTGTTTCAGAGTATTTGACTGTCTTCTCCCAAATGATTGCCTTCCATGACCCAGAGCTAAGCAACCATCTAAATGAGATTGGCTTCATCCCAGACGTAAGTTACTAAGAGTGCAAGTGCCCTGACACATTAATGACAATAGGCAGCTGTACTGGGATAACAACATTGTCTTCTATTGCAAGTTTCCTTTAGTGGGAGGTCAAAGAAATTATTCCAGTGTCTGGCTTTACACCTGGAGAAAACGACCCCTGGCTATCCATAGATCACTGTGTATATCTTATCATTGTCATTGACATTTTTTGTTCTACAGCCTTCTTTCCAGAACTTGTGGCGAGGGTCAAGTTTTCCCTATAGACCACTGGTGATGATTTATACAGCGACTAATGTCTGCTAGGCACACTTAATAATTGTCCTCTGCCAGGCTTACCTTATTTCTCTTACTCTGTGCCACCTTTTCCTGCCCTTCGCTTACTTCTTTACAGCTCTGCTCAGACAGTGACAAGGTTAACGTCTCTACTGTCTCTCTGGGGTTTCAGTTAGTGTGCTGATGAATGTGTGTCACCTGTGGACCGGCCTCTGGGACATTACCCAATGAAAAGTGGGGTCTTTATCATACAGGAGTCAGGGATTGAAGCGTCCTTCTCATTGCAGTTTCTGATGCTGCAGTTCCTTTTCTAAAGCGGTGCAAGTGAAGCACAGAACTCTCTGTGAACTGTGATTACGGCTGATGGTCATAATTTAAAGTGTGTGGGGAAAAATAAATAATATATGCACTAATGTTGTCTGTAGGTGTTTTTTTAGGTGCTTTTTTTTTTTTTTTTTTAAACAAAGATTTATCTTGAGCAGGTGTCCCATTGAGATTCAACCATTGTTCAGACTTGGCTCTTCAAAGAAGAAGCATGCCCTCATGATGCTGACTTGACACTTACTGCATGTACATAACTACTAGCATTGACTTGCCTTTCAAAGGAGACTTTGTATGCCTGTTTTCATTGTTAGGTCAGGATAATATTGGAACAAGCTTTGTTGTTACAGCTTTCATTCTTGATGTCAATCCCAGTAATTAGACTTTACAGACGATAAATCCCCTTTTTTTTTACTGTGAACTTCAGAGAACACTCTGAACTGTTGTTTTACTGAGGAAATAAATCCATTGGCCCTAAAAGACCAAATGTCACTGCAGTATGAAATGGATTTGATATTCCCATATATGTATACCAAAACAGGGCTAGCTTAATGCAGTTCGTCTTCCAGAAAAAGACAAATCTTGTGAAAGCATGCAGAAACCACAAGTAATCTTTGGAAATGCTGTGGTGTTCAAGGACTCCGCTCTGGTAATGCCTTAAGCCATAAGCAGAGAGTCAGATTGCATGTGGCCAGCGGTTTAATTCAGGCCATTTTCAATTTGGCCACATCTCCCCTCCTGGGTTTGCGATTTACACCTACACTAATCCAATCTGGCTGGACTCGCAGTGCTGCTGCCGAGCAGCTGAAATTGAAGCTGGGACTCGGAGTGCAGTGGCTCCCTCTCAAGCTCATCACTCCCGGGCACAGACAAGGCCTACTGAACAGTCACCAGCTCCCCCACAATTAGCTATCAATTAACTGGCAGAGATAAGTTCCAGTATTCCTGCACTCTCTGCTCCAGACCCCTCGCTACTGAATGTTACAGAGCCCCAGTGATGGTGGCCAGCAATTGGCAGGTGTTGTAACGGGTGGTAAATTGTGTGTGTGTATGTGTGTGTGTCAGTATGTGAGTGTGTGCGCATACTTTAATTTCAATTTTATGCATTTCCTCCTGAGAAAGTGTGGAATGGAGAGAGAGAGAGAGAAGTAGGAGAGAAAATAAGGCTGGATGACAAGATTGGTGTAATGAGATTCATTGTTAGCTTTCTCCCCATTGACTAATAACCAAACTCGGCAGTTTGTTCTTTATTGCGCTTCTGTTTCTCAGAGGACATAGATATGTGCAGCCATGTGTCTTAAAGACAGAAATCTCTATAGTGAGACAGCAGTTCATTCATTTTATTTGAGCTCTTAGCAATTTGTTTCCACATACTGAATATTACATACAAATGAATGCTCCATTATCTCATAAATGTGCTAATACCCTGTGTCTCTTTTTTTCTTATCATGCAGCTTTATGCTATTCCATGGTTCCTGACCATGTTTACACGTAAGTAGCTTTTCTTTGTAGTCACAATGTGTATGTGATGTGGCTCCGTGCGTAATCCAAAACTTTCAGAGGGTATTTTAAGTCCACTTCAATTAGAGTATCAATAAAAGAGAGAAAAGGTCAGTGGCTTCAGTATAGACGGGTCCTGTAGCTTTTCTGTGTTTTTTTCTCTTGGTGACCTTTATTCCAACTGCTAATTAATTCCAGTCCTAAAGGGAAAGGACTCGACCACTCAGTCCTAAACTACCTCAGATTGTCACCAGCACACTCTTTATTTATCTTTGGTTTTTTATTTTATATTTATTAATTTAAAAATCTGAACATAAAGCTGATAAGACAGCTGCCCGCAGCAATGTTTCTCCTCCATGTGGGAAAAGATCAGACAGCCAAGGACCAGCCACAAAGATCACAAATATTATGACAAAAAAATCTCAACTAAGGTCCACTTACTGCCTTTTCAGAGCTTCTTACTGTCTATATGGAGAGATGGAGCTCTGTTGTCATTGATGATAACAGGATACATGACAACGGACACGAAAGACAAATTCATGTTTCAAATTCAGTCGATTGAGTTGACTTTGCAACTAAGAGGCTTTAAAACCAGTGGCAAAAGTAGCTAATTAAATTTAATCAAGTACAGTACTTACAGGCAATAGCCTGTTTCTGCTCTTTCATAATTCTACTTGACTACATTTCTTAAGATATATTGCAGTTTTTACTTACATTTCCATCTACAGCTGGAGTAGATGGATGGAGTAGACTTGTTAGATGTTACATTCAATACATATGATCATCTTCTAACATATGATGCATTGTTATAGACTTATCTTCCCACAAGTACTCAGTATTAAGTATCTGTTACATGTTAATGCATCAATAACAATGATCCAATAATGAAATAACAGAGACGGGGGACATTCTTAGGTACTTTTTGTTGCCAATACTTATATACTGTACAATTACAAACAAATTTAATGCAGGACTTGTATTGTACTTACAATGGAGTATTTTATAGTGCAGTGCTTTTTCTTAAAAGGTCCAGTGTGTAAGTTTTAGTGGCATCTAGTGGTGTAGTTGCAGATCGCAACTCACTGGCTTCACACTCACTTTCCAAGCGTGAGGGAGAAACTATGGTGGCTGCAAAAAAAAAATAAAATAAAATAAAATAAAAAACATGAATGGCCCTTTCTAAAGCCAGTGTTCTGTTTGTCCCTTTGGGGCTACTGTTGAAATATGGCGGGTCAGTATGGAAGGTGACCCACGGCATCTGTAGATAAAAACAGCTCATTCTAAGGTAACTAAAACACAATGATTTTCAGGTTCTTATTTTCAGGTCATTATATGCTAATGAAAACTTAATGAATATTATATTCCATTTCTGCCAATAGATGCTCCTAAATGTTTCACACTGGACGTTTGAATTTAACTGTCTGCATACTTCTTCCACTATTATTTTAAAATAAAATGGTGTCTTTTGAGACTGCTTAAATGAAAGTAAGTAATGTAATTCCCATATAATGTAATGCACCTGTAGTTTTTGCGAGATTTTGCCCCAAATCCCAAAATGCGAGCCAGAAGTAGATGGTGGACATTATACTGTAGTTCTTAAAAGGCAAAGGTATTTTGTACTAAACAGAGCAGCAGAACTGAGCTGTAGACTTTACAGGCTTATTATAGCGCTCCCTGTGGGCCAGTCTGCACCATTTTCTGCATCTAAATAGTGACTCACCAACCTATTATGCACCAAATTAGAAATTTAACACCCGATTGTGCCTATGGTATTTAAAAAAAAAAAAAAAAACAGTATATAAGCCATTGTAGGTATTTGGATGGCTATCACACAGCTATTTCAACAATATTGATTACATTGTTAGGATTTAACAGTCAGCTGAAAATACACAATTAATGTATTCTAGCCTGCAGTTCATGTAAAGTTTTTTGAGACAGTAGTAAAAAGTATGTTTAGATCCATTGGTAGGATGTGGCAGACAAAATCCATTCCAGGCGATCAATTCTAGGATGGTAAAAATAAAAAGCCTTTGATAAATATGGATTTAATACATTATAAAAATACATCAGCACTTATCAGCAAGCTTGCCTTCCTCAGGAGAACCTTGAGGAGGGTGCGATGTATTTTTATAACTTGCCCATATTTATTAAAGACTTTATTTTTATTATGTTGAGTACTCTAAATTGGATTTGCATACCACAACTTATCCATGAATTTTTAGCCTTTTTAATGTACCCGTGGATGTTGTGGTCATGATAAACACTCCTGCTGCTAGTTTAAAAGCTTTATAAAAAAATCTAAAATATCAGAGGAGCTCATTCACTAAGGCGAGATTCATACAGGGTTGCACACAATAAGCAAAAAGTATCTCTCTAATACAATCCATCACAGTAGCCCTGCATTAACTGCTACCTTTGTGAATCTTGAAATGTTCAGCTTCTGTGGAGACTTACAAGCTTGTATTGTGAGAGTGCTGAAAAGTGTTGATTCAATTAGGTTTTTTTTATGATGTTAAATTGGACTGCATTATATTGTATGGGCAGGGAATAACATAATTAGAGTTACTGCTGTTCTGTAATAATGTCTACTTGTTTGAGATGCTATGTGAAAAATTTGCTGAAGATAGAATCATCAATCTAGTACATTCAGATTATATGTTACTGGGCAAAATGTAGATTTACCAAATGTAAAATGACTTAAATCTGGGCATTTTTTTTTTGATTTTGTTTAGCCTGTGTACCAGCTGAGATTGTGAATTATGTAATTAAGTTTGACAGCTGTGAGCCATATGCTTTCTGAGTTCTGCAGAGTTTTAGCAGAACTACTGAATAAGAATCTCAACAAAGTTTCCAGCACTACTGTACTTGGATCTCTATGGAGAATGTCACAGATTCCAGCAATAATTGCAGGTTTATTTGCTGAACAGTCTTAATCTAAATATGGTTGTTGATTCCAGTTAGCGCCATGTATGAGACCTTTCACCTTCTGTGCTGCAGAAACATAGAAGGTTTTAATTTGGCTCCTTTTCAGCAGCAGTTTGTCAGTTGATGGCAGCATTACACTTTTATCTTTCCACAGAGCACACTTGGAGCTCTGAAATATGAGCCTATTAGCAGGGTCACAGATTATTGTTACAAATTAAATTATATGCAATTAACCTATGTGTCTTCTAGGTACATCCTCATCATACAGTACAACTGTTTGAATAACTTTTTGCCTTCTTGATAGAATTTTAGATAGTTACATTAAAACTTGGCTAGTCTGCAGACTCGTACAGACAGAACGCAACCTGTGATTTATATTAATTGTAGCCAAATTGATCGGGAGCCCTCACTTTGCAGTGGGATATTTCATTCTTCAGTTACACACACACACACACACACACACACACACACACACACACACACACACACACACACACACAGACAGAGACCACTCCTGGGGTGGAGAGTGTGAGCTGTGACCCTTTTACCCCTTATCCTCCCCCCGAGGCAGTGTGTGAGTCCAGTATTCAGGAGATGTGCCCCTCTGACTGCTAATGTCCCCAATCCAATATGAGACAAGGTTGGAGGGTCATCTTCAATTCACACACAGACACACACAAACTCTCAGACACACTACCTGTCACTCACATGCACCGGTCTGCTCAGCTGACTGCTAATGTGGCACAAACCCTCCAAGGCATTTTCTCACCACTCTTGCTCTCTCAGCCTCACCACAGTCACTCTCTGCCCACACGCACGTCTACTGCCTTGCATCCCCCGTAATAAACCCCCGACATGATATAAACAGGTGGACAGTACTGGTTCTCATGCATAAATCTCAACAGGAAGGAAACATTAAATTTTAGCATACTGATGGTAATATGACTGAAATAATGGCTGCAGTGGGACACATTATCAGGATGTGGTTTTATTTGGCATGAAACAACCTGTGCAGGTTCCTTGCTCTGAAGCTCTTCAGCCCCCTGATGTTCTTCCTGTCATTTTTCCATAACAACACCCACCTAAAAACATTTTCCCAGCTGCCTCCCCCACATCAAAAATCCCTCCAGGCAACCTTGCCAATGCACAGAATTGCTTAGTGAGCTTCCTATTTTAAAGCCATAGTCATGTTAAGTAAATGCTCTATGCACATGCAAATCATGCTCATTATATCCAAAACTGATTCCCCCTTTCTCACTGTTGGACAATAGCGCATATTATGCGCTATTGTCCTGCTTGCAGGATCTTATAGTGCCTCCCTCGAGGGATTTGTCTTTTCAGACATTTAGTTGTCTCAGTATTCAGTCATTTTTGTAAAATCTCCCCTTTTTTGTGTTTATTTCTGTACAGATGTGTTTCCACTGCACAAGATCTTCCACCTGTGGGACACGCTACTGCTGGGTAACTCCTCTTTCCCCTTCTGTATCGGCGTTGCCATATTGCAGCAGCTCAGGGATCGTCTCCTGGCTAATGGCTTCAATGAATGCATCCTACTCTTCTCTGACCTGCCAGGTGAGAGCTGGTATTTGTTTTTGTAAATGTTTTGTCTTCTCTTCATCTCTCTCACAGGTGAATTCCATACTCTGGCCAGGCCAAATGTTACTTGATAATAAACAACGGCCTAACAGCAATTTTAATTATTTATTTTGTGAAATACACACTGAAACGAAACCTGACTCAAAGGTTGTCCGTCCATATCAGCAAATGCCATTTGCAGGAGGCTGTTTTTACCTCAGAGTACTTATGTGTGCTGATGTGTTTGAGTTAATGATATCCTCAAAGCAGGCAGCTCTGCACTCCTACACAGACATACTCCCTCCTTGATGTGCTCTAGGCGTACCACGCTTTGCTCTGCATCTGTTGAGCAGTCAACCTGCTGCACCCTGGGAATTGTATGCTGCAGCAATCACAACCTCTGTGGTTCTCCAGCATTCCCATCACTTATCATCTTCATTCAGAGTTATCTTTAGTCCATCTTTAATCTGTGTAGACTGTATAGCCAGTTGTAAGTTGTTGCTATTGGGTTCTGCAGCGCCATCGGGCATGAATGGAGAGATTAATTGCCACTTTGAACCACATATGCAGGATTACGCATGCACGAAAAGGAGATAGACATAGACTGACAGAAATAAATAAAGCCAATGGTTAGCATGGGTATGTGAGGCTAGCAGGCTGCCTGGAGCAGTGATCTGCTTTGCAAATACAAAGGTACTGAGATTTGTATTAAAAACTGCACTAACATAGGCAGTGGTGGTATGGGGTGTGAACTGGCACTGGCAGGGGAAAAAAGGGTGTACTCTAGCATAAGAAGCATCACATGCCATATACCTGCCTCTGTTTTATTTAATTTTTTTTTTCCCGCACTCATTACAAATAATGACTCACAATGCAAATTATAGTTTTTTAACTTCTCATTATACCATCTGTGTGAAATGTTACCATGTGTGCAAAAAGGAGGTGTGGAAGGGGTGGCGGTGGCAAATTTGGAATATAGTCTTTAAACTCAGCAATATGGTTGTTGATCCTTGTAGGCTTCAGTGCATTACAGGCAAGTGGAGTCATTTTGGCTCCTTTCTTATGTAAGACACAGGAGGAGGGCCGACAAATCAAGGAGGGATTCTGTGGCTTGATTCTAATCATACAAGCCTGGTGAGAATTTATACTTATTAGCTTTGCTCTGTTGGTTACATATATTTGTTAAGCACTGACTGACTTCTAGTCCACGTTTTTAAAGTAGTATAGGCAGACACTTACACATTGCCCCAGGGACTCTGATGTTTTTGTTGACTGCATATGCCACCCAGAGTGAAGACTCCTAACAGTGTCTGTTAATACGTGGCCTCTTTACTGCTCCTTTTCAGTTACACAAAGCGGTTACTTCAGTAGAGTATCGGCGACATAAAATCCGAGAGCGGCATTTATAATGTATGTCTTCAGAATGTACCTTAAGCCTAGGGGATTGCTCAAAGAATTTCACTTTAAAACTCTATTTCCAAATGCTGCTTAGCCCTCTTTTTTTCTTGCTGAAAGGCAGAATGACATTGGGGTTTTAAAACCAGCGGAGACAGGGACGATTTGTCCAAAAGGGATGCTGGAGCTCTCTGTAAACTAAGGCCAGCAGCCTCCCCTTCTGCCTAAATTCAGTGTTGCCATACTTCACTGTGTTTTACTGCCCAAGTCCAACAGATTCATGTGATGAGGCGGAAGGGAAGAGGAGAGCCAGTTCTCCTTATAAAGGTAAAATATGTTGGCCTAGAGCTGCACTCAGCTTCTTTGGCATGATTTCCTGAGAGTGGCTTCCACTGCCAGCTTGTTTCTGTTTATCACTGCCAGCCTCATTATCGCAGCTTGTGTATACCTGGGTAGTTACAGTGTAGTATCTGGCACTCTCTCCAAACTATATTAGGAATGAATTCTGGGCTGTAGACCGACCTCAAACAGGACTTGTTTACTTTAGCTTCTAGCCATGTTCTGGTCCACACTCAAGATAGTTTTATATAACCTGTTACAGAAATGGAATGCTAAACCAATCAAATACCAAACATTTTGACACAATAGTTATCACCTCTACTAAATGACAGTAGAGGCTTATTGGCTTGGAATGTGCAGGGTTTGTTTTTTTTAAGCCATGTTTGCAGAATGGCCCTAGAGATGGCAATGTCGCTCTATATGTCAGTTGTTCCATCACAGTGGTCCAGACTGTAATATCCCAACAACTCATCAGAATCATAATCAGGGTTTATTTCCAAGTAGATTTCACATTGAATGTAATATTTCTGAAGTAAAATGTCTGAAAAAACACTAGACCTATGTTATATATTTTGTTGAGTTGTCCCAAATGTTTCCCAATCTGGCAATCTGTAGTTTTATTCATGTAACTGTGTGTTTCCCTGGTCGCCTGTCAATAGCATCATATCCCCTTTGCCCATGCTTTTTACTTGTCTGCCAGAAGCTGTCATAAATGTACTTTTTATCCAGTTTTAAGTCACATATGTATGATACACTTTTTAGATCTTGGTCGTTTCTAACTATATATTTTAACCAGATGAAGGATTTTAGTCATTGGATGTCTGGGTCTTAAGTTATCAGAGAAACGAGCTGAACTAACAGATTAACAGCAGCTCGACTGGCAAGTCGTCTGGGGCGCCAAATAGACCTCTGTGGGTATTTCAGCTCTTGGTAGAAACCTCCTGAACAATGAACACTGACGGAGTCCCAACCGGGAGAAGCTGACTCCAGTGACAACAGTGGTGGTGTAGACAACAACTCCCATGACCCCACGTTACTTCACAACGTCAGCAGACTTTGTCGTTATTGTTGTAATGTGAGAGACCCCCTAGCGGCAGAAATCACATATTGTAAATTTAAAGGAATTTGTATATTAGTGCATAAACATATTAAAAGAAAAATATAAATAAAGATGAAAGTACTGCAAGTCCGGAAGCTTAAATAGAAAATAGACAATAACATACAAAAATATAAAGACATTATTTTGAGATCCCTGCTTTATTGGACAGTGACAGTTGGAGAGAGACCGGAAATCCAGGGGAGAGGGAGAGGGGAAGACACGCACCAAAGGACACTCTACCAGGCTAGCCACCGGGCGCCCCCCGTTCCGGGTCTTATTGATGTGGCCAGCTGCAGGTTGAAAGAAAGTTTTCTTACAGCGTTACGTTTTTGTCCTGGCTGCTTTAGCCTCCTGCTGGCGGGAAGTGTCTCAAAAAGTTTGTGCCTTGTTGTAATAGCCTGGGTCCTGGAGAGATAGCGGACTGCAGCCGGTCACCTTCTCGGCAGAGCGAATGTTACACTACAATCTGCCCTTGTCCTTGGCAGTGGCAGCAGGGTACCAGATGGTGATGGAGGAGGTGAGGATGGACTCGGAGATGGCAGTGTAGAGGTGCACCATCATTATTTTTGGCAGGTTGAACTTCTTCAGCTGCCACAGTAGTACATCCTCAGCTGTGCTTTTTATTTTGGTGAGGGAGCTGATGTTCAACCCAGGAAGCTGAAAAACTCCACAGTGTTGAGTGTTGGGCCGGGAGTCTGTGACATGTTTCCCCAGCTTCACGTGCTGCTTCCTGTTAGACAGAAAGTCTTTGATCCACCTGCAGGTGGAGTCAGGCACTCTCAGCTGGGACAGCTCGTCCTGTAGCAGAGCCAGCATGATCAAAGGCAGAGCTAAAGTCCATAAACAGGATCCTGGCATAGGTTCCAGAGAAGCCTAGGTCCTGGAGGATAAAGTGGAGGGCAATGTTTATGACATACCTTTGGGCTTTGTAGGTGAACTACAGGGCTCCAGGGGTGGGTCAGTGATGGCTTTGAGGTGGGACAGCACAAGGCGCTCAGATTGTGGATGGATTGCCATGAGGGTTTGTACAGACATGTGTGGTTCCCAAAGGATGACGCATACTGACTTTGGTGATTCCCTGACTTTTCTATTAGCACCACCTATTAGCACCGCCATCAGTTTGAAGTTTGATTTGCTTCATGACCAAATTACTGCAAAAGTAGTGATATTCTCAGCTGCTTCAGTTGTACTTTATTTTAGCACAACAACATGCTAAACTAATATGGTGACCATGTTACACATTACATTTGCTAAACAGCAGCATGTTAGCATTGTCATGTGAGCATATTATGCTGATGTTAGCTCAAAGCACCACTAAGTACAACTCCACAGAGCAAGTGACCTGTGTTGTTATGAGCATTTATACTTGCTCACTGGTGTGTCTGCGTTGCTGCATGTGTCAGTACATATGCCATATCCACGGTGTCGCTTCAAATGAGTAAGTAAATAAATCAGGCTTTAGTCTTGTTTCTCTACAGTGAAGCCCACAAGTGGCATGCCAGACTACCACAGTGCCTTAACCTCTTAACCTACAGTATAGTCTCTATCTAACCCTTTTTTTTTTAACAGTTTAGTGCTAAATATTTTGGTTATTCATAGATGCAAATGTATAGGAACCAAAAGTAAACATGGGTTGGGCCTTGTTAAAAAAGTAAGATATATAATTTTTTATAGCTCTTGTCAGCCCTGTCAGGCAAGTTTTTGAAAGTCAGTATATATGTGCTCTGCCTCACTTCATTCATGTAGTTATGAGTCACACACACACACACACACACACACACACACACACACACACGGACTGTGAGCTATGTTAGATATCCTGTGATTTGTGGCCTGCACCTGCTCCTTTCTGCCATCAGGCGTGCAGAATTGATGTCCTCATACAACTGAGGCTTACATTCATTTGTTTTAGAGCAGACTCCACATGCTCCACATGCTTGTAACCACAGGAACAGCATGTGGGAAGCCAGAAAAAACATGCACTGATGCTGGCTGGACATCATAAAAGAAGAAAAATAGACTCAGTCTAGCTTTTGCAGCAGCACACAAGGAAAGAGAAATCAAAGAGAATGTTTGTCTAACCATACTCAAAAAAGATAGGACATAGCTGATGTTAATGTTTTTGTTGTCTTTTGACCCTTGAGAAAATAATATATTTTATTACAACTATATACTAGCATTTGCAATTCATGACAGTCGTCATGCAATTCAGTGACTACCTGCTTCTGTAGGAGCACATCATTTCCCACTGTGCACCAGGTACAACTCTTCATTTACATTTTTGTTAATTTTAGCCTGTGTATGACGGAAGCCTATATTTAGTGGTGATGACTGTTCGTGGTAAAAAGGTAAAGGACTCTGCATTATACATTTTGACTTAATCTAAGGTTTCGGAGAAATGGATGAACTTTAAAAGACACATAAGTAGGCTTGACATTTAGTTGTGATATAGAAAAAAAGCTGCTCTCTTTCTATTCCTGTCTGCAGTTGTTGGGATAAAAGTTAACGGTCAAGATAACGTTACAGGACAGTGGCTCTTAAATGATTCAGACACACTCCTCTCTTTCCCTCCTTCTAGGCAGTAAATGGGGCCAGTGACAATAATTCTCAGTGACAAGCCTATTACATATAACACTGTGAAGTCTATAGTTGCCAATATTCCAACAAAGAGGAGAGGTCCAGATTTAAGGCAAGTGATACAGACTATGAGGTCGTGTTCAACCACTGGTTCCCCAAACTGTCAATATGTCAGTTGAATTATATACACTGATCAGTCATAACATTATGAACACCCGGGAACCCTGGTGGACATAACGTTATGCAGCCACATACGCAACAAACTGTGATGCACTCTGTGTTCTAACACCTTTCTATCAGAACCAGCATTAACTTTTTCAACAGTTTGAGCTACACTAGCTTGTCTGTTGGATTTGACCACACAGTCCAGCCTTCGCTCCCCACGTGCATCAGCTAGCCATGATCCTGTCTCCAGTTCACTGCTTTTCCTTCCTTGGACCACTTTTGATAGGTACTGACCACTGCAGACCGGGAACACCCCACAGGAGCTGCCGTTTTGGAGATGCTCTGACCCAGTCTCTAGCCATCCAAATTTGTCATTTTTCAAAGTCTCTCAAATCCTGCTGCCCATTTTTCCTGCTTCTAACACTTCAATTTAAGGACAAAATGTTCAGTTGCTGCCTGATTTCACCTGTCAGTGGTCATAATCTTATGGCTGATCGGTGTATACTGTAATTCAGTATCCTTCATACAACTTTTCTCTTCACACAAATGTTATGTAAGCCATTTCTAAGATGAAGCGAAAGACAATTAATAATAAATATATTTTAAACTAAGTTTTGTGAATGATATCACAATTAGTGTATCAGACTCTGAAATAAAATTAAATGTGAAACAGGTACGACATGTGTTGGAACATTTTGCCTCAGAGCCAGCAATACATCTCAGGCTGCCATTTGTTGGCAATTAATCTCATTTTGTGATTCCCATTTGCTTAGTCTTGTAGCCTCGGGTGATCTATAACTTTCTCTTGTTTGGAGACTTCATTGATTCACAATGGACCAGGGAGGCTCTCCGGCTGACAGGAACCGTGTGTTTACTGATGATGCAGCGGCATTTGCCTTCACGGGACATTAGCATCTGTCTCAGTGAACAGAGCAGGGCACAGAACTGATGAGCTCTAGTTATAAACGCTTACTTCTGAGAAAAACAACCATGAGCTGTCGAAAGTGCTTGAGGCAACGTTGCACACAGGGACACCTAGAGAATACAAGCACAAGGAGAAGTAGAACATTGAGGTTGAAGGTTTAGTTTTGGGAGAGCATGACATATTTGGTGTGATGTATCTGCATTTACATTTAGTGATTCGGCTAATAGTCTGGTCTGGAGCATTTTGAAATGAATGTGCAAATAAATATGAGTTTAACATTGTTCCAGGCAACCCAAGGCATCGTACCAGATTTCAGGCATGGAGCAGTTTTAAATGAATGTAATACTTTATTCAATACGTTGTATACATTTCTTCCTGGTCGACCTTTCAGGCTCATCATTTCTTGCTTTAAACTCTGAAACCAGCATTACGGAAGCCCTGGGTAACATCTACAGGGTTCTGACAATATTATTCTAGGGCAGAATGCATTAATAATCTCAGATTCACTTCAGAAATTGAGCTCAAAGTTAACCTATGTCTAAAAATACCCAGACCTTAGAGAACCGTAGATATTTTGCAGCTTCATTATTAGGAAGGAGTTGGAGTTCTCATTTGAGAATGACTGACACAGTGTTTTATGACATTCAGAACTGTAAAACTAAATTAATAATGTGATCATGTAGGTTGCTGTGGAGTGCTGCTGGTGTGCAATCAACGCATTCAGAAGACTGACAGGCTGCTTTGTTTCCAATTTCTTAGAGAAAAAACAACCAAACCAAAGAATGAAATAGCATTACTTGCATGATAAACTACAAGGTCTGAAAATATATTTCATAATTAGAATCAGAATCTGCTTAATTTGTCCAGTACAATATGTGTACACAAACGGAATTCAGTTTTTTCCATTGCTCTCTGTGTACTTACCAACTACAGATATAACAGCCAAGGACAACAAAGACAGGTAAAGAATAGCTAACACTATTATGTGCACAAGTATGTACATATGTACATGGCATAAGCATGCATGTTTGCACTCAGGTATTATCATCCACACCATCTTAATATTATCACTGTCATCATGGTTTACAATTAAAGTGCTATTCTAAAAGGGAATTGTCAGAAGTGCAGATGGTCGGCTTTATGAATTGATGATCAAGAGTCATTTGCATGGTGTTTGTTATAATATGAAGGTTTGGAACATTATAATGCAACAGATTCTCTCTATTTGAATTCACTAAATTCTCTCATCTCCGCTGTTGTCAGGTCTATCTTCCTTTGCACCACAATCCAATTCCACAAAGCCCCTGAGTCGCTCTTAAGTAATCATGCTATTCTACTATTTGTGGCAACAAGTCACAGCTCACAATCAACGCCTATACATAATTACTAAAATGTAATTTTGTCTGACTAAAAAGAAAAATTGCTCCTTAACAGAATTGGCTGCCTCGGAATGCCCAGCTGAGCCCAGGGCTTGTTAAAACCACTATCAATCTCCTCTTCCTCATTCCTGCCTATTTTAGCAGGAGGAGTGATTGCATGCAGCGTTCGTCGCCCTAGGGAGGGAAATGTGTTTTCCTGAACTGCCTGTGAGCCGATCTGTGAGGAATCTCAGACCACCAGTGTGTTTTTCACTGGAATGAACCTTGTAACTGAGTCTGTGAGGTCCTTGCGCATGAGAGCTGACCACCCCCTAACATTGACACCGCCGTGGGACCGATTGGGGGGGTGGGGGGAGATACATCTTCTATATAATTTCACTTGAGCCTGGGCCAGGTGCAGGTCATACCAAGGAGCACTCATTAGCCAGACTTACTTATTATCCACAAAAAAAGGAGAGTGAAAGAGAGAGGCTGTCAGTGTGAAAGAGTGTGAAGGAAAGAATTCCTAATTTACCCAAATCCTCGGCTAATCCAGTGAGTCCCTGTTCCCTAATCCTCTCTATTCTCAACGCAAGAAGCAGGAGAAGGATGGATACTGCTGGAGAGGCAGTAGGTGACGAGAAGAAATTTTGCTTTGCACTACAAAAACCCATTTTGGGGCAAGAGCTCGGATGAGGGACAGCAGCTGAACGATGGCCAGTTATTATCTTAAAGAGCCACCGGCACTGCTGAATGACTACTTAAGATTATTAATGGCAGCAAAATGCCAAGGTCAAGCTGCTCACTTCCGCAACTAAACCTCCCACACTACATTTACATAATCTCTTAGAATTTATGCCTGATTCAAGGGAGGAAACATTTTTTTTATTCTTATGTTTTACTTTTATTTTAAATAACTGATATTCTCAGACTGCAGTTAAATAATCGGTTAAAGTAAAATATTGTCAGGGGTAATTGAAAATTCAGAGATTAGCAGAATGCCCTCAGTTTTTCCTTCTTTTTTTTTTGTTTTTAAGTGAAATGTCTTGACATCTATTGAATGGATTGCCATTAAATTTGGTAGACAGTTATGTTCCCCTCAGGATAAATTATTATAACTTCGGCGGTACTCTTAGTTTTCGTCTAGCGTCAACATCAGGTCAAAATGTTTATTTTACTTGTTTATTAGCAAATACCTGCAGAATAAAATGACACTCCTACCTGCCTCGGCTGCACTTAGTGTTTAGTGCTCATTAGCTAATGTTAGCGTGCTAACACACTAAACTAATCAAGGATCAATGTGATTTATTTATCATTATACAACACAAGGTTGTACAACAAAATTAAAGTTTGTAGTCCCTTCATGCTCCACACAGATCACAACATATAATTACATTTATATTAGAATAGGGTAACAAATAAAAACAATATATAGTTATTAATATAAATATATACATTAACATATACACTCAGGAAATCATTCTGCAGTTCATTCTTTGATTCGTTTGGTGAATAATCAAACATTATATCTCCAAGTAACAGTTTCATATTTTTCTCCTGTTCCTTTTTGTTGCACAGAAATTGACATTGAGCGCTGCGTTCGTGAATCCATCAACCTCTTCTGCTGGACTCCCAAGAGTGCTACATACCGACAACATGCTCAGCCACCAAAGGCCTCTGGTGACAATGGCTTTGGGAAAACAGCAACATACTACTCGTCTGACTACCAGGACATGCCCAAGACAGACCTGGTGAGTTTTTACTCATCACACGCATACATGCATAAACATAAAGAAATGCCATACATTTAAAGAATTTAAAGTTTGAAATTGAAAGTGCTTCTTACTTTTACTGTACCAGTGACTGTTGAGGTCACGCCACAGTGACAGAGATGTCTTCTTTTATTACCTATTTCTCGGTATTTTTCTGTTCTCTTGTTTTTATGCTGTGTCTTTTATTCAGTACAGTAGGACCTTGTGCCTAGTATGCAGTACCTGAGCTAATGAGTTATGTTGTTCAACAGGCCTCCACATGACACAACACAAGTTTCAATGCGCATATACTGCATGTTAGACAGAGTGAGGCAGGACTTTTAAAGGACCAGTGTGTTGGACTTCAGTGTGTGTCATCTAGTGGTGGCCTTGAAATATACAAAAAACATATACTGTTCTATCTAGAGCCAGTATTTTAGTAGAATCTGTAGAAACATGGCGGCCTCCGTAGAAGGCAACCCATGGTGTCTATAGATATAAAAGGCTAATTTTAAGGAAACAAAAACATTACGATTTATTATATTCAGGTGATTATATACTAATAAAAACATAATTATGCATATTATATTAATACCAGTAACGTTTTGATAATTTCAAACATATTATCTTGGTAAGAATAATGAACATATCTTGGTGCTATTATGTTGGGTTTTTGACTTTACATAAAAACATAAAAATAATATAGATAATGAGGCAATATAAGTTGATGCATTCACAGAGTAACAATAGCTGATTTTAAGGTTCTAGCTTGATGAAAAGTAAGGTACTAGTGGTATAAAGACAGTGTAACATGCTTCACCATCACTAGAAATCATCAGAATAACTCTCTTTTAATGTTATGATTCTGTCAAAATTGTATTTCAAATGCAGTAATTGGTCTTTTGAAATACGAAAATACTTAATAAATCACTTATTTGCTTTTTGATTTATATTCAATAATGCATCTATATTATTTGTTTACATAGTGTTAGTGTACAACAAGACTATGGGATCTTTTCTACATCGTATTGCCACACATAGAGGGTACATGATGGGTGATTTGCCTGCAGTTTTATTATTAAGGTTTATTAAATGTGAATTATCAGCAGCTGATTTTAAGCTATAGTATGTTAGACGAGGTATGTTTGTCAGCTTTCATACTACTTGTCGTTGTGAAACACTTCCCAAACGTATAACTTATGTAAATTATTGCTATTATCTACACCCTCTTTCCTCTTTCTCTTTGTTTGAGTGACTCACTACACATTATCCAACACTTGTTTCACTTTTCACTATTCAACGCCTGATTGTAGAACAGTGGACTGACTCCAGTATGTCTGTTAAGCTGAATTGATTTTTCATGTTGGAATGAGTGCCTCAGGAATAAAAACTTACAGTTTAATGCTTGATACCCTACACAGCAACCTCTTTCATTCCCAAAGTGGCCAAATATTGATTGATGCTTTTTAAAAAGCATTGTCATTTACAAATACAAACAGTCACCCAATTCAAAATGTCTCAGCTTGAATAAAGTAAAACATAATTTATATAGCACATTTTAAAATACTGTTACAGTATAAAGTGCTTCACAATAAACCAAATGCATTACATTAAATTGATTAGATTAGATTGATTTGGCAGTTCATTCAACTTCCATAGGAGCAAGTGCCAAGATGTCCATCCCCTCCAAATATACATATATATAATTAAAAATAAACTCGAAGCAAAGGTGTATTCAAACAAACAGCATAAAAAGTGTTGATCATTTTGAGAGGTGATTAGATGTCATTCTGTCTTTCACAAAAGCCTTTTGTCTTTGTTTAGTTTTTGTGGCGCATCCCTGTTTGCCTTTCACACCTGAATGCATCGTGTCCAGAAAGCTCACAAACACTCTTGTCAGCCCTATCTGCTGTGTGCCCAAGTGATTGCAGTAATCTTTCTCATTCAGACGAAGCTGAATGAGAAATGGGTGGGTAGTGGCATTGATCCATGGCCGCATCTATCTGCACCCCACCTCTTCCACAGAAAACATTCAGGCAGGAGTACCCTGTCTTGAAATGTCACTCTCATCACTGGACACACTACAGTTACACGCACACATACGGTACACAAAAAACTAATCATACTCAGTGCAGAGAGGAAATTCAGACAACAGAAAAAGCTGAAAGTTGATCTAGAAATTCTTAACTCATTACACATGTCAGCACGGATTATTGTCTGACCTGAAGGCTGCTGAGTCGATGCAATTTTTTTTTCCACCATCTTTCTCAGGGCAGCTATCTTCGAACAGGAGATGTCATTTTGTTTCCTGAAGAAAAAGAAGTCTTGTTTTACCAGAACTAGTGTTGATCTTATGATGGCATCACACCAAAAAAGACCCACTGTATTACAAATTTACACAGACACAAATATACTGTATTTACAGTTAATTTACAGGTTTATTTATATAGCACATTTCAACAAGACAATGTAAAAGTGCGGTATGTACGACTTAAAAAGGCATTAAGATCAGATCAATATATCTTAATGCCTATGAAGAGGCAATATGAAAATACACATACAAAGGATTTCAAAGGAGTAAATTAAAGGTTAGGTTTCAAAGGTCTATGATGGGTTCAAAGTTGTATTGTTTAAGCCAAATAAAATGGAAAAGGTGGCACAAAAGTTACAATATTAATAAATAGTCCTAATCGTAATCTAATCTAATAAAATGAATTGGAAAGCAGAACGTCTTTAAGAGTTGATTTGAAATTGTTCTAGCATGAAGAACTTCCGAAAAAGGAAACTCAATGAACAGTAAAAAAAGAAAATTAAATTTTTTTTAGATGTGTTACTATATGTTTCTAAACTCTTAATTTTGTTCAGACGAAACAATACTCACTTTTACTTTAGAAATGTGGACCTACAGTTCTGTCCTTTTTTGTGCATGTCGACTCTCTGAAAATATAGCGACAACTGGTGTGGCTGATACTGTACTGATGCATATAATGTATGTTTGTGTTACATGCTTTCTCATTGCTGCTCCCTCTGGTACTAGAGCAGTAGGCTCTGTCAGCAGATTTCTCAGCCCTTGTAGTGAACAGACATCCATCTCACTGGACAGCTGCTGTCCACTCAGCTTGGTCTGAGTGAGTAAATAGGAGAAAACAAACTCTCCTTCTCCGTCCTCTGAGCCATTAATAAGAGAATGTAACCATGGCAATATAAATACAAAAATCACTCATCACTCCTTGACAAGAATTAAGTTTGTCTCCAGTTAGTTTATCAAGTTAGGTAGTCTTCCTCCTTCTCAAATAGTTTACTGATAACGGTGTTCACATGTAAATGTGTGCATTCCTGCCAGTGAGTGACACTCCTCTGTGGCAGCCATAGCAGAGCAGCTTTTGGGTAACAATAGCGGCAAACAGCTTAATGTGTTCCCAGATGTATAAATTGTCCATCTCAACGCAACTGAGCATGCATGATAAATGTGTGTATTTGCTAGCCACTGTAATGTATTGTACATAAAGAGGATTCAGTTAGTATGGGATAGGAACGGCTATCCGTATTGGTAGCTTCGAGAAATTAAAATAAACCAAATGCTTTACTGTGAATGGGAGGCATTCCCTGTGGTTGAGCATAGATGTGTTGCTCACTGTCCTCTAACAGCTGGCAGAGCTCACATTTCAATGATTGTCCAAATGGGTGTCCATGAGTAAACAGGAATGCTTTCTGTTTCCAGATTTTCAGCACTTGTGCCCTCATGTGAAACTGTTAGCGAATGGAGCATGCGGTGATGTATACATGGTTTGTAGTGAATTGGTAAAACCGGTCTATTAAGTACTCCCTTACTTAGATATTGCACAGGGCTTACACACAATCGCATGAACACCCCTATAATATACAGTAGTGCTGTCAAACGATTAAAATATTTAATCGCGATTAATCGCATTAATAGTTAATTCACAATTAATTGCACATATTTATCTATTCTAAATGTCCCTTGATTTCTTTTTGTCCCATTATTTTTTTTCATTTTAATGCTCTTTTCAAAAGTGGATCGGCTTGCTTTGTGCAAATGTTGTTTTTATTGAAAAATCATCCATTGTCGCCTGGGTTTGACGAGGGGGCGGAGAATTCGCATCTGCTGTGTGTTTGGTCATCAAGTGGTATTTCAGACTGGACGTGCTGCGATGATAGCTCAGTTCACAACAACAAAACACACAGATCACTTTGGTCTTGTCAATGGAACCATTTGGCAACTTTTTAAAAGTAAACTTTCCATTCAGAATATTATTAGCATCCATTTCGGCGTCTCACGCTCGCCATCCACTCAAAACGTAACGTCTACTACTCTTAAACAAGTGTGTGCAGCGTGCTTGTTGTTTTGTTTCCAGTCTAGCTAGATCTGGTGTGGTGTTATAGTTTTTCTAACATTACTAGTTGTTCCAACAGCATGTGAAAAAAACTACTAGGCTAGGTCAAAAAGAACGTTAATCTCGCGATACAAAAATTGACGCCGTTAGAATGGGTTTGCGTTAACGGCGTTAATAACGCGTTAAACTGACAGCACTAATATACAGTATGTGATGCAATCTAATACAAAACCTCTGCAAAAAATTTTAGCATTTTGAAGCTTATTTTGTACAGTTTTGTTGACAATATGACAAGTTGTTTGAACTGTTAAAAACATCTTTCACTATTATACAACAACAACACTTACTACTGACTCACTCAAAAATGTTACTGTATCTACCCAGTGTATGTTTCATTTCCAATTATAATATGTCATATCATATGTAAAGTTTAGTTTTCCAGTGATAAGTCTTCCAAGTAAAGCTAATATTGTCCTGCTTTAGTATTTCAGCTAGAGGACTATAAATACATACTGTACAATATGAAAGGTGTGTTTTATGATTAAGTGACTAAAACTGTGGTTTTATGATCTTGTCTCAAACTGTCACAGGCATCAAACTAAAGCACAAAGCAAGTTGCTTATGCAACACTAAAGCACCATTATATTTCAGCCACTGTAACTCAGTTGTCAAAGTGCACGGCTGGACTCAAATTGTGTCTTTTGTCAGCAAAAATAGAGATGAATTTTCATTAGAGCACGCTGCTTTTTCAGCCCCTCCCGAGGAAAATCATTCATGTTAGAGCAATATTGGTAACTGCTGTGTGGCCAGAATTAAAACAGGAAGTATATGAAAAGCTGGGAGGATTCTTTGCTTTAAAATAATCCTCTATGTGGAGGTTGGTGTGTGTGTTTTTGCATGTGTGGCCACGGTGAGGGGTGTTTGTTGTCAGCATTTTTCTCAGATCATGGCCTCAATTATACTCTTCTTCTCTTTGTCTGACTGCAGACTTGGCAGATAAAATATGTTTTTGTATTAGAACTCAAACACCAAAGACTGTGTTGTTTGTTTGTGTATGGGAAAATTTCAGCAGTTAGAATCACACAGGGTGAAGACAGAAGTGATTCATTGACCTTGTCATCAAGCTCTATCTAAGCTGTACAACACCGTTGTTCCCAGTTCAATATCTAAAGTGGGGTTTTTTTTTTGGCCATGAGCATTTGTGTGTCGACACACTCATAAACACAAACCACTGATGAGGATTTGTGTCTGCTTATCAGCGGCTCCAGTTTAGTCTCATCACTGTCATGCCAGTGAAATGCAAAAGTGTCATTAAGCCATTCTCAGCTGGCATACACTGCTCATCTTGACATTTAAGTCACCACACAGTGTTTCATCAGCCCACGGCAATGGCGGGCTGCATATTTTGCCTATTTCTGTCAGTATATTGTATGTTTATATCCATACATTTATGTACATTTGTAGACGGACAGACACATTCCTAGGTTTCACTGAAGTAGATCTATTGGTGTTGCCGATCAGCATGTTGAAAATTTGCTTATATCTCAGCTCAGCCAAGAAAATGAGCCCATTCATCTCATGGTGACATCCTCCTCCACGTCAATTCAATCCACAGTTCCTTATAATGATGAGTCAGGATCAACAACATGTTGTGATGAAAGATTGTAACCTAGCTGATAACCTTTCACGGAAGTGTTCAAATTGTTCTATTACCAGCACCATCTGCTTAACACCGGTCTATCACTTGGTCATAACAATTGCTTATCCATCATCATGTGTTAAGTGTATTCCCTGGGCTTGAAAGAAGTGTGTTTTCTCCAGTAAGTTATCTTCTAAAAGCATTCCCTAAAAGCAGACTGCTTGATTTTCACCACTTTTTGTATGCTTGGTTTTTATTTAGATTTTGAAAATGTATACATATGCCAGTCCATTAAACAATAAACTGAAGTAAAGATCAGTAAACACCGATTCTTTTTGTTTCCCATCTTGCCCCCACTCCCTGCATGAGACAAGAAGAACTTGTATTTTATATTTACCGGCATCTTTACATCTGGTACACAATGTATCTGACTCAACCGATTTATTCATGCACATGTGCAAACAGCCACATGCACCACTGCTTCAGTGACACTCTGGCATGTGATAGTTGCCCAGACTTGCTGTAATCGTTGCTCATCACAGTGAAAAGCTCTGCCAGCTGAAGAGGTTGAGACCCAGCTGAACACACACATGCTGTATCTGGTCCAAGACCAAACAATTGTTTCACAGATTGTTGCAACTTCCCCTTGGATTTGGATTTAATTGAGGTATTAATATCTGAGGACAAGCTATATTTGAAATGAATAAACTCCGCTTCACAGTAGTAAGGTTTTGGTGCTATCCGGGAAGTTTAGGTGTCTTTGAAAGGAGCTCAGCTGTTCGCCTCATTCCCATGTAATTCAACTATGTTTTTTTATAAACTACACTGAAATGCAGAAAGGCCAAAATGAGTGAAAATTCAGATACTGTTATAATCTGTAAGTTAAAGCTGGTGTGTTTTGTATCGTTGAGACTAATATGATATCTACTTAAACATTTAGGACAACAGTGTTCACTGTGCTTTTTAGAAATTTTGATCAGCTTGTCATTTTGTTCTGGTTCAGAATTAATTTTTTTTTTTTGATCTATTAACATAATTTTCTGTTCAAAGTACTTAATTTGTTTGAAAAAGAGCCCACCAGAGCCCACCCATCCACTTTAGCTACGCTACGATCCCTTTATAGTTGGTTTTTATTCGTAAGCTTTGTGTAAACAGGCTGGTTTTACTGAGCAGGTGTGTTCAGGTGTGGTTTATTCTCAAGTTGAATTTACTGTCCTGCCTTTTCCATGAAGTCACTATTCTCTGCCACAAATTCCTTGTTGCCATCAAGGTCAGGATCAATTGGTCTGACATCAGCACCTCTATCTATTGATCTCTGCAGGGTTGAAATTTGGGTTTGAAATGTGCACTGCCATATGTGAAATCTGCAATAAATGTTTCCTATTTGAAACATGTCGTCATTGTGACACTAAGATTGACTCAGCTCCATTGTAATTTTGTGGCTGCGGTTTGTAGTAGTGTTGTTTGATTGCGATATATTCAGGGTTTTCTGCTATGTGTCATATTGGAGTTTTACAGTTGGCTGCCGCACCTGAAATAAAGCCACAATATTACACTAACATTTTAGAAAAGTCATACATTGTAATGAAATAAATCAGGGAAAAAGAGAAATTGCACTGTTTTGGTGCCATATATTTAATGAATGTAGCCCTTGATTTGGCCCTCATCTACTAACTAAATGGGTCATAAGACAAGATATATCAGGATCTACATGGCTTATTCCCTCTGCTAAACAGTTTCCTCATTGGAAAAGCCTTTTTATAAAATGCAGTCCCAGTCAGTCATTGTTACAGACATCAGATTGAAAGTTGAAAAATAATTCCAAGAGGTGTCTTTTTCTTTGCAACAGACCAAATTAACGGTCGTGGCAGTAAGACATCATGAATATGTAGATCCTAGCTCATCTTGTGCTCTCTCATGTGGCCCAGAATAGCTATTGTCAAGTTCACTGTTGATAATTCAAAAGAGCAGAATACAGTTGTTTGTTGAAAACAATGCACGACTCCTCAAATCTCTTCCGTTTTCCCATTCTGACTCTGTGTTGATGCAGCAGAGTAGAGCTTCGCCCTTTAGACATAGCCATACAAATTATTACTGTAGAGAATTGAGACAGAGGTTTTGCTATAATCACAGTTGAAATCAGATACCTATTGAAATAATCAGGCTATGAATATTTATTGGAAGTAGAAACAAAAACCCCAATTGTTTGAGAGAACAAAAGCACAGCTTGTAGTCCAGCTTTACAAGAAAAGAAGGGTTTTGGACTTTTGGAATTTGGCCTTAGTAAAACAGTAAATCAAGACTGACAGTATAAGTCAAGTTACCACCTGTAATGATGATTTTAACTATGAGGAAGAAAACTTTCTTTATGCCTGGTTATATATGATATATATTAAATATGATGATTTATATATGATAAATTAGACTGAGCTACTTATGGTCTATATGGGTCGTTGTTTTCATACATAAGATTGAAAAGGTACAGACCAGTTAGTTTCTTTAAATTATTCCTGAAAGACTCAGCCAACTAGATAACAACTGCTAGATTTTGCAGCAGTTACTTCACCGTCCATCAGCAAACACTGTAAATCATCAAGAGTTTGGGCAGAGCAGCCAGAGGACATCAGAGGGAAAACCACAAAACATATTCTTCATCAATTATGATCCATTTTCACCAAAATCAGTGACACAGATGTGTCTACTGCCGTAAAACAATATGCACTTGTTCCGACCCGAAGCCAAAAGTTACATAGTGCAAGAGCGGGGCGCAGAGTGGGAATCACAGAGGAACTGTTCACCCTATTAAAAGTTAGGGTAGCATGAAAATGACTTTGAAGCTTGATGTTATTTGAAGGTAGAAAAGTTACATAATGTTGCTTTAAGGCTGATTTTAAAAAAAACAGTAATAATACCTGAATTTTGAGGTACTAGCAGAGGTGGACAGTGCACAGAATTAATTGCTACTTTAAATCCTTGTAAAAATAAATAAATAAAAGGAAATCTCTAATGTCTTTTCTGGACTCACAGATGTCACTGACTTCTTCACTGTTGCGTGGGTGGAAGATTGTTCAGCTAGCCACTGGAGTTAGCTTCCTCCAAACATTTTATTTCATGGATGGCAGAGTTTTGGCACTTAACCTGCTTGACGTGCAGTTGGCCCTTCTCTGCTATGTAAATGGCTTTCACACAGTGTGCTGGAATTCATAGATAATGCTGTTAGTATTTCTCCCCTATTTAATTTGCATATCAATGAATAGCCATACCAGACTGCTTAATGACCACTCATTATCACAATATACATACATTTGTTTATTACTATTTTAAAGGGACTGTGAGGCGGGATGTCAGCATCCTCAGATGTTGTTTTTCATATTTTATGCTTAAAATGATTTTAGGGCATCTGGGAATCATAGAGGTATTACGCTTGCTCACCTTTGCAGAGACATGGGTTCAGTCCCCTGTAGCCATGCCTCTGGCTCTGTGCTTTAATGAACCCATTTGGCAGTGCTTGTGGAAACTGGCAAAGGATCATGTTGTGGTCACTGCTGCTGGTCGTCTGTGTTGCTCCCTGAGCTGTAATACTGTTTGTTTTTTTATGGTAATACATTATGAAATTCACACACAGAGTTTAAAAGGCCGGTGTAAAGTATTTTGTGAATACATACAGGATATGTAGTTAACATTCAGACCTAATCACTATTTCCTGATTTGAAAGAAACAATAATATCCAACCTGACAGTAGTTTCTGTCTCTTCTGTGTCTTTATACAATGACTGCTTAACCAAATTCCATTATTCAAATTATATTCAGAAAATTCTCTGAAAGGCTGCACTACAATTTTCTCCCTCTTCATCTGATCTCCTGTGACTTCCTTTCTTGTAGTCTCGGGAGCCTCTAGCGCTGTGTGACCTGAAAGCAGAAGTATCCCCTAGGATCTCGGCAGAGGACTTGATCGACCTCTGTGAGCTGTCGTTGGCCGGGCCCACCAAAAGGACCAAAGCCGGGAAGCCCAAAATCATTGCCGTGGACATCCGCAATGTAGAGGAGTATCCTTACCAATTCTGTGTAACTATGAAATGTGTCCGCCCCTTACCAGTTTCAATCCCTATAAAAGTGGCATTATAATATGAAAATACATTGCTCATTTTTTCCCGGCTGGGGAACATCAAGAAATCATGTACACAGACTGGAGCTTGTTTGCGCAACCTTGGATTGTGTCCAACAAAGTAAAAACAACAAATGTTCTGCTAATATTTGTGTTCACAAAACTAAGATATGCAGTTTTGGCAGTTACAGATAGAGTTGCTCTGAGTAGAATTCACTTCAGCAAACTTGCTCAAACTTGCTGTTACTTGAGCTTTATAAATATTACGATCTACACTTTAACAATACAAGTAGTGGATATGTAAAAAAAATATGAAGTCCTTTTCTATTTGTTTTCCATGAAAAGAGGACTTAACTTATTGAGGGGTTTTAATTAGACATTTAAGGTTTCTCAGTTAAGAGTATTGACCTTGGCACCTTTATCACCACTGCACAGCTGGGCAGTCATTCTGTAAAGTGCGTGTGAATGTCAGATTGTTGGTTTTCGGAAAGATACAGAAATTGTCTAACACAGTCCCCCAAATTCTGATGTTGTAAAAGTGTGAGGGAGGTTGGATTCCGAAGCTACTAACCATTCTACAAGCACTTCTGAAGAAGTATACTGATTTTGTTTTAAAGGAGGCGGTCAGACCAGATTTCGCTGGAAAAAATTACTTGCAGGCAGGACAGGAAATAGCCTGGGTAGGGTTGTAAATATAAACTATGGAAGCTAGTAGACATATTCTTGGACTGTACTTTTTCTTCTTCACAAACACCTATAAAAGAACTAAAACAACAGTCTTTTGTCTTGTTCAGTCTAGTAGCCCAGAGGATAAAACAGATGAAAGAACTAATTCTGAATTATAATAACTGATGGTATCAAGTATGAAACTGATGGAATTAGGGGATTAAGATAACATTTATGTGTTGCAGTGTCAATCCAATTGTGTTTTTGTTTTTTTGCTTTTGGTTGAAGGTCAAGAATAAGAAGATTACATAGACTGCAGCAAATTGTAAAGTCTGCACACAGCCTCTCTGACAGTGATCTTCTAAACTACACCTGGCTGAAGTACAGATAGACTCTCTGATGTGTGTGTCTCTGTTCAGTCTCTGTTCAGTCTCACAGGTGAACCAAACTGGTTCATGTAAGATCATGGTCCAAGTCCTTGAGTGTATGCCAGGTCTGTATAAAAGCTGTGATGAAAACATCCCTGAATTTATGCAGGGTGTATTTCTATCATCTCTATATCTGTTTAGAACAAATATATCATGACTATATGTCTATGCTTGTCTGATGTGTGAAATCTAGTTCTCTTTCAGTTGCTGTTAAAGACTACTGTTTTCATTTACTCATGAATCATTTGCACAAGGATAAAGGGTTATGACACACTGAAACAAAATTTGTGCATTTGTGAATGCAATAACCCTTTCTTTTGATCCCACTGCGCTTCTGATTTCTTGCTTACCTTTTGACCTGGTGCCAGTGCTTTGCAGAGTTTTGAAATTGAACCACAGGCACAGAGAATAAAAAAAAGCTTGGTTCCTATCAAAGGCAAGTAGGGGCAGATTCAAGGTGGATGATCTACTTCAGTTATGTGCTGCCAAATTCTGCAACATACAGTTAGGCCCTTCATATCCACCCAGGCTGTCCCGCCATATCCTGCCATCTGAGAGACACAAAGTAGTGGAGATTTGCCTGTGACCCCGAGCAAAATGCAGTCTTCTGGCCTTTTGGCTACATCACAGTTTCCTCTGTTACATGGTATATTTGATTATATATATATTTTTTGCAAGTGAATTCTTCAGTCGGGTTTTAACATGATTAATACATTTTAATGTAGAATGTAGTCGATTTTATTCTTGGTTAACATACGAAGCAAGCTCTTTTGTTAAGCTGAACAGTACAATACCCAAGTGAGCAATTAAGTGAAGAGTATTTTTACGACAGCTGACTACAGTTGTACAGTAAGTGTGGTAATGTGTATGGTGTCCAAAGAAAACCATGTATCTCCAGGGTTGTAAATTACACACAAAAATTAAGTGTTCTTTTATGGTTTGAGAAAAAAACTCCTGCTTCATAGGCTAAAGAAACAATAAAAAAAACCTACTGGGTAAGCTAAAATTGCTAAAAAAAAGCTGAAAACAGGGCTTGTTTATGAAAAGCTGACGTATTGGAGACACGTGGTTTTCACAGTACAGCAGAAATATTAATGGATGTGAATACATCAGTGTAGGTCTCCTATACAAACACATTCCATTAAATTAAAGATGAACATTTTTACTGCTTGCCACATTTAATAACTTTATGAATCTTTTTTATGGCTCTACACAAAATTAAAATATTACATAAAGAAATCAATTCTGCTTTTGCAGATGGTCTGTATTTATTTGTCACTAGTTGTACAGTGGCCCAGAAAACCCTGCCTATAAGAAATGCAAAGGACTCACAGGAGTGAACCTCACCCTTCAGATCGTCTGTGGAATGGTAATTGTCTAAAGGGGTTTAAGAACCATTAATCAATAAGGATTAGTGGATAGAGCAAGGATTTTGAAATGTCAGTTCCTCCAGCCGAATTCCTACACCGGAGCCTGATAGACAGAGGCTCCTCAGGCTAACTCACATGGACAAAAGGGATTTGACCACTTTCACAGGATTTGGCAACCCTTCTTCACCTTTATTGTGATCTTAGGCAAAGCTGTGTTGTGGGTGTCTGCGGTCTTTAAAAAGTGGATTAAATTAAGACTTCTGTGGGGTAAATCGTGACAATCTAGATTTAGCTGTCTAGGTACCTGGTAGTTAATCTCTGCTGTAAAACAACTTACATGTGCCTCTTGTAATTCCATGGCTAAATGTACCACAATAGGATTTGGCAGCTAGTGGATAATAAAGTCTATTATGTGACATACTGACATACCTTATGTTCTTGTGGCAGCTGGTATAATTTAGTGAACATAGCAATTTTTATCATTCAATTATATACCACTCTGGGGTTGTTCATTGTCCTTGTGCTGATACTCAGTTTTTTCAGCAAACCCTCTATGACTTATTCCTTCTCTGTTCTGTTCTTCTGCTGACTCCCTTATTGTATCTCCTGTACGTCGTATTCTTCCTCTGCCTTCGGTTAAGAGAGACCCACACTGCTTTCTTGAAGCTTGTCTTACAGACAGTTTGTACTGGAAGTCAGTCTGATAAACAGGATAACAAGTGCTCTAATTAGTGTATCGTTGAACTGACTTAATGTTTCCTACTGTCTATTCTGTCCATGTCGTCCAAGGATGTTATGGTTCCTATGAAATTCAATGTGTAACTGTACAGGAGGAAAAAAGGGGGAAAAAGGCTCACCTCATTGTTTGGCCTTGATCCCAGGTATGCGCCCTACCTGTTCAGAACTGTGCTCCTTAACCCCGCTGTCTCCAGCTTCAGCAGAGGCCATATTTCTGGCAGCATCAACATTCCCTTCAGCGCAGCGTTCAATCCTGACGGTGAGCTGGTGCAGTGTCCTGCAACAGGAATCCTCCAGAACTACAGAGGACGTGTCATTGTGGTCATTAGCCATGCCATGAAGAGCGCTGCCATGGTGAGAAATCAGACACACACGCACACACCCAGCTGCGTGTAGCCCACACCCACCTGTGTACAGCACATCATTATACACACTTTTTGTAGTATCTTATGCGGACATAGGTTGGTATTGTTATTACAAATGTACTTGTTTACAAACTTAAAGTGCGGAGTTATTAAGGCAGGTTTAGTGTAAATAACCAAGAGTAACGTTCTATTTCCTGGTGTTGTTTAAGTTCCCTGCGGCTTTTCTTAATCCCCAAACTTCCTCCCAGTTTACTGTTGCATTTTAAGCCATTCAAGCTGCAGTGCTTTAGGGATGACAACGTCGGTCTGTTGGTCAGGCCACCGCTTTGGTCCAGACTAAAATAACTGTTGGGTGGATTGTTATGAAATTTTGTAAACAGATGCATGGATAAATCCTACTGACACTTTTCCTCTAACGTTACCATGAAGTTGACATTTGTGGTTCTGAGTGAACATCTCAATCTCTCAACTATACCATATAAACAAATATCTGCAAATCTAATCTGTCATTCCCATGAGCCTCATTCATTAAAAAGCTTCAAGCGAGTAACGCTAAAGTAAGACGTGAACATTTTAAACGTCATAAACATCAAACTTTTACGATTACCATTGTGAGCACATTAGCATGCTGATGTTAGTATTTAGTTAAAAGCACAGCTGTGCCTAAGTACAACCTCGCAGAGCCTCTAGCATGGCTGTAGACTCTTGGTTTTGGGCTGCTTGGTGATCTGGTAAAATCAAAAAAAATGTGAGACTGTTTTTGTTCCAAATCTGCCAGAGTTTTTTTTTTTTTTTTTTTTTTTTTAATAAACATGAACAAGGAAGGGTTTGGCAGAGATTGGATGCTGGCTGCTATCTACCAAAAACCAGATGTACAATGTGGGCACTCAGTTTGCTGCTGTGCAGCACATCAAGTAGTCTTCACAAATAGGGGGGGCGGCGACACAATGATCCAGTAGTTGCCTGACAGCAAGAATGTTCGAACCTGACTGGCTGGGGCCTTTCTGTGTGGAGTTTGCATTTTCTCCCTGTGCCTGTGTGGGTTTTCTCTGGGTGCTTCAGCTTTCTCCCATAGTCCAAAGACATGCACGTTAGATGTATTGGCAACTCTGAATTGGCCGTAAAATGGTAAATTGTAGTCCGTCTCTGTGTGTCAGCCCTGTGATTGACTGTCCAGGGTGTATCCTGTCCCTCACCCATTGTCAGCTGGGATTGGTCACAGACTTTTTATCTCGAGCTGCCAGCAGGTCGAAGTTTTCACTAATCCAGTGAAATATTTTAACATCATAAATTTTGTTCATACATTTATTCTAGCGCCACCATGAGGTTCACATATGTGAACGTGGTTTCCAGAGTGCTACAGCTGTACTTTGTTTTCAAGGCCAATTATCACATTTTAGCATCCTCACAGGCTAAACCAAGATGCTGAGCTTGCTCTTAATGCCCTATTTTAATTGCACATCCGCTTTGAAAAAACACAAGGCGGTAAGGTCGAGGGTGCACAAACTATGTGGGTGTCTTCAAGCTCAAGCCTGGGTTAAAGTGAACATAGCTGGAGAGATATAAAAAAGCCAGTCATATCACTGTTCTTATTGCTCTTAATAGGCTGTGCTAATCAAAGTGACGAATGATAACAGTAGCTCAATGAAGAGTCTGCCTCTCCGGAAAGTCATTCTGTTTCCTGGATGGTGGAGAGCGGGACAGTGTGAACATACAGCACCAAATATCGGCAGATGTGGCTTTTGTTTTTTACAGTTAATTACTACTACAATAATAGAAACAGATAATAAGAATTAGTTTGGTGAGGTAGTTTTTATGATCGCATCAATCTACTATGAATTTCACATTGTAAATTGTTACATCATATCTTAAAATGTAAGGCATAACTCACAGGATTAATTAGCCCTGGTATCTAACGTCTCTCTCATAAATGGCCAAAATACTAAGTTATAACACACAGTCTAATGTTAGGTAGAGGTGTGTGGGATTATCTTGTGGTGGCCTGGTGTCGTTTGAATGTAATTTAATTAAGGTATACACAGTGGAAGGCCACATGTAGTGACACTGCACTCCGGTGCTGCAAATCTCAGAGACTTCATTTCTATCAATAACATATCTGTCCTACTGCCTTCAGACATCTGCAGGGGTTTAATGAACTGATGGAGAAGATTTTTATGCAGTCTAAAGCAGCCAGTTTCAAGGCATTGACTGGCTGCTATTTAATTAAAATGGTTAATTCACAGTGTAGTAAGTATTTCTGTGTTATGTCTGTGCATTAGCTCCAAATCCACAAAATGGAAGCAGTTTCTGTTTCTGATGTCCCAAACATGGTTCTGAGACGCAAAGTCTTCGACACAAAAACCCAGTAACTCACTTTCCTGACTAATCTGAATGAACCTCCCTCCTGTTTGTGCCTCTCCACCCCCTTGTGCACTGTGCGCTCTGCGCTGGGCAACAAAAAGGCAAAGCAAATATCAAGGTCGGGGAAAATACCAAATTTTCCAAGCTCTGCATGCACTGGTTGCTGCACCACAACAAAAATAGGGTCCCAAGCTTAGCATAAAAGATTTTGCTAATGCACTAATCCCCCATATCCAGACTTTAGTCTTGTCAAATCCACAGCAGTCTGGAGAAAACCTTGTAAATCCTGAGGTAGCCATACGTCTTTTGGCATTTGAAAGGACTCACCTCGAGGAACAACTACTGTGGTTGAAATACTCTAAGTTTTCACTATTGTAAGTTAATCAGTCTGATGTACAGCATAATAAAAACTTACTGTATCTTTGCCTCTTTTGTAAATGACACTAGTCTAGGCTAAAATTGTATTTTACATTAATCATCGTCTTTGACATTTCAGTGCACAAAAATAACTTTGCTCACTTCAGCATAACAGAACAGAGAACTATATTGATCATTATAAATTCTCCTTTTGTGCTCTCTTTAGAATAAATTAGGCAAACTTGAATTAAAAACTCAGCAGGGATATTGCTTCAGGCAACATCCCAATTTAGAAAAGATGTCCTCCTTCCATATGTTGGAAAGTCAAAGAGGAAAAAAAAGTAGCTCTCCTTAATTGAGGAGACAGTCCTGCATTTTTTAGGAAGCAGCAGCAGGATCTCAGTTTCTATCTTGGTGGCAAGAACTCCAAAAAAGAAACCGTTAGTAGTACAGAAGAATTTGTTTGCAGTGAGGCTGGAGTGTAAAAAGAGCTGTCTGACTCATGTTATCAGCTCGTGGTCATAGCCTTTATATCATGTACAAAAGCAGTGTGGTTACATATAGTATTAGTATATGCATCATCATGTAAGTATTAAGTATGACAATTGATCATTATCTTCATTATCACACAGGCAAGTATGATGATTACTCCGCATACTAATGATAAATGGGATCAGTTGAATTTTGTAATTGTGAGGTTTGATGATGTGATGATTACTACCCCCAGCCCTGCGCACTGTGACCAACCCCACACTTGAAATTCCCCATCTGAGCTTCATGATAAACCTTAGTAATTCATCAGACCTTTCAGTCGAGCAGGTCACGAAATTAAAGGTCGATGAAAGGACTCAATTGTGCTTAAATGCCATTCACATCTCTTTGCACCGCACCAGTGGTATTATCATTAGCTTAGGGGCAAAGCAATGAGTCCACTCACTGTGTGGTCAGGCTTTACTGTAAACCTTTAACATTTAAACCTTATTGGCATTCAGAAGTACGATTCATTCTTAATGCTCAGTTTTTATGTGGATTTCATCTGATTGAATGTCTATCTATTGATCTATCTATCCATCTATCCATCTATCTATCTGTCTATCTGTCACTGTGGATGTATTATTTGTAATTTAGTTTTTCATCTTATTAAGGGAATTACAGTTTTGCACAGAGGGATTTTGTAAAGCTTGATTAATTGATTGTGTCTAAATAATACACTTTTTTCTCCTGTGAGCCTCCAATTGTAAGTTTTACTTTTTTATTATATTCTTTCAATATTAATATATTTAACATTTGTCAATTAACTGTTTCTTGCCATTACTAAAAATAAAAGCTTCAGTAACTTTATTTATAAATCTTTAATTAAGACTTCCTTACAACTTTTTGGACAACATAATTCAGTAAAGCAATAATGATATGATACATGCACACAATCATATGATATGATCATATGATTGTGATCATATAATACGATCATATGATTGTATCATATGATTGTGATCATATAATACGATCATATGATTGTGTGCATCATATGATTGTGATAAAAGTCAAATGGTAGAAAATCAGTGAATCCTTAATGGGCAGAATATAGGTGTTTATTATTTCCCTAAAATTGAATTAAAGTGGATCTCAGATTAAAGCTGAAAATTTGGTCATACGTTGAATTGCAAAACTCAAGTTCTTTCATCTGTTAATTTCAGTTTTTGTAATAACTGTTGTGTATGTTGAAATCCTACAATCAGATTCAGAGGTTTCATCATCAGATTTCCGAACATTGCTGTAGTGAAACCACACTTCATCACCTTAGAGAACAGGCAACAACCGTTCAATCTCACACTGAACCCCTTCTGGTACATTTTTTTTTAGCTTACAGTGTCAGTCTGATGTTTATTTTTTTACTGAGACTGTCAAAGAGGTGTTGATTAACCTTTACCTTACCTTTTTGGTAACTTTTAAGTCTGTAGTTAGTGGTGTTATTGGATTGCAGTACGTTGTATTGGAAGGTGTATCTACAGTAATTACAGTGGAATAAAGTATTAGGTAAACCACATACACCAAATATTAGGTAGCACTAGAACTCTGGGTTGTTTTAACAGAGCGCAAAAGAAGAGTCTTCCCCTATAACAAAGAAAGGTCTCTGCATTACTTCAGTTAGTAAATTGTTTATCCTTTAAACAAAATAATTGGTTCTTTCTTTAATGTTCACATTACTTCCTCATAGTCACACTCTATGTCACAAGACTATTGTCATACCTGACAAATTAACACATTACACATCAATGTGTTTCCTAATTTTTGTAGGGCTCTTATTGTGTAAAGATGTTCTTTCTCATCTAGGGCAACAGAAAGTTCTTGAGTTCTTAAGTATTAACATAAGGAGACCACACCTATATAAAAATTAATGGTCTGTGAATGACACTCATAACAATGTAGGAGTCATCAGAGGTGAAGGGTAAATGCTTTTCTTGTTTTTATGTTCCTTTCTTCCCAGTTTGCGACACACCTGGTCAAGGTAAATTTCCCACGGGTTTGTATCCTGGATGGAGGGATCAACAAGCTGAAGCCCACCGGCCTCCTGACTGTACCCTCCCCACAGATCTGACCCCGTACCTCAGCTTCACATTAACAAAAGGGATGAATGTAAAGACTGTATAGTGTGTTTTGAGCTGAAAAAAAAAAACAATGTAATATTTTAGACATTTTTTTACACATTCTAATTAAACTAGGCAAAATGAAAATGCATTGCAATAATCTCCTTCTGAACCCAGTTTTGATTTAATCACCAAATAGGGCATTGACATTGACATGTTGTATTATTTTCTCTCTCAAAACTAGAATGATTGAATCAATTTTTATTTTTCTGGAACAACTGCTATGTGTTGTAGTGGCTTTGCACTGATAAATTGAGCTGTCTGTGACCCATATAAATAACTTGATGTATGTCAGCCTGTCTGTTCTGAGCCTGTTGATCTAAGGAACTCAGTGGCGCTTTATTAGCTACATCTGCATGATCCAATGCAATCCAGTACAATTGCTCTGCCACTTTCATGATGTCTGGCATGTTCCATTTTTTTTTGGCACTGTCAGAGAGATGTTAATTCAATGATATGTTTTTGCCTTGACATGGTGATAGTACAGTATCGGTGGTGTTGTACCCAACTGCATTATATTCAGAGTTATCTCCCTCATGTATGTAAATAAGGAGAACAAATTATAGGCACCACCTTTAACTATGAGCTCAGTAATAAACATATCATTTAATTACACATTTGCAGCATTGCAACCAAACGGACCATTAGAAATTTAATAAAGGTAGAATTTATGGCTGTTGTGTTGAATTAGAATTGAATAGATTGTACAGGTGCACCAAATAAAGTGGCCACAGAGTGTGTGTGTGTGTGTGTGTGTGTGTGTGTGTGTGTGTGTGTGTGTGTGTGTGTGTGTGTGTGTGTGTGTGTGTGTGTGTGTGTGTGTGTGTGTGTGTGTGTGTGCGCGTGCGTGTGGGGGGGGGGGTGAGAAACAATAAAATGAATAATGATTTGTGCATTTGGTGATTTCTTAAGTAGTATTTGCATTTACCTTGTTTACATGAATTGTCTCTGCTATATACTCTGTACTGTGTGTAATTGTCATGTTATAGAAATTGATTACTTTAATGTTACAGTTTTTAATAAAACTTTCTGATGAATCTGGATCAAATGTGAACTATTTTTTCTGTCAGTCAGAACAGATATTTTAATGTGGGAAAAACTGGTTTATTTTCATTCGATAAACGCACCCCATTAAGATATTACGTTCAACCTCTGTAGTGTAGTTGTTCATACATGTCCGATATTCCATCATCAGAGTTGACTCATTGTTAGTGACGACACAACCACCAAACTGTATAAAAAAGGGGAAGCAGTGGTGATATCTTATCAAAGGAACTTCTTGGACTCAACAACAGGTAAGAGTGATGCTTTGTATAATGATTTCAGTTAGCAACAATTGGACTGTAATAACTGAGAATCCTCATTTAATAATACTTGTCTTTTTTGCACTCAATTTTCTCTCTCCACCAGGACATTTCTGCTTTCCTGAGTGAAAATGGTATTTTATAAAGTGACAGTGTCCACTGTCGCTGCTGTCAGTGCCACAACTTTTAACAATGTCTTCATTAAGCTGGTGGGCACAGATGGGGAGAGCGAACGCAAGTGGCTCATAGGCTTCAAAGGAGCTTCAGCCTTCGTGAGCGGAGCGGTAAGTCTGAAATGTTCTCTAAATGTTCTCTAAATGTATAATATGTTTCCTCAAATCTTGCCTATGAGATTATTAAATGCCAATCTAAATAAGCTCATATGTGCAGCTACATGATATGGGCTGCTCTGTAACTCTGTAGATGACCAAAGCACCAAAAAAGGCCCCATAATGAGCTTCATAAAATTGGTATTTTATACACCTTTCATCTCGTCATTACTCCAGGTGTCTACTTTTACCGTGTCCTGCCCCGTCTCCATTGGAAAGCTGGTTCTGATAGAGCTAGACAAACAGCGTCTCCCACTGTTTCCCGAAGATTCCTGGTTCCCTGCCAAGGTGGAAGTGAAATCCCCAGAGGGAGACACCTACAACTTTCCCATCTACCGCTGGATCACTGACAGCGAGGTGCACCGCTTCAGAGAGGGAACAGGTTTGTGCTGTTCGCTGACCACAGAAAACAGTCATGTCGAGTCAAATTTTATTTATATACACCACGATCACGAAGGAGACCTGGAAGAGGAGAGGCCACACAAGTACATAATTCAGACAAAAGAGATAACACAGACAAACTCACTGCAGACATGCAGACAGGTAAAGAGGAGAGGGGAGACAATAATCCAGATCCGAACCTCTGGATGAGGCACCAACAATCAGGAGAGAGATACAGGTTCCTGGACGACTGATAGCAGAGAGGAGCATATAGGGAAAAAAAGAGGAGGAGGAGAAAACTAGAGAGAGGGAGACAGAGTGAAAGAAGTGCAGCTTGGCAGTGTGTGGGGAAAAAGAAACAAAAACAACAGAGGGTTAGAGAAATGCAGCGGTTATTAGAAAGTTTACAGAGATTCATTGAGACTGAGACCGACCCAATGAAAGGATAGTGGTATCAAGTGCGAGGCCTGACTGACAATAAGGACTAATTTACAGTTAAGCAAACAAATGAGTTTTGATCTAAAGGTTTCAATGGAATCAGATTGTCAGATGTCAGCAGGGAAGTTATTCCAGAGGATGGGTTCACGGTAGAAACTACCTTCAGGATAGACTATAAGAAGGCTGGATTAAATTAATGCATACTGGATAAACAGATTTTTAAACCTTCTTGTGATTCTTTCTTTAAGCTCTGAGAGTCTTTGAAGACAAACATCATCTTGGCAGGTACAGTCGGGAGCAGGAGCTTAAGCAGCGAGAGGAAGACTATCGGTGAGAGCTCAGAGTTTATACACAGTTCAGCTTAATGTTCCCCAAAACTAAAATACATCCAAATCTCCCCCATGTTTGGTTCATAATATATGATGATAAATAAACCATCATATGACACTGTTACAACTGCAAGGTTTATCCTATACTTTTAAACTGTAACATATGTTGCAAAATTGCAATATCAAATACATAAATATTATGCAATTATTATTATTATTGCATAATATTAAAACTGCAGATACATACTATCTAGACTGTTCCTCACCACTTTGTTCTTCTGTTTTTCCCAGCTGGGATGTGTATGTAGAGGGAATACCTCACAACATAAAGGCAGAAAATCCTCTTTCTCTGCCTTGTGAGGTCCGTTTCTCCTTCACCAAGACGACAGAGTTTGCCTTCACTGCAGCCACAGGGTGAAGTACTCAAATTCTGTCAGATATGTATCCGTCTATGTTGCTGACGTGCCTATCAAAATGTTTTAAGGCGTCATTATAAAGTGGTTCAATGCTTTTATTTTCCAGGCTGAGTGAGCTGCAACTGAAGGGGCTGGATGATTGCAAGGAGAACTGGACTGATATTGATGCCATTAATCGGGTGTTCTGCTGCAAACGGACTGCTATATCAGGTACTGAACTCTCATCAGTTTAATCTAATAGCCTACTTGATAATATATACATAATAGTATACATTCAACTCTATTCATTCAGATAGCCATGGTGCTACCTAAAAATATTAGACTTGTTTTTATTCTTGAGATAAACCATTATATTTTACTGAATATTCTATTGGCTCATTTAATGGTAAAAAAAACGTTTTACAGAAGGAGATGTGTAGAAATCTAAACATAAAGTTTAGACACATGAGGTCATGCGAAAACTAGTAATTGTATTTAATTACATAAAATTCAAGACTGACTGACAACTGACTTCTAAACAATTATAAACAGTGTCCAACCAGGTATGTGAATTTTTTGTAACACGTTGTTTCCTAATTTCCTGAATTTGAAACTGACTGAAGTTAATCTTCTTCTTCTTCTTCTTCTTCTTCTTCTTCTTCTTCTTCTTCTTCTTCTTCTTCTTCTTCTTCTTCTTCCAGACTATGTCCAGGAACATTGGAATGAGGATGCTTTTTTTGGCTACCAGTTTCTAAATGGTGTCAACCCCATGTTGATCCGACGTTGTTCAGCCCTGCCTGATAACTTTCCTGTCACTGATGATATGGTCTTCCTCCATGGTCAATGTAGCTTGGAGGATGAAATGAAGGTGATTGTCTTAACGTTGACTGACAAAGTTTAAGTTATTTTAAAAGCCTTAAAGATTCTGGGCTTTTGAGAAAACATTAGTGGCTGGAGACCAAGAAGCAACCTGTGGCATTTGAATTGGAATTTCATGTTTTGTGATGTATTATATGTTCACTATATGTAATATCCACCCTGTATGCATGTGAGTCAAATCATTTCTCATCCTCACTAAAATTTTAAACAGAAAGGCAACATATTCCTGTGTGACTACAAGCGGTTGGATGGAGTGAAAGCAAACACCATCAATGGAAAGAAGCAGTACTTGATGGCTCCTCTCGTCCTGCTCCACAAAACACCAGATGATGAGCTGATGCCAATTGCTATTCAGGTGAGATTAGCACTCCAAGTATTGATATAATTTAAACTGTAAGATGTACAGTACCAGTCACTCCATCCAGCTGCCAGCCAAATATGTCCATTCATTCCATTGAGATAAGCAAGAGCCTGTCATCGACCAGCTGGCTGTTCCAGGCAGCCGAATCTGTACGTTTCCCTGCAATAGGAAGCATCCACCTTGCCGAATTTATTTTTTTTTTAAGCAAGACAGCTTTCTAGCTACTATGGCTCGTATCCAGATGGCAGCCATGAATTTTCTCTGCTAGTAAAGGCAGTTAATTTCTTCCTGCCTGAACCCGAGCCATGTAAAAAAGTTCCTTTCATAGCCATATCCAAGTTTGACAGGCTGACAGTTGAGTCTGATGCAAACACAAATCAAATCAATTTTATTTATAAAGCCCAAAATCATAAATTTGTGTAAGACAGTAGTAAGATTTGTGCAATGCTATATGAAGAATATGGATCAGACAAAAAACAACATTCCAAGTACTTTCATTGTAATTGCAACCTGCCTCACTGTCAAAGAAATGTCAATTTAAACACACAGGCATTGATGTATGTAAGACTGAGAAAACTCGCTCTGATCTTCCCCATAGAAGGGATTCAATGAAAACATGAATTTCCTAGGAAAGTCTTAAACATTATTGACCAGTACTGGTAATAGACCGAATGGACTTACTGAACCACATCCCACTTTCTTCTCCTACAGCTGAAGCAGACTCCAGCAGAGGACAATCCCATCTTCTTTCCTACTGATTCTGAGTACGACTGGTTGACGGCCAAGATTTTTGTGAGAAGTGCAGACTTCAGTGAGCATCAACTTAATGTTCACCTGCTGCGCACTCACCTGCTGGCTGAAGTGTTTGCAGTCTCACTGCTGCGCAACATTCCCATGGTGCATCCACTGTACAAGGTAACTGCAAGAAACAATATCGAACTTGGTCATATTTCTTTCCAAACTGGATGAACAATAAGGTTTTAGTGTGAATATATTTGCAAGTATTTCACACTGTTAAATGGTATAGAAGCATCATCATAGAAGCATTCTTCACTTTGTTAACTTTGTTTTGTTAAGTACTAGTGTTACTAAGAGAGTTCCCTCTCTCCCTCAGCTCTTCATTCCCCACACTCGCTACACTCTGCAGATCAACTTCTTGGCTCGACTCCTCCTAATATCTAAGGATGGAGTTTTCACACAGGTACCCAAAGACCAACATACTCAGTAGAGCATTACCTAAACAATATCACGTACAGTATTCGTCTCTAACTATGTTTCTCACATATTTGACTGTTCTCTAGTTTGCAGCCTCTGGTGGAGAGGGTATGATCACAATCCTGAAGAGATCACTGTCCTCAATGACCTACAGTTCCCTCTGCATGCCAGATGACATTGCTGAGCGTGGGCTGGAGTGTGTGCCAAACTTCTACTACAAAGATGACGGACTCAGACTTTGGGATATCATCCACAGGTATTATAGGGACTTTCTCTTTTGAATTATGTTTATAATTTGTTCAGACATAACACAAACTGAATGGAATGCTGCTTGGGTGTAAAAAAAAAAAAAGGGGGTCCCTCTGGTTCTCTTCAGTCGGGGATCCTAGATTAGAGTAGATTAGAACTGTTGAAGAAATCTGAGGAACTCAAGAGCGTAGTGATTTAAAGAAATCGTTTAATATCTCATGGCTGTTTACTCATAGTTAAAAAACATACCTATGTGTTTTTGCCATTCAGGCCTGCATCAGGGCAAATATTGTATTTTTAATTTATATGATATTAGTGCAAAATCAAGGATGTTTTAGTGACACATAGTTGCCATGCTATACTTTATACTTTAAAGATTCACACTGTGTTGGACTTAATCAGAATGCAATTAATCAGAGGCCATAAAGTACACTAAAGTGTCTCAGATGTGGGTTATGTGTGACAATTTGTGTGAGATTTCAGTACAGGAAATGCTTTCCATTTCCACTTGCAGGGGAAAAAAGTTGGACTAGAAGTAGTTGTTTGCTAGAAACCAAGCAAACAATCACATGCTCTCCTCAACTGAAGTGATATTAATGAGAACAGGACAGATCAGCTGGCCAGCACAAAGGCTACACATCTGTCTTAATGAGATTGCTCCAGCAAGGGGCACAAATCCTTGCAGGAAAGCAGCCTTAAAATACAAATACTGCATAGGATTAGAGGATACATTTTGTTCCGTTGAGTTCATCCGCAAATTGGGCTCCATGCTCTGGTAAATGATGCCTGGCTCGGCCATTGCAAAGAGAATCTGGCCTGATCAGCCATTTCATTACTGTTACGAGACGTTTTCTGTGGAGTGAAGGTTTGATTTTGCCACTACTGGGTGACTGAAGTATCTGGTTGCTGTGACCATTGTGATCATTTACAGTTGACTGAGGCTGTATTAGCCTGAACTTAAGTCAAGAAATTTACTACACAGAGAATGGCAGTCAGTGTTGGGTGTCTTATTGCAAAAATTTGCTGTTTAAATAACTGATCGTGCACAACATGATCCTTATGTATGAAATAAGAGAGCCCAAAACCTGCTATCTTGTGTAACTGGTTTTCTCAAAAAGGATTTCAGTGTTTCTGATAAGTTTCAACATAAATAAACACTAACGGTTTCTTTGAATCAGTTCTTTCAGTTAGTCCATCTTATTGCAATCTCAATCATTTATGTTGAAACATGCTCTTTTGTAGCAGTCACTGTTGCCAGAGGCACTGATGGAAATTTTGGGGCCACTAATGATAACTTCAAGTTACATCAAGCTAAACCTAATGCAGTCAATTACAACAGCCCTGCAATAAATCCTTCCTTCATAAAGTTTTTAAAGTTTTGTTTTTGTTGAAATTGTTTTAGAGAAGTGTTCATCTTTATAAAAATTTTGGAGGGTGGAGTTTGTGGTGCTGTTGAATTGTATTGTGTTAAACTGAGATGTGTTTCTAATATTAACAGCAGTCTAACTGCAGCAGTAAATAGTGTGAACAAAATATTACAAATACTTCTCAGTGTAACACTACAGAATGGCAAAAGGCCAGGTTTTAAGTCCTAAAACTTCTGAATGTCAGGACTGAGCCTTTTTAGAAAAGGCAAAACACCTACTTTGACATCACCGATGGCATTTTAACCTCAGTGTTAACATGCTGAGAGTCTGAACCCATTATGAGCAGTGCTGCAGCAGTTTTGAGCTGTGATTTATTGTTGATTTGCCCTTTAAATGTCAAGTGGCCTTGGTGTTAGTTTAACAATGCCTTAAAGAGATGACAGTACAGTGTAAGTGTGTCATCTAAACCTTAACTACTGGCTCATAATTAAGTAGACCCTCACAGTTGGCTGTGAAATGTTCTAAATGTTCCTGCCTAAACTTAAATTAACAGCTTCAAAATCATTCTGATGGTATACTGATTTGTCATAGTTAGAATGGTGGCTCTAACTATTACTTTCATAGCCAGACAGCACTCTAAAATGCCTGTTCTTGCAGTAACTTGGGTTGAGCGGGAACAATCTCCCACAAGTGCATAACGCTTACCGAAATATGGCAGCTACAGTAGCTTGGAAACTTAACAATATGGAGCAATGTAAATTCAATGAAGTTTCAGACCACAAATGAGACAAAAATTAGGTTGGAAAAACATTTTTTTATGAATAAAAAAACTGATGTTTCCTGATGGTCAACAGATTTACTTGTTGCTAAAGTAACAGTTAACTGTAGCTGCCATTAACTAGTTGCGTTAGTCAGCCGTACAGCTGACTCTGCCCTAATCGGATGCTTGGAGCACCGGAAGAACGTGTTGACACCCCTAGTACAGTAGAAGAGCTTTGCACCGCAGGACCCAAAAGAGTGTCTTCCTACTGCAGCGTGTATACAAATGTATATGTCGACTAGGAATATGTTTTACAGAACTTTCCATATTTTTCAAAGGTTTGTGCAGGGAGTTCTCAGCTACTACTACAAGACTGACGCTGAGGTCCAGCAAGACTCTGAACTGCAGAAGTGGATTTTGGACATTTTCGAACAGGGATTCCTTTCCAACGCAGACACAGGTAGGCTTAAAGAAAGCTCAATCTTTATGATGATAAATGTGCACATATATGTTCCATTATGTTATCATCTAGACGTCTTTAAGTAACGCTGTTTATTCTGTCAAATCTCAGGAATTCCACAGAGCTTTACCACCGTGGCTGAGTTGATCCAGTTTGTCACCATGGCGATCTTCACAAGCTCAGCACAGCACGCGGCTGTGAATTCTGGACAGGTGAATCCTTTTAATGCCGTTTTAGTGGAATTAATAGATGAGGATCCAGGGCTGGACAAATAAAATGGCATTTAACTAACATTCATACACTGATGCACAACATCGGGAGCAATTTGGGGCTCAGTATCTTTCTCAAGGACAATTCAACCTGCAGCAGGAGGAGCTGGGTATTGAACTGCCAACCTTTAGATTAGATTGACAGACGACCCACTCTACCTCCTGAGTTACAGCCGCCCCATAGCAAGCCTAAACTAGAGTCTACAGTCATGCTAGCAGGCTGTGGCTTCAAAAAGTATTAATCAGACATCTGTCAATCATTCATTGCAGTTTGACTATGGTGGCTGGATGCCCAACACTCCCATCTCCCTGCAACGTCCTCCACCAACCACAAAGGGGACAACAAGCGAGGCCACGATGCTGCAGACATTCCCTGCTGTCAACACAACAGTTCAGGGAATGGCCACCATGTGGCTACTCAGCAGACAGTCCTCTGACTTCGTAAGTGCATGAGACTTATACTAATGCATAAATAAAATGTATGTCCAAGTTGTGTAAAGTAAGTTAACATGACATTAGAGCAGAACTACCATCCACCAAAAAATCCAGTTCTGCCTACAACTGTACATTATGTTGCCAAAAGTCTACTTTTTTTTAAATGTATCATTGATCTCTCATCAGGTCCCTCTTGGCCATTACCCAGAGGACCATTTCAACGAGGAGATTCCCTGCAAGCTGGTGAAGGATTTTCAAGGAGAGCTTAAAGTGTTAAGTGAAGCCATAAAAGTCAGAAACAAGAGCCTGGAAGTTCCATACACATACATGGATCCAACGGAGGTAGAAAATAGTGTGGCCATTTGAAAATCAGGTGGTGTGTCCTCAGCCGTGGGCCAAATTCAGCTTCATACTAACAAAAGTGAGAAAGGGAGGAACTGCATGTTGTTAATTGATACTATGGCAGAAAGAAACTTCTGCATGTGATCATTGTATGTTGATCTGTGTCTCTTTTTATTCAGCATAATCGATTTAACTGGTTGATAATCTACATCTTAAATCTTTTTCTTGGGCTGTCAATGAATATACAGGGCATCTTATCAAACAAGATTACAAATGTAAAATGCAGAATGTGAAGCGGCTACACTGAAAGGTGTCTTATAAACACATGTATCTTTCATGAACAAAATTTGACTTTTTTCTGCAACAGCTATGCAATATGTCTGCAGTGCGTGTGTGTTGCATAATAGCCTTGCATTGATAAACTGATCTACAGCTTGATCAGTATGTTAGCCTGTTTGTTCTGTGCCAGTGCAAAGCAGTATTATAATTTTTTGTGACAAACAATAATAAAATATTTAATACCTAATATTTGCATTGTTTTCTTGTTATTGTTTTTGTAATAGCTGGTATAGTACATTTTCAGTTTACAGAACAAAATTAAACATTAGCAGTTCAGCACCCCACCAAGGCCTCAGAGAGGAAAAGCAAAGGAAAATAAAATGGGGAAAACAATACATACAATAAGGTTGTAGACTATTCCTGACATGTACATTGTTTAGCACTGTTTAACATAGAAACAACATTATATAAGATTATACATCCAACTGGCTACCTCATGTACACACATATATACAGGTGTATAAGAAAAAGTGTTGTCAAGTGAAGCGTTTTCATTTTCTAAAACTGATGAAGAGACTTTTAAACGTGTGTCAATGACATTCATGTGCTATAGGAATTAAAAAAAAACACTGTGCATAGGAATAGGAAATGTACGGAGCCCCTAAAGGGACATGAAAAAAAAAATAAAAAATCAAACGTTTCTAGTGCGCACTAGATAGTATCTAGTGCTCACTAGATAGTTTCTAGTGCGCCTAGATAGTATCTAGTGCTCACTAGATAGTTTCTAGTGCTCACTAGATAGTTTCTAGTGGCACTAGATAGTATCTAGTGCTCACTAGATAGTTCTAGTGCGCACTAGATAGTATCTAGTGCTCACTAGATAGTTTCTAGTGCTCACTAGATACGGATCTAGTGAGCACTAGATACGGATCTAGTGCGCACTAGATCCTATGGATGGAGTGTTGTGGCGAATCAGCACATGGCTCATTTAAATATTAAAATTAGCCATGTGTTAATAGGTCACAACACGAAAATGTAACCAATGAAATTACTTATTTTGACACACATTTTAAGCCAATACTTACTACTATCTAGTGCGCACTAGATACTATCCATATTGTGGTGAATCAACACATGGCTAATTTTAATATTCAAATGAGTATTAAACTAATTTGTCTGTAAGTAAAAAATAAATGTAAATTAATCTGTAACCTTTTTATTACAGTCCGCATTTAAATGCCTGTCCTCCTTTTGAGAAAATAACAAAAACAGTCCACCTTTTGACACATTACCTTGTTAGTTTAATACGTATTGGCTTAAAATGTGTGTCAAAATAAGTAATTTCATTGGTTACATTTTCGTGTTGTGACCTATTAACACATGGCTAATTTTAATATTTAAATGAGCCAACACTCATCCATATCTAGTGCGCACTAGATATGGATCTAGTGCGCACTAGATACGGATCTAGTGCGCACTAGATACTATCTAGTGAGCACAAGATACTATCTAGTGAGCACTAGATACTATCTAGTGAGCACAAGATACTATCTAGTGCGCACAAGATACTATCTAGTGAGCACAAGATACTATCTAGTGCGCACAAGATACTATCTAGTGAGCACAAGATACTATCTAGTGCTCACTAGAAACGTTTCATTTTTTTTTTTTTTTTCATGTCCCTTTAGGGGCTCCGTAGTAATGAATGTGGTTGATCTGTCATAAATAATATATGATTTAATATATGATTTAATAATCAAAGCAAAAACCCTTATTAAACATAGTAGCATACTCTTCAGTGATTAAAATGTACTATTACAAGTTTAAATAAGACTTCCCCATGATTTGTCACCATATTCTCCTTCCTTAACTGTTGAAGCAAAATATAACACAACCAGAGATATAATAAAGTTAGACACAACAGAATATACAGACACTGAGATAAGCGTTGCACAACTTTCAGACAGATTGACTTTCTTTTGTTTTAAACACTGTCCCACATTTACAAGCACTGTGATAACATTGAACTGAAACAATTGACTTCCTTGGTTTCATCAACAGAATTAGTCAGAAGTGCTGTTTTATGCTTTTACATATTCACACAAGAATTGTTGAGCTTGTATGAGCCAACTGGTTCATACTAGTCCACCTGCATTTGGTGGTTTTTGCATTTCTTAAAGACCTTTAAGACTTTGTTAACTTTACAAATCCTCCAGAAAGCAGAAAGTATTTTGGCTTCTTCAGGACTTGTTCTTGCAAGTGAATGTTCTCTGCCATCAATACATTGTTATGTCTCACCTAAAAATATTCTAAATCATTCATTCCTACTGCAATTCGACAGCAACATGTTTTTTCATTGTCATTGGTCTGATCTTTCTGTTTTATTGTCATTTAAAAAAAAGATTTTTCATAGATTCTATTAAATATTTAGCTCCCTTGTGTCATTTATTTGTTTGTTGGTATTGTATTGACTTTGTGAAAGTAAACCAGCATAAGCATTAAGTTTCATTTATTTTTTGTTAACTATTATATGGTTCTCTCTCTCTCGTTCATTAGTACTTGTGTCGAGGCCCATGTTGAAGACAAGCATGAATCCAGTGTGATGTCACCTATTGGTTTGTGGACTTTTTTTTCATTGTATGCTGATCTGTGTCTCTTTTTATACAGCAGAACTGATTTAACTGTGGTTGAAAATATGAAGCTGCTACATTGAGACTTGTCGTATAAACACATGTATCTTTCATGAACAAAATGTGACAGTCAGTTATGCAATATGTCTGCACTGCGTTTGTGTTGCATAATAGCCTTGCATTGATCAACTGATCTACAGCTTGATCTGTATGTGCTGCAAATGAATATAAAATTAATGTGGCTGATTTGTCATTTAAAAATCCCAGCAAAACCCTTCATTAAACATAGTAGCATACTCTTCATAGTGATTAAAAATGACTATTACAGGTTTAAATTAAACTTCTCAATCATTTGTCTTTTTTTTTTTTTGCAGCTGTATTCCCCTTCCTTAACCGTTGAAGCAAAATATAACACAACCAGAGATATAACAAAGGTAGGCACAACAGAACATACAGACACTGAGATAAACGTTACACAACTTTCACACAGATTGACTTTTCCCTTTTTTTTACGAGCTTCATAAAGATCTGATGAGATGATAAAATACTGTCCCACATTTACAAGCACTGTGATAACATTGAACTAAAACAATTGACTTCCTTGTTATCATCAAAAGAAGCAGTGTTTTATGCTTTTACATCTTCACACAAGAATGAAATGTTGTTTAGTGAGCTTGTATGAGCCAACTGGTTCATACTGGTCAATCTGCATTTGGTGATTTTTGCAATTCTTTGTTTATATTTCATCAAGATTTTGTTGACTTTACGAATCCCCCAGAAAGCAGCAAGTATTTTGGCTTCTTCAGGACTTGTTCTTGCAAGTGAATGTTCTCTGCCATCAATACGTTGTTACGTCTCACCTAAAAATATTCTAAATCATTCATTCCTACTGCAATTCGACAGCAACATGTTTTTTCATTGTCATTGGTCTGATCTTTCTGTTTTATTGTCATTTTTAAAAAAGATTTTTCATAGATTCTATTAAATATTTAGCTCCCTTGTGTCATTTATTTGTTTGTTGGTACGGTATTGACTTTGTGAAAAAAACATTAAGCATTAAGTCATCATTTATTAATTTTGTTAACTATTATGTGGTTCTCTCTCTCTCTCTCTCTCTCTCTCTCTCTCTCTCTCTCTCTCTCTCTCTCACAAGTGTAAATCCACTGTTTGTGGGCTTCCATTTTAAAGCCGCGAGTTGGTGTTTTGGCTGTCGCCATCTTGGTTTGGAGCCAGACCATATGTTGTTAAAAAGGTTGGATTTGGGGAGGATATGCATTAATGTGCCTCTATCCTGATCGGATCTGACCAAGAACCAGAGGACACGCTGTGGTAGCGATTTGTGATCACAAGAAGGCATGCCCTAAAGTATACCTTGCTTTATTATCTGTTTTACTCTACATGGGGCCATCATTTACTAAATGAACATCATGCTGTATTGAAGAAGACTTGAAATTAGCAATTGAGACCATAAACTCATTAGGTAAATGTTTACAGAGGTAGGTAGCAGGGTCATTTTCTCATTAGCTTACATACAATCTCTTTTGCAGCCAGCAGAGTCGCTCCCTGCTGGCCATCAGAAAGAATGTGGGTTTAAGTCACTTCCACATTGGCTTCACCTTTGAGACCTGGAAGCTACGTCCAGCCTCTTTTTTACAGTCTAAGATTGTAGACTTTGAAAAACATATTAAGTGTAACCAGATGCTCTGTGAGGTCATAACAAGGAAGTTCCATATTTGGTACTGTACATTTGTTAAGATTACGTATTAACAGATTTTCTACATGGCTTCTGGCCATTGGCTGAAAGTTGTTTACCTTTGAGGAAAGAACCAATTGGGTTTTATTGCTTTGTTTGCTGGAAAAGTATAAAACAGTAAGGTATTCTTCTCTTTTTCATTTGAGACATTTTCTTCGGCTTTCTGCATGAGGTTGGTCTCCATATTGCACAATATATTTAGTCATATCTATCAGCGTTTGCTCATTCCAAGTGCTTGCAGACTATTCCACATCAACTTATTGCATTTACACTGGAAATTATTCTTTTTCATTACTGTTGGAGATCCTTTACATACTAATACGTTGAGTCATTTGTTCAGTTTGAGCTCTTACATCTTAAATTACAGTACAACTTGACATCCATCATGGACACACCCCAAAAATCTGTCCTGTAGCTATGTATAGACGGAAACCCTCTGCAGACAGTTTTTTTGAAGAGCACATGTAAGGTAAGAAGGTTGGGGTTCACAATATTGCATTTTTGCATTTTGGCAAGATTAATACATAATTAGCTGCACATTGTCCTGTACTGTAACACTGGGTTTTTTTATATTAACTGTGGTTATTATCACTCTTTGTTCTCCACCAGGGTTCTTCTGCTCCTCAAAGCCAAAATGGTGAAGTATGAAGTGATTGTAACCACTGCAAACCTTGCTCAGGCCACCACTACAAACAATGTCTTCATTAAGCTGGTGGGCACAGATGGGGAGAGTAAACGCACATGGCTCACAAGCATTAAAGGGACAGCCACCTTTTACCTGGGAGCAGTGAGTCTTGATTATCCCTGGATTTCACACTTACTGTTGAAATGTGCAACATATTTCTTTAACTTGCATACTACTAATGTTTTAACACAAATATGCCTTTATATTTTGTGTGGAGATCAGGCCATTAACCTAATTATAACACTCTAATATATATTAAATTACCACCTTCATATGTAAGTGGATCAACTTCACTCACAAATGAAAGCAGAAATTTTCTAAAATTGATTCAGTAAGGTCCTAAATATTGTATGCATGTGTACAAAATTTCTGAGGCAGTATAGGAGTGGCATGCTGTGACGGTGATTGTACCCCAGCCGGGAATTTTATACAGTCATGGTGGAAATATGCATCAAGTTTCACTCCAGTGTGAATGCAGACATACCTTTTACCTTAAACACTACACCCCAGCGACTTAAATAACAAATTAGATGTGACCTGTTTTCTGTTAATATTTCTTATTGTCTTTATAAAATATATAAGATTATATGGGGTGACTCATCATGCATGCCTCATTTGGCACTGAGGAAAGTTCAACATTAACTGAAACGTTTGCACTTTTTTCACTGTCTGTACACGCTGTGATGTATCAAATAGAAATATTTAAAATCCAGACTCCAATCTGAATTCCTTTTTTGTTCTCTGTGTTTAAGTACTCCCTTGCTGTATGCAGTATGGTATTTTGACAAATAAATCAGATTTTTGAGATTGGAGTCTCAATTCAATAGATTTTTTTCTCCTCTTTTTGAATCTATTCTCAGAATTTTGGTTTTAGTCTATTAATTCATCAATTCATAAATGATAATACCCTGAAACTGTTTAAAGGTCCAGTGTGTACTTTGTAGGAGGATCTATTGGCAGAATAAGAATAAAATATGTAGGTATGTTTTCATAAGTGTGAAATGTCCTGAAATAAGAATTGTCTGGAGTCATGTTGAACTGTTGTATATAACCCAGAAGGGACAAACCAAAACACTGGCTCTAGATAGGGCTATTCATGTTTTTCACGTTTTTCACAGCCATGGTAGTTTTGCCTTTGTGCTTGAAAGGGGAGGGTGATGCAAGGGAGTTGCAATCTGCAACTATACATGCCATTAAATCCTACTTTTGAATGGGGTGAATCAAGCATCCTAAAAGCATTTGAGAATTAAATTAATACAACCCACTATGTACCATAGCCACATTGATAATAGTAATATTATTTTAAATGTGTACTACCGTAGATGAAAAATGAATATCAAAGTAACTGCATTCATGTGATTTTGTAGGGGCTCTGTATGTCTTACAAGTAATAAAATAAATAAATAATCTTTGCACTTGATCTGCAAAAATACCACTTATATGCAAAGAAAATCACTTAAAATGTTGGCAATTTGCAACTGCACCTACGTTTGTGTTACTACTGGCTATGCATCTGCGCACAGACAGAGAAAAGAGCCTCTCCCACCTTCTCTTTGTCTATTTGCAGGAGTCTAACTTTTCGGTGTCCTGCCCCACCTCTCTTGGAAAGCTGGTGCTGATTGAGGTGGACAAAAAGCCTCTCCCACTGTTCCCTGAAGACTCCTGGTTTCCCTGCAAGGTGAAAGTGAAGTCCCCAGAGGGAGACATCTACAACTTTCCCATCTACCGCTGGATCGCTGACAATGAGGTTCACCTGTTCAGAGAAGGAACAGGTTTGTCAAACCGTTCTTGACTATTACAATACAATGTGCTGATTACAATTTTACTGCCCCCCAAACATAAGAGAGCTAAAAAGATCAATTGTATAATGTTTTTCTCAGCTCTAAGAATCTTTGACGACAATCATCATCTTGGCAAGTACAGTAGAGAGAAGGAGCTGAAGCAGAGAGAGCAACTGTATAGGTGAGAGCCAGTATTGTGTGTTAATATAATATCCTGCACTCTACAAAGAATGCACGTAATGTTGCCAAAGTTAATAACACATAATCCTGTATTGCTTTCTGTAACTTACTGGTAATTTTAATCATTATCTGGTTTGTCAAATGTGAATCATACTGCACTCATACCATAATGCTGTCGTTTATTTCCCAGCTGGGATGTTTATAAAGAGGGACTACCTCACTGCATTAAAGCAGACAACCCTCTTTCTCTGCCTTGTGAGGTCCGCTTCTCCTTCACCAAGACTACAGAGTTTCTCTACACTGCATCAACTGGGTGAGAGCCTCAAATTTGATCAGACACTAGTTTTTCGAATCCTAAATGGTACAAATCTTTACAGAACCAGCCCAAATACATGTTAGCATTAAGGACATCAACAATTGTCTAAATAAATAAATAAAATAATAAATAATAATAAAGACATTTCTTTGTGCATCAACGAACGACATACGAATGCTTCATATTTTGATCGTGCAGGCTGACAGAGCTGAAACTGAAGGGACTCTCTGATTGCGAGAAGAACTGGTCTGACATTGATGGTATTCGCAAAGTATTCTGCAACAAAAAAAACGACATATCAGGTACAAGATATTGAAATACTGAGAAATAATTGGCTTTTTGTACAAACCTAATCACTGCTCTGTGATTCAAAAACATGCAGATGTTATGTTAAATTGACTGCTTGACTGCCATTGCCAATACTGTTGTTGCTGTGCACCTGTCTGTCTGTCGCTCTCTCTCTCTCTCTCTCTCTCTCTCTCTCTCTCTCTCTCTCTCTCTCTCTCTCTCTCACCCCAACTGGTCGAGACAGACGACCACCCACCTAGAGCCGGAGGATCTGTCCTAGGTTTCTGCCTTTTAACAGGCAGTTTTTCCTTGCCCTTGTCGCCAAGTGCTTGCTCATGGTGGTACTGTTGGGTCTCTGTAATTAATGTTAAAGAGTTCGGTCTAGACCTGCTCTATTTGAAAAGTGTCCTGAGATAACTTCTGTTATGAATTGGCGCTATACAAATAAAATTGAATTGAATTGAATTGAATTAAATTGAATTCAGATTAACAAATCATAATCCTGAATCCTGCTTTTTTTTCTAGACTATGTCCAGCAACACTGGACGGACGATGCCTTTTTTGGCTTCCAGTATCTAAATGCTGTCAACCCCTTGTTGATCCAACGTTGTACAGCCCTGCCCAAGAACTTCCCGGTCACTGATGACATGGTTTTTCTCCGCGGTGGGAGCAGCTTAAGTGAAGAAATGCGGGTACTTTTTTGTTAAACTTTTTTTGTTTAAACTGTTGAACTTCACTGTTGATCATATAATAACATAGCAGTCTGTTTGTGTGGACAACAGCACTGCAATAAAGTGTTGGTCCATGTCAAAATTTAAAATTTGTGACCGGCCTGTTATACTTCATTTCTCAGCTTACCAAACTGCGAAAATTATAATAGCTCTAAAATTTAAAACAGAAAGGCAACATATTCCTGTGTGACTACAAGCGTTTGGATGGAGTGAAAGCAAACACCATCAATGGGAAGAAGCAGTACTTGATGGCTCCTCTCGTCCTGCTCCACAAAACCCCTGATGAAAAGCTGATGCCGATTGCTATTCAGGTGAGACTGAGATTGGTGGTTTTGAGATTTACTGCCAGATGAAGCAGGTTTAATTGAGTTTTGAGTTTATTAGACAGAGGACATTGGGTTTATAGGCTTATTTGAAATGTTTTGAGAATAAACATTTCTTTATAGCACCATCATGTGGACTCCTTCAGTAACATTTAGTTAGGGATCTTTTCTAGAATAGCCTACTGATCATATATTTTGTTTTAAATACATGATGCTACAGGACATGCAGATAAGTGCCTGCTATGTAATAAGCCACAACCCTGTCAATCAGAGTTGGTGTGTACTGAGTTTTATAGTGTATGTATGGATTTGATTGTGCTTCAGTAGACACACTTTATTTCCCTCACAAATATTTTACTGCTATATATTTCTACTGATAGTTGGATAAAAGCTGTATGAGTCATCGCCATTGAAGTGACAGGCCATCCATAGTCTGATTCACAGCTTACATACATAACAGCTGTCCAGCAGCTGGTTTATAGTTACCAAGTTACATAAAGCAGATGTCAGGTTTTGTGTAAATGAATAATAGAAGAACACTTTTGTCATGAATGAATGTATTGAAAACAACAGTGGATTATAATGGCTGATATTCATTATAATAGACTTATTGTTCAAAATATTTAAAGCTTGAACATCTGAGTCAGCCAACTAAGCAATGGGGTCAGTCAGACTGTGTGAAATACCTACTTTAGAATTTTTAAAATCCCTCTTGCCACATTTTAACTTTAACTTTAAAATGTATTCCTAGAAAAATACCGAAAAGTTTGAAAGACAGTTTCCAACAGCAGCCCAACACTTTAATAATTGGTCATTTTTCTTGGTTTCACTTTTTGCTTTTGGTTTACTTTCTCAACAAATTTGGGAACGATCACCTAAAGACACACTCTGCAGTTTTAATGATTGTGATGATGAATGAATCATCATCTCCTTCTCCTGCAGCTGAAGCAGACTCCAGCAGATGACAATCCCATCTTCTTTCCTACTGATTCTGAGTACGACTGGTTGATGGCCAAGATTTTTGTGAGAAGTGCAGACTTCAACGAGCATCAACTTAATGTTCATCTGCTGCGCACTCACCTGCTGGCTGAAGTGTTTGCAGTGTCACTGCTGCGCAACATTCCCATGGTGCATCCACTGTACAAGGTAACTGCAAGAAACAATACTGAACTTACTGCAGTCATAGTTTTTTCAACTTTAATTTTTGTATCTTAACCGTCACCCTAATTTTTTTAGTGTGTATATATTTGTAAGTATTTCACACTGAAGCATCAAGATTCCTGACTCCCTCTCTCCCTCAGCTCCTCATACCCCACACTCGCTACACTCTGCAGATCAACTACTTGGCTCGACTTGTTCTAATATCTGAGAGTGGAGTTTTCACACAGGTACCCAAAGACCAACACACCCTGTAGACCAATATCATGTACAGTATTCGTCTCTAACTATATTCTTCACATATTTGACTGTTCTCTAGTTTGCAGCCTCTGGTGGAGAGGGTATGATCACAATCCTGAAGAGATCACTGTCCTCACTGACCTACAGTTCCCTCTGCATGCCAGAGCACATTGCTGAGCGTGGGCTGGAGGGTGTACCAAACTTCTACTACAGAGATGACGGAGTCAAGCTTTGGGATATCACCCACAGGTATTATAGGGACTGGCAATGTACTGTAATAATACAAAAAAATGAACTTAAACCTTCACTTTTATAACATTTATTGCTGTATTTGCAGTCCAAGTGATTAGGTTTCGAATGAAAACAAAAAATAATTCTACACCTAATAATAATGTTCATATCCTGATTTGTTCCTTTCTTTCAACCGGAGTGAGGCACAACTTGTGCCAGAAAGTCTTCTCAGTGCCCAGGTGGCCAAGAAGTGATGTGTCATATTACAGAGACACACAAGTGAACTGAGCCAAGTTCTGTGGGTTGTTTGGAAATGTAGTAGGTAGGCAGCACAGCAGGGACTGGCTTCACTGCCCTCACCAAGTAATGTTTGGAAAGTCTAAGTGATATGAAGCACAATAAACAAGCTCCCTACACAAATGGAATGAACTCAAAAAGGCAACAGAAAGAAAATTATTTAAATTTTTCAAGTATAATAACGCTCTAACCACAACCCCCAGAAAAGAGTAGTACCAATTCACATCTGGGTCTTGGGGGTTGTTCACAAGTCCTCTTGCATGTTACCCCTCATGTTTCAATTTATTTCATGCTAATATGCTGTATTGCAGCAGCAGGGAGCATCTCCAAGAGTAGATGCCAAGTCAAACTGTATTGCCCTTTACATTTGCTACGTGACATGAGTGTTCCTGAAGGATGTCAAAGTAATGATACAAAATTGTAGAAAGAGCAAAACAATATGTCAGATGCTCCTGAAAGGACTGCAGTGTAAGGTCTAAAACCTGATTAGAATTTGTCACAATGTTGTAGTTTAAAGTATTTTTCCTTAAAGGTTTGTGAAGGGAGTGCTTGGCCACTACTACAAGACTGATGCTGAGGTTTGCCAAGACTCTGAGCTGCAGAAATGGATTCAAGACATTTTTGAACATGGATTCCTCTCCCAGGCATGCACAGGTGTGCTTAAAGACAAGCTGATTTTTTGTTTTTCAGAAAGTTGTTATTTTATATTATTCTGCATAATACATTTTTCTTGATCTCAGTGTATTCATTCTTGCTGTTTTCGTGAATTCACAGGAATCCCTCAAACCTTTCGCACTGTGGCTGAGTTGGTCAAGTTTGTCACCATGGTGATTTTCACTTGCTCAGGCCAGCACTCGGCTGTCAACTCTGGACAGGTGCATTACTATAATCAATTATATAGACTTGGTCGGTTTCCTTTTTTTATCTTTTTGTGTAGAAGTCTTTTATTTTAAATTGAATTATGAAATACAGACATTTATTGTCTAACTAACTTTGATCTTGAATTATATATTTTATACATGGTGCCTTTAAATACGTTTAATCTTTGTCAATGACTTGCTCATCAATTGCAGTATGACTATGGTGGCTGGATGCCCAACACTCCCATCTCCCTTCAGCGTCCTCCACCAACCACAAAGGGGACAACAAGCGAGGTCACGATGCTGCAGACATTGCCTGACGTCAACACAACAGTGCAGGGCATGTCCACCATGTGGCTTCTGAGCAAGCAGTCCTCCGACTTCGTAAGTGCCAGAGACTGCATACAAAATTATATCTATCAAACTAATGTTTGTAGTATTTAAACACATTTCATCATATCTTAATTATACTATATTTTACTGTAAATATGTCAACATGCATTCTTCTTGGAACTGCATCTGAATATTTTTGGAATTACAGTTTTATTGAAACCCTATGTCAGCAAAGAAACGTAGCATAAAAATGGTGGCCGTGTCTTGCTCTTCATATTGTTAACATTATGTTTTGTCAGGTCCCGCTCGGCCAGTATCCAGATGAGCATTTCTTTGAGGAGGTTCCCTGCACGATGATAAAGCACTATCAAGGAGAACTGGAGATTTTAAGTACAGTGATCAAAACCAGAAACAAGAGTCTGGAAGTCCCATACACATACATGGACCCTGTTTTGGTGGAAAATAGTGTTGCTATTTGAATATTGCAGTGAATGAAGGTTTGACCTCATTCATGACTCAGACTATGGACAGTTTGCTGATTAATCATCTCTTTCCCCCCACAGGGTTGGTGTCCTCATGAGGAAAACCTAATTAGCCTAATTAGTCTTTCAACTTTCCAGTGATGACTTTTCATATTGTCCTTATACCGTAATTGTCTAAAGCTCATTTTAAACCCTCTCATGGCAACTTTGCCAGTGGGCACTCTCAATAAATTTAAACATTTGTATGCAAAACACAACACTGCTTAACACTGCTGTGTTAGCAGTGAGCAAATGTAACAATCCAAGCATTTTAGCAACAGTTCTGCTTGCTCAGTCTAGGCCCTTGTTATATTTTTGCCTCAAACTGATCAGTCTTGTATATTCCATTGTCTCATTTAATTTTCTTTCCATAAGATTCTGATAAGCATTTATGTACCTACACCTGCCCTATCATGCAATGTAACTTTACCAATAATAAAATCATATTCAAACGACACTTTTGAGGTTGTGCAAGTTGACTTTCAAATTGTAGTGAAAAGGTTATTTGCATTCAGCTATCTATCATCAAATTAAGTAAGTCCTAAAAAATAGCTGTCATCTTCATTCTACATTAAGTTTGCCACATGGAGACTAAATCAATTTCCATCAGAAATACATGTAAATTGAGCTGCTTAGATTTTATGTATGTATACTGTGTGGTACTCCCATTGCGCCGATTGCTCTGAGGGCTTTTTTAATGCAATATTTTGACAGCAAATAAACAGTGGTTTGTGACTGTTACTAACAGTGAAGATTTTGGCTGTTTTAAAGGCGTATTTGGGGTTGTGGTAGACACAGAGTAAGCAGAACAGCCAATGTGACCATCCCTCATCAAAGTCCTCCTGCTTCCTCTAAGTGTTGTAGATCCATTGTGTCTGTGAGGGCATTGTCACTAGGTTGACAGGCAACTTAATGTCAATATAAGGGCCTGCTTGATTGCTTACGTTTCAAGCGGAGCAGCGCCATCAATGGTAGCTTGGTGATATCCAGAACCTTCATCTCATTCACCCACAGCACATTGCCACTGAGAGCCTTCAGACTTCTACAACAATCTCTACCAACAAGAAGCCTGAATCTTCCAGCATTGACCCCTATTCAGAGGGCATGTCTAACAAGTCCCTCAAAGTCATCTCTTTCACCTTCCAAGTTCATCCCCAATTTATTTCTGCCCCCCTTTGAGAACACCCAATGGTCATCTGCTCTGACAGCTTCTCTGTTGAGTCATCTTTGCGAGCCTAATCTCTGAGACCTCTCCTTCAGCACGACAGATTACTGATAGCTCCAATGCCTGACAAAGATCTCTGTTAGATCAAATTTTTGCTCTGTGAAATCTACTGGGAGCTATTAGTGCAGTGTGCAGATCTCCTGTCCAAATTCAACATTGTTAGAGGCAAGTTTTTTTCATTTCATTTCAACAGTGATGGATTAATCTGTGAGTTAACAGACAGAATGATCTATTGATGATTCACTTGATTCATCGATAACATCTACAAAGGGTGGGTATAGGTAGCTGATCACACAGCTCTTGAATAACTGCAGTAAAAGACCGACAGAAGGTCGGCAAATTGGCACTCAACAGGTGAGGAAGGGTTCTTTCTGGTTGAATGCCCTTCATATCTCTCTTATCTGTGATGTAACACCGAGCACTTCTGATAATGAAATCATAGTCAAATGGTGGTACAGTAAGTCCAGTTGCAATTTAGTAAACCTGCACTGTTTGGCTGTCTGACAAATTGGGGTTTAACCCTTGCCTGTCCCTGTTTGTCCTGTTCTTATGCATGATGAAGGACATCACTACTGTTGGTGAAAGTTCCTTCATAGTTAACGTCACCATTTATCTCCTCTTATGACATTCATTAATGTCCCATTAGCACTGATAGATTTCTTGTTTCCATGGAACAAGTGTAACAGAGTCTGGGAAGGTCTTTCTTCTTTATTCAGCCAGAAGCTTCAGGCTTTATTCTATACTGTATGAACTGAAAAGGTGTTTGATATTTCCTTCTTGTATTATGTTCTCTGCCTCCTGCTGGGTGTATGTGTGTGTGCTTGTGAGAAAAAGAGAGAAAATGCCTGACTTTTCCAACCTTCTAGAGACAACTGGGAAATGACAGAGAGGAAAACACACCCAAACACTGAGATACAGGCAAATACACACATTTGTGTTAGCTATTGCTTCTGCCCTCTGGATTCCTTTCAGCTACGGTGGTTTATCTTAATAAAGGGACTGTTTGCTTGCCCTTTTTGTCCCAAATAAGCTGCCCTGAGGGAAAATGAAGTTTTTAACAGTATTTCATCACAGGTCAGTGACAGGACTTCGGAGAATCATCTGTTTGGAGACTGATCTAATATCGAAAGTGCAAACCTAATTTGAGCAAACAAAAATTTGATTCATTTTCTATGTTTGCTGTACGTGTGTGCATATGAGTTATATAGAGAAAAAGAAATATTAGCCATGATCCCCGTCTCTTTAGAGACCATCACACTTATATTTCCTATTGGCCAGAAGCATCAATTCACACTCCAAAGTTCACCTAAGCTGAACTCGTACAAATGTACAGTAGGTTTCATTCCCTGCTGCGAGCACATTCACCGGCTTAAGTGTTTCCATGAATGTGAAATATATTGAAAGAAGAAAACTGACATGGCAAAGGTGAAGTGGTGACCTCCACTCAGTGCTTTATTTCACTTATACAGTATGACGGCCACCCACCATAGAACCACCCCTGCGCCCCCAAAAAAACATGAAGGTTGTGTTTATATTAAAGTAGTCAGTTTGACCCACTTCAGTTAGAGTATGTATTGTGGTTGCTTGCTGTTCAATATACTTTGCACATTTATTTATAATGATGGTCCAATTATTGACTGGAACTATGTCTGCTATTATTCAGTTTTATCACACACCCGCCAGCTTTGAGACACAGGTATGCTCAATGGCCATGGTATAAATAAAGATAATATATCTTTGAATGTCTGTGAGGAAAATGAAATATTTAATCAAAGCATGCATACTTCTGCCTCTTACCAGTTTGCAAACTAGAAGTGCTTTGCTCTCCATCATCAGGTTGTGCCTGTCATCTGCAAAGACCTTTTTTTTTCTTCCTTTCATTCCTTTTATTTTGAAACCTTTGTTATGTGCTATGAAGACTGTTGTGCTCTCCATGGCATTCTTTAACATTTAATTTCCCAAAAAATAATTCAACATCTTCAAATTAAATCAAATGACCTGATCCTTCAATCTTTTTATTTGCATAAAATTTAATAAGGCCTTCTGTTGCATACGCATACACTGTCTTGAATCAAGATTTTTTTTAGGACTTGTCAAACTCTAATGCTGAAATAATAAATTATTCTTCATAAAAGAGATCTTGAATACCAAAGTTGACTAATAGTCTTATATCAAATTGTGCCAAATAAAGCAATGTGACCTGCAAACAGTAAAGAAACTGATTGGAGAAGAAAGTGAATTCACATGTTGGGATGCAGAAGTAATTGGATTTTCTTATCAAACTGGTGCTGAATAAATCAAGGACAGTCCTTCCTTAATACTGACATAAATAAGAGAAATATTGTGATTTGATACTTTGATCATTTTACGCAGGCCTAGCATATGGGAAATAGTTTGAAGTTCTGGGGCATCATTATATCAAAGGTATCCTTTTGAGCTTTCACTCAGGTTTGTGTTTGTTCCTCATCAAAATGTATGTATTGTGTGCAAGTTTAGGGTTTAATCAAACACGATCAATGCATTTCTTACCTCTTCAGATATTTTCTAAGGTTTTTTATATAATTTTTTAAATCTGCATTGTTACTGTAACGTCAAATGGCTGCAGTGTTGGAGGAAGTATTCAGATCTTTTAGTAAATGTACTTATGACACACTGTAAACATACTCTAATACTGTGACAAGTTAAAGTCTGAATTGAAAATGTTACTTAAAGTGAGTTAAAGTATGTAAGTATAATCAGTATTTAAATATTACATCTTTAGATTATTGCTACTAATTCAACATTATAAAAACAGGATTTTACTGTTGTAGTTGGTTTAGTTGGAGCTAATTTTTAACTATTTTGTATAGTACTTAAACAAATGATTATTTTCATTATGGATTAATAATTTCCTTGATTAATCAATAGAATGGTTTGTAAAAATTCTGATAAATGCTTTCACAATTCCACAGACTCCAAAGTGACACCTTCACAATGCCTGTTGTGTCCCATCAATAGTCCAGACTTAAAAAAGGGTGAAGAGATGGAGTTGCAATCTACAATTAGACCGCTAGATGTCACTAAATCCTAGACACTGGACCTTTAATTTTCTATCAATTCACTAACAGATCAATCGACTAATGGTTTCAGCTGTATAATGTTGGGAAGTTTCATTTGTAAAGTTACTAATGACTATGACTAAAACAACTAAACTAAAGCTGTGAAGTGGAGTAAAAAGTACAATATTTCCATCTGACATGTAGTGCAGTAGAAGTATAAAGTTGCATGAAAAGAAAAGACAAAAGTGAAGTACAAGTGCCTCAAATTGTACAGTATTTGAGTAACATTCCTGTCCTCTTCTTTTCCCCTTTTATTTGAGGATTGCCATCTTTTATGGCGTCACCTGCTGTTCATACCCTTATGCTCTTAATCTAGGTGTGTGCCCTCATACATACCTGCTCATCAAAACATAGCTCGACAGTGCCACTAGTAGTCAAAGACTCAGAAGGATATCTTTAAAAAAAAGTTTTACATCAGCTTCTCTTGTAAACACCGTGCAGCAGCAGTCAGCAACTAGGATAAGAAAAAAAAAACACGCTTTCTTTCATAACATATCAGTCAAATGTATTTTATTTACATACAGGTCTGGATAAATCTGAATTTGGTGAATGCACCCATGCACACAGAAAACCTTAAAATTCCAGCCGATGCCCTTCATTATCACAGCATACAATATGCAACTATGTGCTTGCCAAGTTACAGACAGCATTATACCATAACACATGAACATACACATTTTGTGCACACACAGCCTCCTAATACACAAGGTTTCCATCTGTATACATGTTCTTTCATTAAAAGTTGAAATACCAACCATTTTGAAATCCAATTAATATTGATGTATGAAATTACATAACGTATAAACCACACAACAAATGGGATTGTAGATCTTTAGAGTATGTACACACAACTACATTTACAATAATACAATTTGTGAAAGCCTACAAAGTTGTTGGTATCGTCTTTATAACAAACTGCACTTAATATAACAAAGCACATACTGTATAATAGAAAGTAACTGTTGATTTGCAAGTGTCGAAAATCATACACTGATTCTGTTCACACATTTCAAGTATCTGAAAAACACGAGTGTTTAAACAACTTTTGGAGGCTTCAATAAAAGATCGGGGTAGAAAAGGTCCTAAATGTTTAAACCCCCTTCTACCAAACAGATCTTTGAAATACTGAGACAACAAAAGAAAAGCTGCGCTGTTTCAGTCAAAACTGTGTCATAGAAGAAAAGTCAGATTGGATCAACAAAAGCAAGGTTAAACTGACTCTCTATTCGGTTTTATAGTTAAGGGCTATATCAGATTTGAAGTCATCTGGATTTGAAAGAAATTATGACAAATACAATTTGTCTTTTATATACTTTTTTTAAAATCTCTCACCCTCAAAGAAATGTATATCATCTCTGATATTCTGATCAAAACAGTCACAAAAAGCACCTCTGGCCACATGTTTTCACATTGAGCAAATAAAAATTAATGGCTTGTGGTTAAGGGATCAAAGCAAGGTAGAAGCAGACTCATACGTAAGGGAACGATCCTCTCTCCAGAAAGAAATGAAGTGAGTGACGGCCTCTCAGCTGCGTGGCTGGAAGGCTGCCAGGGCTGTGTTAGGTGGAGGACATTTCCATGGTAAGTAGGTACATGCAGGTTTCAGAGTAACAAGGTGATGGAGTAAGAGGGAGGCTGAAAAGACTAGGTGTGCTGCTGGGATCAGCCCATGACATTCGATTCAGTCTTTTTATTCATGGACCGTCAAGAAGGAGAAACCCACTGTTCTGCAGACGCACAATTTTTCGGATATCGTTCGCAGGATGGCTGGGAGGAATAGGAGGATTGGGGAGGGGTGTGCTGGGGGATCAGCGAGAACCCAGGCAGAGTGAGGGGTTGTCACAACAGAGTCACTTCTCTTTGAGATGATTTTCCCTCTTGTTTTCTTTCTGCCTTTCTCTGTTCTGTCAGTCAGAGTCTCCTCAGATTGTGCTCCTCTGAGCAGGAGGCTTTTCTCAGGGTGATGTCGTCTACAGCCATCTCGCCACTCCTGCCTCGCCCACGCTCCCCCTTCAGGATCACCTGGTGAACAACAGCAATATGCACACTGAGGTACTAGCACTGAGGAACAATCACCCCATGCTGTTCTGTGATGAAAGAGAACTCACAGCGTTTCCACTAAAAGCGGATGTCAATCTTAGATTTATTTTTTCAGATCCAGTCTTTTGAAATGCTGCTCTGATTTATTTTTCATAAACAGGAATAAAAACATTTCTCTTCGCTACTGTCCAAAAATATCTGTAAAAATATTAATTTAAAATTCACACTGTATGAGTGAACGTCTTTGACATGCTAATTGTTATACTTACACTTTCCAGGCCTGTTCCCCATAATGTGATTTGGGTGTGCCTCCAGCCATTTCCCCCTGTCCGGCCCCAGACTGCAGGACTGTACTGCTTTCCCTTCTTCACAAACACTTGCAGCATGCCCACATGGTGTCCTGCCAGCTTGTGCCGGAACGACAGGCACAGATTGCCGTCGTTCCAGGGTGGGGTGAGTGGGAGGACCAGCCGGGCCCCACGCCCAGTCCTCTTGTTGCCTACCTCGGGAATGGTGAGGTACCGTCCACCTGGGGAGGCAAATGACAGACATTACAGTCCATTAATAAAAATAAACGGAATATGATTTTTGGGCAACACTGAATTGTGTTAATAGATGGGAACTGAATCTTAGAAAACGTAGCACTACGAATGTATCATCCTGCTGTAAGAATGCCACACCTGGTTGCATCGTTGTCCTGTGTCCTTGACAAACTTAATAATAATGTAATAATAAAAGTAATAAATGTATATGTGATTTTACACTTTATAATTTATACTCATCAGTCTGTACACAATGTGAATTATTTATGCATATTAATGTTTCATGGACTGTAAACCTCTGTAAATTGGTTTCAACTGACCTCAACTGAACCAAACAAAGTTGACATAAACAAAGTGAGTTCAAGCAGACTAGAATAAATAGAAAATAAATGACACCATTTCTAATAGATTAAAGGAGATTGGTTCAGCCAAACAACACAAAGAAAACACACATATTTTCTCATTCACCCATCAAGCCATGCTGACAGTTTTGGTTTTATTTTTTATGGCTTTGGGATATCTGTGTCAAAGATTCTTGCTGCCACCTCAGTAGAAAGTGGTGAATGGAGTTTCAGCTGTGGTGCTTGCAGCATTAAAAAATAACATTTGACAAACAGAACAGCAGCTTGGCTTTCCAGAAACAATAGCCAGGTCTACTTTGGATAATTAACAGTCCTTACTATGAACAGTTTTTTCCATTAGAGCTACTTTCTACCTCAGAAACAGTCCTCATGCTAACGCTGAGTCAGTGGAACAATGCTTCTGGACAGTTGCTTTTGAGTTTTTCCATATGAATTGCATTTTTTGTTATGCTTAGAACAATGAAATTCATCCATTCACCTGATCATATCTGGGTGCCAGCACAACCAACAACCAAGCCTACACAAGCAGCATGGCCTATTAAGGTATAAGAAGGAGGGTTAGGGTTAATACTTTTTGTACTTTTCATTTCTTCCTTATTGGTTGAACTGACCCTGTAACATGTAGGTAGGTCTGTATGTATGTGATAGCACACATAAAAAATATTTCATCCCTGACAGTCAAGTGAAGAATTTGTAGAAAATAAACTATAAAAAAAATAGACAATTAAAAAAGATTTGACCCACTTATGTATCTTCACCTCAAAATAAAGCCAGTTGCCAGTGGCAAACAGATTTTTTTTTTTTGTAATTCATGCATTAGTTAGTGATAGTAGAGCTATATAGTTTTTAAATTTTAAAAAAGTGCTTCTGGGTATTAGCTGATAAATGCTGATGTATTTTGCTTATCTAGCAGATCTGTGTCGGGCTGGAGTTAACCACAGGGGGTGTGATATCAATCTGTAGGCCACAGAGGCTTTCTGCATAAATTATGAGCCCCCTCAAAATGTGTGCCAGGCCTCTAACAGCAAATGGGTGTTTGCCAGTAGCTATTTATCAGAAGAACTTAAAGTGATGAACAGTAAATGCTTAAATACTTCACAACACAGTTAAGATGTAGGAAAAGGCATGTATAGGTGGACACACACATATCCATAAATAAGACACTATTAAAATGTTCTGATAAAATATATCCACTACTATAAATTAAATTGTTGCCTCTTCAGTGGAATTACTCTTTGTCAGGGCTAAGCTTATCATTTACTGTAAATTATTTTTGGGAAATTAAAAGTCAAGGCAAAAATCTTTATTTTCTCTAATGAGTGAGCACAGACTTGGCTGAAGTGAGGGTGAGTCTGAATGTCTGGGAACACGCTAGTAACTGAAAAACTACGCCAACTGGCAGGGGAAGCCAGATGTAGTTAGTGTGGCTTAAACAGTGCCAGTACACTGCACTGTTTAGTCTTCACACCCCGTCTACTGAGTCCTCTCAACATAATTCATCACATTTTCTCCTCGTCTGAACCCCAAGAAAAACAGTGTCGTGTTCCCATTTAATGTGAGCCACAGGTATCACTGACGGGTCGCGTAATCCACTTCTCATTTGCATCGCTTTGTAAAGCAAAGCGCTAATCTGCAGAAAAGACAAACCACTTCCCTCAAGTAATTTTCATCTTGACCTGTAATTGAGTAGAGCAAAATTGAGCTGCTTAGATTGTTTGACTCTGTGGGTGTTTGCATATGTGTGTGTGTCAGTAAAGGAAGCGCAGCTTTTCTCGTTCGGATTTACTGACAATAAAATAAACAATTCTCCTTAATAGAGTGTCTGAGTGCGAATAAATGACCCCTGCCCTTCATTACCTGACGGATCGGGCGTCGTCTCCCAGTGCAGGTCTCCGTCTTTGTCCCTGATCCAACCACAAAGACCATCATCAAAGGAGCAGCTCAGATACCCGGACTCTGAAGAGAGTGAAACACACTTATCAGCAGGTGTACACACATACAAAAAAGACTTTAGTCTGCTCTATTGCTCTACCCTACTGTGTGCCTCTAACATTACCGGGAGCAAGGGGACTGTTCAAGCACCTTCTGATGAGCATGATGATACAATAAAAGTGTAAACATTTGTTGTAATCTCTGAAGAGAGCTGATGCATGGAGGAAAAATCAAGTGAGAAGGAGATGCACAAATGGCAAGTGGAAAAGCATTCATCTAAGAAAATCACAAATTATTGTATGAGCTGCTAGAATTGATATCAGTGCGTGTATGTGTGTGAGCATACTTCTACACACATAGCCTATTGTATGCATACCCCTATATCATAGTAAAACAGATTATAGTTACTACAGAGAGTCATAATATTCAGTGACTGATGATTTCTTTCCTTGCGATGATTCCTAGACAATAACATTAAAGGAATGCAGGGAAAACAGTTGCGGTATCATCCATGCATTGCTGTACAAATTGGTTTGAAGATAAGAATAACATCCATCATTTTGTTGCTGAAATAGGGTTTCCACAAAAAACTTCTCAGTTCATTTTCTGAGCCAATGAAAATGCATTCTCTCTTGACACCGTATAGCAAATGATGCACTGTGAACCAAAATAAACATGTAACTAAATCATTAGGCAATTTAATCTGCATACCATCAATAAATCACATTGAGCAAATATGACAGATAAAATGCTGTCTCCTCACAAAAGCTATTTTCTTATTGTTGTTGTAGGAACTCTTCATCGAGAACTATGGAGCTTGAGAGGACTGATGTACCTCCAAATGATCAATTAATCATTTAAGCAGTCAAGCAATCAAGCAAGCATAATGTGAAAAGTGGAAAAGTCTGGCAGTATGTTCTGGGCCCTGTGCCATTATTTAAACGGATACAGCCAGATGTCATGTGTCACCTCCTGGTGAAAGGCCTATCAAAACACATCTGGTCACTATAATATCTTCGCCTCGGCAGCACCACTGCTGGAGCTGATTGTCAGTTTCATTTTGCCCATAGCAAATGTGGATCGTCTGTCATCATTTGAGCTGTGCAGTCCGCTATGAGCAGAGCTGTTGCTGGTTGTCTCTGTCAAATGTGTTGTGTTTACCTGGGTCGTCCTTGGCTTCATCTGCCGTGTTACCAAGCTCAATGTCAAAGTCGATGCCGAGGACGGTGTTATGGCCGTGGTTCCGAGGGACTGAGGAGAGAGGTGAGAGACGGGTTTAGATAAAGGATTAACAAAGTATTATATTTACTCACCGGCATCCCCTCTTGTAGCTATTGTGAGGCTTTGTTTCATTACTCTACATGGACTCGACAAGGATGAATCAATGTCATGGCTTAGTGCCTGCATATCTAGAGCTAAGCACGTTTAATAACACTGCACTGATGGCCACAGAGACCAGGATACATGAGAAAACCTGCAGAAACACCAGAAGTCAAATGTGAATCATAACGAGGAAGAGGGTGATGGTTCAACTGATGCAACGTCTGGGCAAATGTTGCTACTATACAACCTGGAGCTACAGTACAACACACACACACACACACACACACACACACACACACACACACACACACACACACACACACATACATTACACAGCCAGTCCTGAAATAGCCTCTTTCCTTCTCCAATGGGGTCACACTGCCCGAAATACCATAAGCCAAGCTGTCTTATTAAAGGTCAACTGACAAGTGAAGCATAGAAAGTTGTTTCTTTTAGTTTTACAGTGGCAAGCCTATCACAGTGAAAGATGCTTTGGTTCCTTTAATCTATTAGAATTATAATTGTCTATACTGGTTTTTAAAATCCCTTCATGAAGACACTGTTCATGAAGAAAAGTGTAAAAAAAAAAAAAAAAAAAAAAAAATTAATACATCTTCATCTTAATTTAACATTTGCATACTAGCATGCATTGCATTTGCATATGAGAGAGGGGAGTTTTTTCTTATCTGAATTAAGGGTCTAAGGACAGAGGCTGTCGAATGGTGTACAGATTGTAAAGCCCCTTGAGGGAAATTTGCGATTAGTGATCCATAGTGCCACAGTGGCCATATAAATAAAATTGACTTGACCGTTCAAGAATTTAATGAGGAAAATTATCAATAAAACTATTCCCAGCATCCCAGGCGGATTCTTGCTCCTGTGCCATTAATGCGCTGTAACCTGCACTTGAACCGTCAGTCCCCCCAGAGTCCCCGACATGTGCCCCCTCCAGTCAGCCTGAGCACTCTGAGGGCCAATCCCAATGCTGGGTCACAACCACCTGGCAGACTGCGATGTAGTCTGACAGTCGAAGGAATCCGAGAGCGGGGAGGTCACACTCACACCAGGCTCTCCAGCAATCCCAGGCATCCAGGTCTGTGTGTGTGTGTCTGTGTTTGTGTGCGTCGGTGCTTTTAAGGAACGAAACCCCCCCTTGAGTCCTTGTGTCCGGTCGTAGATCAGATATATACAGAGTAAATATGGTGATACACCAATTAAGGGAGCAGTAATTTGAACGGTGACACTGTGACTACAAGTAAAAAATAGCTGTGTTTGATCTTGTCTTTACAGGATAGGAACATTATATAATTAATCAGATTCTGTCAAATAAACTGTAGTTATTTTTGTTTTATTTGCTACTATTTTGATTGTTAAAGGGTCAGTTTAACTTAACGTATTGATCAGAGTTGGGTGATAATTCTCTGCAGGTATGTCATACTGACTGCATTTAAAGATATAAAGACACACTTAACAATTAACAATTACCAACATTTTAATTGGTGCTTCCATTGAAACTATTGAAAATGTAGATTTGATAAATTAAACAGCCATTCATCTTTCCAGAAACAATGTCCTGGTTACTTTGTACGATCCATAGACCTCACTGTCAAAGTAAAAAGTTCAAATAAAAACTTGTCACAGCAATGTCAGTGGATTATCCAGAGTAAGTGGGACACTGTTTCTGCAAGGACAAATTACTTGAGTTTTTCAAATGTATTCCTTTAATGCTTTGAGTAACACAAACACAGTTCCTTTCACCTCCATTGCGTTAGAGGAGAAATTTCAAATATCCCAAAACCTCTGTGCATGGGCAGATACCACAAGAGATAAGATTGTAATTTAGGCGAAGTGACCTTATAAAAATGTATTTGTTCAGCAACTATGCTGAAACACCACATATTTCATCCAAATATGTGGGATGTCAATAAAAGATGCTCAAGGGGGATTTCCTATGTTTTGCCAAAATACTGAGCACTTTGGAGGTTTGGAGATAAATACAACATGCTTCATCATTTTCAATTTTTCGGATTAAGTGTAACTAACTTTTCCTTTGTTGTCAGGATGTTAAATTCTTACATTCACATAATGCTTGTGGGTGAAAACTTTTATTGAGTATTAACAGTGTTGCTTTAAACTTAATGTAAATGCATTTTTTACATGTTGAAAGGATTATATTAGCTACAAAGGAGCATGCCATGTATACTCCTTTGAAGAGAACTATATTTAGATTTTGGGAAAAATGCCTATTCACTGTCTTGTAAGAGTTGTATAGAGAGAGATATTATACCACTCTCATATTAAAAAGGGGGGGAGGGGGGGAGAAGCCTACAAAAAAAAAAAAAATTAAACTAAAAAAACCAAAAAAAAAAAATAACCCCCAATTTAAAATAAAAAAAAAAAAAAAAAAAAAAATTTTAAAAAAAAAAAAAAAAAAAAAAAAATATTAAGGAAAAAGAAAAAAAATTTTTAACCCCCGGGGCCAAAAAAAAAAAAAAAAAAAAAAAAAGAAAGGGAAAAAAAAAAAAAAAAAAAAAAAATTAAAAATTAAAAAATAAAAAAAAAAAAAAAAAAAAAGAAAAAAAAAAAAAAAGAGTGGTATAAATCTTCTCATCTTAGTCTTGGCAAGAAAGAAAGAAAGAAAGAAAGAAAGAAAGAAAGAAAGAAGAAGAAATTGAATTAGTGTATTTTCCAAAATATTGAACTATTCCTTTCACTTTTCCTGAACTAAAAATAAGGTTGGCGGTACAAGGTTTTCACTGGACACAGACAGTGATGTTGATTGCACAGATCCAGACTAAAAGGAAACTACAAAGCTCTGAAAATTGCTTTGACTACAACACACACCTGCATTTGAGGCACAGCTGAGGTGTCTTGCCATGAAGCCCTTACTCATATGATTCCTATTTCCGTCTAATTATTAGAATAATCACTCAGCGCTGTCTCTCCTCCCTCCCTCTCCCATCTTTTTAAAACTATCTTCAGGAAGGTCTGATTTCTAGAACTGCTCTGCCGTGGTGCGAACTATTAGATTGATGTCTCCCTCAAGCAGTGCAGACAGGTGTTAATGTAATCTTCTCTTCCCTCTTTCCTTTTTCTAATTATGTGATGCCATCTGGCAAGGTGAGTACAATGCTGTACTTACTCTGTTGCATCTCACCAGACATTTTCTGTGTCAAAGGAGCTTTTGGTAAACACTGATTTCTGTGTCTGAGTGAGTGAGTGAGTGAGTGAGTAAGCGAGCATTATAATAAAAAATGTGCAGACACTTGTCTATGTATTTAAGTATACATTTTTATAATGTATACATTTTTTTAATACTTTTTTTAAATCGCTGAGTAATTTGCCAAAACAGCTGGGCACTGTAGATTTTAGCAAAGGTTTCTCAAACAGGAGAACCTAGTGTATAGGTTGGGGACAAACTAAGCTGCGCATTAATATGCATTTGGTGCACACTGGTGAGTATTTATGGCACCAAAACTTACATATATGTAAGAGATGACTCAAAATAAACTAAACTTTAATGAGGGAATAATTCTCTACTGCATTTTGTGCATTGAAAGGTAATTTCAATCAGACTACAAAATAGTTTATTTCATCACTAAATCCTTTTGGTATAAAGCCATACTGATTGTTTTAGTACTTTTGTCCTCACCCTAATAAAATGGAGCTGAATGTAATTTTGCTGTCACCCAGTTCGACATGGTGACTCATTGATGTATTCATAAGTTTGTGTACAACAAAGGATGTTTAAATATGTCAGGCCTTGGGTATACAGACAATACTTGTTAGAAGGATCAATTCATTGGTGGTTTTGGTCTTTTCATGGGATTTGTTAAGAATCAGAAAAAATATCCTCATCCTTTAAATACTAATAAAAGGGTTTAGCTGCAGACAATAATCTATTAAATCAAGTGACTTAGACCCTGAACTGAATGTTGTAGGCTTAACAAGTCACTTGGTACAGGGATTATCTCATTAAGAAACAATTCGCCGTTATGAAAAGGTGCATGCATTTAACACTGCGAAAAGAAGGCAGCTGATGATTGCAGTGATTAACTTCTTTGTTAGACCAAAAATAAATAATCTCAACCGCTTCTCTTTGCCACAGTATTTTGAATTAGATTCTATTATTTGGTTTTGATGGAGAATGTCTAAGTAAAACAAAGACTGATGAGGCATTTTGAATGTAATTGGTGTCAAAGATACATGCTTGGCGGTGTGAAAGATAAACAACAGTCTGGCAAAGCAGCAGTTCGTGTTTGTTAATTGAGGCCAAAAAGATAATTACCTGGATAAGAAAATACTTTTACTTTAACACTGACGTTAGTGAGACAAATCTGTCATCTTCTTCAAAAATAGGGCATTATCTCTTCTCAATCTACATATCATAGTGTAATATGAAAGTGGATATAGGTTGATTGCATATTTACTTGAATTGAAATTAACTTAATCATGAATTCTTACAGATGAAAGGGTTAAGTATTACAGCAATGCACAGCACTCCTGTTGCCATATATTGATACAGATACACAGTCTAAACATACATTTTCATTAAAAACTTATTTACAACATATTTCTTGCCAAATGTTCAGTATTATCGTCATGTGGTTAGCTGGCAGATAAACTGTGTACACATGGGTTACAAGTTGCATCCGTATATTCATGTGTTTGAATGCAAAATGAATATGATGATGCACATCATCTGTCAGGTAAACATCACTCCTGATTCCACAGGATGTGACATGTTTTTATAATAAACACAATGTTTCAGGATTCAGATGAAGAAATATGCAAATTAGCTCCAATTTGGTTAGCGGGAACCTGTCAGGGAGCTGATGAAGATGAATTGTTAGACAAATAAGTGCCAAAGTCTGTGACCAAAAGTAAACAAAAGGTTCACTAACTATCAAATATCAAAACAAAATCTGCTAATGTAATAAGTTATTGTGTATTGTGCTTCTGAGCTATTAAAACTGTTCTAACTTATAAGAAAAATGTGTATTTCTATATGTATAATGTGAAAGGTGTCACTCATAGTGATGTACCAGCTACGTGGAGCATTTTAGTGTCTTTTAGCTCATTGTTATGCTTTTATGCCCCACAGCTTCGATGTTTTTTGGTTTTCTCTCACTGCTCTTACCAGCATTGATTCAAGATACAACAGCTGTTACAATGAAAAGGTTTAGGACCAAACAGCAGTCAGTCAAATTTAAAGCCTAGCTGGTGAACAGAGGAACACTAAGCAGCTAGAGAGCTAGATATTTCCCGCAGGAGGTGGCAGAGACCAAAACAGAGCTAAAAGAATAGTGATAATGGGACCTATTTTGTTTGGTGGTCAGAAACATAACTCCAAATAAATGTTGCTCCATATCTCCTGGATGTGTAAATAGGCAACTGTTTGCTAACCTTAACCATAGGTTAGACATAACAACTTTAAAAAGGTAATATGTCAGTGTTGTGATTATAGCTTCAAGTGTTGACCCCATGAGGCCAAAAAATAAACCAATGCAGGTTTAAACGTTTTCTTACATTAATATAATAATTATTTTATATATTCAAGAGACCTACAATATAAAAAAAAAGCTCAATCTTACTGTGGACATCCCCTCTTTGTTTGGTGACCTCCTTCTGGATGGTGTTGTCTACTGGTGTAGCTGCTGGTGGTGTTGGGGCGAGTCTGGTGGGAGCCACTGGCTTTGGTGGGATGTAGGGCTTGCGTGTGGGTGCTAGTGGTTTCCTGGTTGGGACAAAGGGCTTCCGGGTGGGAACTGCTGGTTTGCGCGGAGGAGGGGTGACCCTCTTTGGAGGCAGAGGTGCTTTGGTCGTTGTTGTGGTTGTTGTGAAGAATCTCCTTTGAGTCACTGGTGGGCGGGTGGTGGTCCTCTTCTGATCCATGTCAGGGATGCGGTTGTGATGATTTGGAGGCACTTTGCCTGGTCTCGGGGGGTCAATAACCACCTTAGGAATGGCTGAAATAATAAGAGAATGCAGATGGAGCGCTGAAATATGAGCACTTAAGACTTAATGAGGTGCAGAATTGCAGACTAACTGCAATGATTAGCCTGACTTTTGCAGAGGAGGGCTTTCTTTCATCTACAGAGACTTGATATCTATTAACTAAATGTTAGCATCCTAAAACAAATTGGGTGTCTCAAATCTCACTGAAGCAAAAGCTCAAACTTGCAAGGGAGGCCCATAATATCAGTTGTGCTGCAATTTCACAATGATTCATTTTGGGGCTCTTTTTAAAACAATTCTGGACATATTTTCCTCAATGGGAGTGTTAAAAACGAGAAAGAGGGATGGCTTTGTGGTTACATGACATGTGGTTCCACAAGCTAACCCACAAAGACACCCCACGTTCAGTGAATTTCTGCTTTTGTGAAATCAATATTGTTTTCTGAGGGTGGCTTTTTATCCGTTCATGTGTTCAGCCTGATTAGTAATTCTTTGTGTGCTCATAGCCAGGGGCCTCGCAGCACCAGGCTAAAGCTGCTCTGTGTGTGTGGAATGATCTCAAACAGGCTGCTGTGCCCCGGAGATCACCCTTGTTACACCTCCTTTTCCTTTGTTCCTCCACAAATTCTTCACGTCAGGAGTAGAGACCGAGATTTGGGGGTTGGTGTGATGTGGTGGGGTGGGGTTTCATGAGGGTTTCATGAGTGAGGAATGAGAGAGGACAAAGGCAAGCGGTTTGAACTCAGTTATTGCCTTCTCAGGTTGCAGGCGACTTTGATATGTGACACACAAATAGGATATTGCAACTCGACTCCCAGTAGCCACTTGTGGCTCACACCCTTTGGGCAGGCGACAGGGTGAAGTATTTTCGGTACATTACGCCAGGAGGCATCCTCTCTGCTCTATGGACTGTTACACCAGTGTCTAAGATGATTAAATAACTGTGGAGAATAAATGACTTCACTGAGCTTCTGTAAAAACTGCAGACGCACAGACTAATGAACTGTGTGTCAGCAAGCAAAACTACCAGGGAAAGAAATATATCACTTTTGATGATGACTCCTCGTTTTGGCTGATTAAAATGGCCAGATGTCAAAAAAAGGAGTCAAGGCTCACTCTGGGAGCATGTGATAACAGAGCTGGGTGATTTAAGTAATGACTGACAGCCATTACAAAGAAAGGAATTTCATTCCAGACTGCTTGCAAGGCTATTCCTCTCTCTCTCTTGCCATCCTCCCATTTTTAAGAAACACAGGCAAAGAAAACGTGAGGCCCCTGTCCCTCTTTGCAAAAGTAAGCATCAGGGCCAGGGTTTTGTTCTCAATTCTTACGTTTGCAGTCGTGGCCCATCCCCCTGTAGCCATCTTTGCATTTGCACTTGTATGAACCTGGCGTGTTGTAGCAGGTGGCGAAGCTGCTGCAGTGGCTCTGACCTAAAGAGCACTCATCCACATCTGAAAGATAATGGAAACATAACAACATTCAGCTCCTGGGTGTAAGTGTAAAAAGCTTCAGACATAACAGCTGAATATCAAAGGCTAATTGCTTCACATCCACTTCAAGGAGGGCTCAAAGTTTATGTCATATGTACTGTTAACGAAAGCATTTAAGTGTATAACAGTGATCCCTGTACGAATGCCAGAGCAAAGTGATTATCAAATATCTTTTAAGCATTTTAGAAGCAACTGCCAAGTCTACCTTTTTGTAAAAAAAACCAAAAAACATAAAAGATGAATTAATGCATAAATAAACATGGGAGATGTATTTTCCAGATGCTGCTAAGATTCTAGGTAACCATGTGGCTTCGTATAGAATATTGATTTAATCTTTTAGATGGCAGGTGTTCATAAGTATTGTGTATATCACTGAAGTGCACTGCTGAGGCAAGGTTTAATAATAAGAAACAGAAACAGCAGTGTGGATTAGCTTCACTGTGGTTTGGTGATAATTAAATCATAAGTATTCTGAAAATAAGAGGTTTGTTACATATTTCCTCTGTTCACTACTTCAACTATGGAGTACTTCACAAATGTAAAATAACAGAACCAGTAATCCTACTCCAGGAGACATCCTCAACTGACTTTTTTATTAATCTAATTGGATTTTAAGTACATTTTCAACATCCTTTTAAATGTAGCTGGCATCAGTGGTTGAAAAAGGGCAAACATAGCAGTGCCTCAGTGGGAAAATTCTCCATTACCAGAAAAAGCTTTACTTTATTAGACTTAAATATTATAACATTTACTAAAACATTGCTTCTTTCTGTGTGTTATATATATAATAATAATAATGGGTATATATATATATATATATATATATATATATATATATATATATATATAAACTACTGGATTATTATTACTGATGCATTAACACTGCTGGGTAGATTAATCGATAATATATCATGTTTCATGTGAATTTTTTCTCTGAAATGTAGTGAAGTATAAAAAGCATAGAATCAAAATGCTCAAGGAAAGTACATGTCTGTCAAAATTGTACTTAAGTACAGTACTTGGTTAAATGCATGTTGTTACTGGTTGGTAGTGGGTAGAGTATCTTCTGAAGTTACATGCTTTTAGTACAAAAATCCCTCTTTGTGTTTCCCCAGGCAATGTTTCGTTGCTGAGCTGAAGTTAAGGAGAAAATGAGGGAATTTTGTACTACAAAGGCGGTAATGTTTGAAGAAGCACTTGATGTTCTTGTGTTGTACAGATGAACTGGAATACATTTTTACACAAAACAAGGACTGTAGAATTTCTTCCACATCATCACTTACATTGGAAGTGCATTAGGATGGGATCTTTTAATGACCTGCATGAACATGAGGGATGATTACAGCAATGTGCATTTTTTGTATTTGTACATGTGTGTGTGTTCGTGTTATCTTTTCAACTTGGTCCCTAAGTGTCTGATGTAAAAGCAGCATCTGTATCACTAAAAATAACATGGTAATAAGTCAAAACATCCCACCACATCTGTGACCTTTGTACGTTTTATCTGTAAAAGCCTCACTGCAGAGACCTTGGGACCGTACCTATGCACTGGTATTTCCCATTGATGTATTGCAGGTCAAAGCCTTCATGGCACTTGCAGATGTAGCTACCAAAGGTGTTGATGCATTTCCTGAACCTGGGACACACTGCTATTCCTGCTGCACACTCATCCACATCTTCAAGAGAGAAAAAAAAAGATAACCGTTATTATTACACAGAAGAAAATATTCAAATTGAAACATAATGTATTCATAATTTTTCACTAAAAATTGCTTTTTAGGATTGGTCACATAGTGTACATAATGCATGCAAAATAACACAATGGAATGAAAAACTCCCAAGGTTAAAAAAGACAACTTAATCCAAAACTAAAACAAACATTTCTATTCATACCAAAATACTTTTTTTTTACCTTCCACAGTTAGTATTCATTTATGAACAAAGCACATTATGTATTCTGTTCAGTGAGCAGAATACAATGCACACTACCTTGTTTCATTATTTAAAGACCTATTCTAAGTGTCTCTGTTGATCACCTTTGCAGGCATGTGGCCATTAATATTTAGACACAGAGCAGCTCAAAGCATTTTCCTTAAAATCATTAATTTATTTGCTGCATAATGCAGCTGAGGCACCGCAGTGCTACGGGGACTGTTGTTTAAAAGGACCTTAAAAACAAAGAGACACCTGGACCAGCTGGGAAAACAAGCAAGTGAATTAAGTGGGCAGAGCTCTCTCATCCCTTAACAACCACTGTTGAGGTTCTCATCAGCAAGGCACTTAATCCCAAACTGCTCCAGTGGAGCTGCTTTAATGTCCAACAGTTGAATTATTCAGCTACTGCCAGGGCAGGGGTGAATTATTATGTTTTCATAAAACACACATAAATACAGTAATTGTGTCTTTACACAAAATAGAATATTGCTTACAAATGCTTGTTTTTATGAATGTTTACATCTGGCTTTGACTACAGCTCTGACTTTTCTTTCGAAGTAGCCAGCATCAGTTTAAACCCATATTTACAGTTAGATATATCAGCCACTATTAAGATCAACAATTGTGTTTTGCTTGACAGCGTGTCTGATACATTAAGCAATTTTTCTATGAGAGGCAGCTTGGAAATATGAAGCTGTCTCATACCGAACTTCTGCAACAATGTAAAAACATCAATGCACTTTGTCATTAGTCAGAGTGGTGGTGTGGCAGTTTTGTCACAGTGCAGAAACAAGTCAATATTTCCTTGTAGTTATTTAGTTAAACATCAGGTCCTCTATTTGTCAAACTGTTAAAAGTGTAAGATGAAACAGACATGGCTTCCTTATGAGTTGATTGTAGATGGTGATGATACTGCACAGAGACAGAGGTGAACACACACTTTAGACATGTGTTAGAGTGACTGTGCTAAATCCCGTTGGGCATGAGGAATAATACATTAACTGAAGCAATACTGTATGTATAATTCAGGATGATAGGACGTGTGAAAGGACTACTTTTTATTCTCTTTCCATGCATTTTTATGCTACTGAATTCTTCTTATTACATGATTTATTTGATGTACCTCGTCTAGCAGCAGCAGAATTTATTTCCTGCTCCAGTTTAGTTTTTGTTTCCATTTCTGCTAATTTCCTTTTATTATTTAATACGTCCCTATTTATATATAAATATTGTACAAAAATTTGACTCATTTGATTCATTTTAATTTCACACACTAATGGGTACTGGAACTACTTCACATAAATAAAACAATATTTGAAAAAATAATTTACATATATTTTTTACAGAAAATTAAAAAATGAATAAACGATGTAGGGTAAATCCTTGTCTCTGATTGGCTGGTTCAGCTCAGCTGGAGCAGGCTGGAGATTACAGCGAAACAGCAATCGCAGACTCAAATTCATCCATCATGTGTGCTTCAATAGAAGTGACTCAAAGACAGAGCAAATATGTGTGTGGGCCAGCAATGTAATATGACCATACCCTTACACTTTGCTAAGCAACTTAGAGTCTCATTCTTCACACTCAGCAAAGTATTTTCTTACTCCTAAGCTGGATGTTTATAGCATTCTTAAGAATAATTCCTCAACATTTGATAAATATGGGCCACGGAAAGTTCTAAAGCTAACAAAAATGTGTTGACACATTGGATTTCACAGCATCGTAATGCATAAAAACAGCTCTGCATCTATGCAAACTCGCCCATTTAAAGTTCTGGTTACTGGAATGAATCACCTCCATAAATATGATTAGAAACTCGCCATAAAATTCGCCATAAAACAGAAGCTTCCAGAGGGATCCGGAAACATTCCATTAAACTGTCGTAACACCTGTGGCGGGCAACCTTTCCTTCCCCTCCTCCATCATTTTTCATGATTGATGTCTGTCCTGTTTCAGAAAAAAACGCCCCCTATTAGCCAGCCCGCAGTTAAGTGGGACTATATGGCAGCATGGAACAGTCCAGTCTGGAACAGCCTGCATTTAAACCTGACACAGGTTAACTGCCTCAGCTGGCCCCTTTATGTGTTAGTTACCCATCTGAGGAGCTGTGCCACGTAATGAAAGAAGGAGGGTATGATGGGTGGAGGGTAGGGGAGTGTGGAGGGTCTCCCCTGATCACATTTCTGCTGTAAAGACCGGAGGAAGTAAGTGGAAATAAAATCACTGTTCGGTTGACGAGGACTGTTAAATTGCTGGAGTCCTTGATCAAAGCAAAAATGACGTATTGGTAAATATTCTGGATTAATGTCAGCTTTGCTTGCTAAGAGATCCTAAATTGCATTTTCACTGCCAAGTTTTCTTTCTTGCTCTGCCAAAACAGTTGCATTTGATTATTACTCTGCAAATTTAAAGGCTGAGAAGAACACATAAAAAAATACACAAGTTACACGATTTGCTCATGGAAGGGAGTGGTAACATAAGGCGCAGTTGTCAGGTCTGTCGAGATATATAAAGACTGGGACGTACCAACACAGGTTCTTCCATCCGGAGCCAGCTGTAACCCCGGCGATGGACACTGACATCGGACCTCTCCTTTCAGCACCTCGCAGCCGTACTGGCAGTTGGCCATTCCACAAGTTCGAGCATCTGAGGGACACAAGGGAAACACAACACATATTAACAAGAGAGAGAAAAGTTAATATTGCTCTCGCTCTCACTTTCTTTCCTCTCATATCTACACTTTATCCTTTATCCTCCAGCCACTGCGTTAAGAGCCACTCGCCTGCCTTTTCTCATATTAGCCGAGTTGACCCTGAGGGCCAGACAACAGAACAGCACACACTACCATTATTAGATTCCTGTGCTGCGCAGTCGCTCTGTGGTCACACCTTAGCCCACGCAATCCTCCCTCACCCACTTTCATCCTGTCCTACAACCACAGACTCATAATCCATCTCCGCCCTATTGAAGCGCCAGTGTGCAGCGCCTATGTTGTTGAGCCATGCTGGGCAGATCAAGACCCTCCAAAATAATAATACAATGAAAAAGATTTTGTTCAGCCTCTCAATAACGTCAGACCCTAAAAAGGAAATTAAAAGTGAGGCTCATGCTGCCGCTGCTACTTCATCTGCCGCAGGCACCCTGGAGAACAGTTTGATGACTGAGGCAGGCCAGGCTGATTAAATGCTACAGTGATCTATTGATCAAAGCAGTAGCAGGGGAGAAAAGAAGAGCGGCAAGGTGTTTAACACTATCATACTATCATCACACAACAACACCTACAGTTTGAGATTGCCTCAAGTGGTGAGCAATTCAGACTTTAAAAGGGGGGAAAATGAATTTTCTTTTGATAAAAAAAGAACTAATTAAAATGAGGTACCGGGAGTCACGCCATCCTCGAGTGGAAACGTGAGCAGAAAATAGTTATCAGATGGGAAACAGAATTTACAGGGAGACATGTACAGGCATCAACTCCCATTTTGTGGAATACCTTAGGGCAACCAATAAGAACTGTACATTCACTTGAGGGTCTAAAGATTGTGTTTCTTTCACATTTTTCATTTTCAGTCCTCTTAGGCTTCTTCACAGGGGTTCTTCAGAGTGGAGCGGCTATAATGAAGCAGATCAACACAAGCTTTAATCAAAACAGTCTATCAAAGAACTGTGAGGCTGCTGTCAGAGGTACTCACACGAGTGGGAAAATGTATTTTATAATAGAGAGCATATGTCATCAGCATTGCACAGGCATTCAGATGAATACATTTATAGTGAAGTGAAGGGAAGCTTCACAGAAGCACAACCAGGCTACAAAACAGAAGGGAGATTATGAAAGAAAAACACGAGGAAGAAAGTAGATCAGGGATGAAAATATCCACATTTCAGACAACAATACAAACAATGTGCACAATAATAGAGACGTGTGTGTGTGTGTGTGTGTGTGTGTGTGTGTGTCTGTGTGTGCGTTTGTGAGAGACAGACTCACTTCCACAGGTCCCGTCAGGCATCAGCATGTAGCCGTTGAGGCAGTAGCACTTGTAACTCCCATATGTGTTCATGCACCTGTGTTTACAAGGCCTCGGCTTCAGCCCACACTCATTCAGGTCTGCAGACAGAGAGAGACAGCATAAGTGGACGGAAGGACAGGGAGAGAAAGACCCTCCTGCACAGAGGTGAAATTAGTCAGAGGGCAAAGGTGAAAAGGTCAATCATGTCAAACCTCACCCATCCATTTATATGTGGGGTTGAGGTGTCTGTCTGTGCGTGTGTTAATGTGTGTGTTTTGGAAGGGGTGGGGGTGTCTTCGAGGAAGTGAAGGGTTGCCATGTTCTGACAGGCCTGCAACTTCCCTCTTTGATGGTTTAACAGGAAGCCAGTGTCAACTGTCAACCTGCCCATTACCTGCAAGTGATAAAAGATGCTATTATACCCTCTGACTCACCGCAAGTTCATATGGTTGTAGCTGCACCATCCAGTAGCCTACTCTTTCAAAGATACCTATAATTCCAGTTGTTTTTTACGCATGCATGCATAAAAGTAGAGAAATCTCACCCACAACAGCCCATGAAAATCTTAAAAGAAAATGATGCTGTCTGACTTTGGAGCGGGAAGGGGCTCCTGGGAGAAAGGAATATGCCCTGAGCTCAACACCTGTCAAATCCTTATGCAAATTCAAGTCATTATACTTTTCTCGCAGCAGACATTTTGACTAGTTAAACACAGGTGTAACTAATAACATTATTAATGTCTGCATTCCATTATATGTATTTCAGTTGTTGTGTATGTTGCCTCATGGGAATGATTTACTGACACACCTAAATGGAACAGAGACACCAGTAATGTTATTAGTTACACCTGTGTACTTCCTGCTATGAAAAGTCAAAGTGTCCTCTGTGTGAAGGGTTTAGTAGCTAAATTATATAAATATATTCATGTTTATTTATTTATACTGTAGATTCCACTGAAATCATATTTTAAAGAATGCAACTAAAGTAAAGTGACATTAAAACTGCAACCAAACCACCAAGAGCTAGATTGCTCTTTAGCCTTTTATAATGGCAGACACTTTGATATGTCATGGCAGGAAACACACAGGTGTAACTAATAACATTATCTGTCTTCATTCCACTGTACAATTTTGGTTCCAGGGCCCTGGTGTTGTGCATGTTGTCTCCCTGGGATGACTTTTTGACACTCATAAGTGGAACAGAGACACCATTAATGTTATTAGTTACACATGTACCTGAATTTCCTGCTATGGCAAGCCAAAGTGTCCTTCATTAACAATGCTTATAGTGCCTAAAAGGTCTTATTGTACACTGCACTGAACAATTATTTTAAAGAATGGTACTAGTGACATTCACAGAATCCAAATAGTAGGAAACCGACTAATAAGAGCTTGCTATTTGGACATAGGTCATAGCATTAAATGCACAGGGCTAACTAATAACATAAATGATTTCCACTTAGGTGTTCCAGGTACTGGGCTCACTGGCTTGCCTAAATGGAGCAAAGCCATCAATACTGTTATTAGTTACACCTATGCTTTTTCTGTAATGAGTCCACATTGCCACTGTAAGGGAGGTCCATTGGGCTTGAATTAAAGACACATACATTGATTTAATCATGCTCTACATTAATTTATATTTAAGCTTTAAACTGTAGGAAAAAAAACACCAAAGGGTTATATACCTATATTGCCTTTTTTACAGCTTACACACAGCTGTAACAAATGACATTAGCTAATAAATGTGTGTCTTTCCTCTATGGTTTGCTGCCAGAGGTCTGGTATTGTGCATGGTGGCATACTGGGTCATTTAAATAAAACAAAGCCATCATTAATGGAGTAGTTCAGGTAGGGACAAAGGTTGTTTTATAGTCATGTGTTCTCTTTACTGTCCAATTATCATGTCCACAACAATCCCTTTCATTTAGGTGGTCCATAAAATCTGGCTCGCGTTCATTTATTCTGCCTCCATTGCTCCTACATTACTTGCAATCTACGTGCTATAACTTTCTCTATTTCCCCAGCAGCTTCCAGCATTACTATTAGGCGTGGTTTAAGGAGCAGACTGCGTTCATCTCCTCAGGTTCTGCAGGGGGTTGTGAGCTCAGCGACAGCCTATTCAAGCTTGCTCAATATTTGCTCCAGAGTATCACATGAGCAGACCATGACCAAACATGACCAAAACTAAAATGCCTAATGTTGTAATAAATGGTTAAAACTAAAATGTTACTAGATACCCCTGTGCCTTTCCTATGGCGAGTCAAAATGTCTGCTGCAACAAAGCCAAATATCACTCTAGATGCACATTATTCTTAACAGAATATTGATTATGCTGCCATTAGCCGTGGTGGAGAATAACTAATTACGTTAATTACTGTGACTGTGAATATTTGTTGTGTACTTATATTTGAGTATACTCAAATAATTTATTCAATACGATTCTTTATTCTCTCTTGAGTCATATGAGTAGCCTGGGGTTACGCGGTTCTGATGCAGAGAGGAAGATCTTTTATTTCAATTTGGTTCAATAATTTTTTTCCTCTGAGTGCAATTTTCTCATGGAGAAAATAGTGTCACTTCTCTGAATTGAAGAAGGACTGGATGGTAAGGCATGTTCATACTAAACTGGTTAGATCACCTTCTTCAAGGTCCCAACTTTTGCTCATAACCATTTTTCAGATCTCAGACAAAAACACACTGTTGATGTGTTATCATCAGTTATAACTCTTTTAATGTAAATTTTTCTCTTTAAATTTTGCTGGATCTTTGAAATATTCTTTAAAATAATTAAATAAAGGCTCAGAATGCCTGAAGAATTTAAGGCCACTTTTTCAATACCTTTAGTACAGAAGGGTCAAATCAGTTATTTTTGTATTTAGGTATGGTTTAAATATGTATGGGTGTTGATGGATACACTTTATTTGGATAAATTCACAAATTCTTCTTTTTTTTCCAACCCCCCATCTAAATTTGAGGTCCCTCGGGAGTACCAGACCCAAAAGGGGAAAATCCCACTTGAAACTACATAGGACTCCATCACACTGGAATGATGACACAGGCTCCAAGAAATATAAATAACTTAAACTATGAATATCACGCCATGTTTCCGGGATACAGTAGAAACATCACAAATAGATTTCATCTCACTGTACAGCACATCAGGGGTCGTTTTCATCTTGGCCGACCGCATTGTAAATGGTGCCGTGTTTAGCTCCGTGGACATAGTGTGCATTCTTTGAGTGCCACATACCTCCTACATTTAACAGATACCACATATTAATTTGGATGAATGACGGAGCAGATGTCCCGTCTGTATATCCACAGGCCCTACCTTTCTATTAATGGTAGCTTCTGGCCTACTATAGTCATGTTGGTTGAGTTAATAGATGTGACTGACCATCTGCTTGTTGAATCCAGCCACCAGGCTTTAAGCCATGTTCCATGACAATAATCCTCTGGATGTATAGGGGTCAGTTTGTGAATGCAGTTGTTACACGAGGGCCACTCTAATGAAACATTTATAGCATTACTTTTACTGTGTACAAGAGAAAGTATAAGAAGGAACAGATATTTAGGAGTCACATTAAATACATAATTGTTTTGTTCTCCTAAACATAGATATATGTCAAGCAAGCTAAATCTTATTTGGCTAAAGGTGATTAATATATACGGCCAAAATTCCTAAAACTTGAGATCTGTGTGTTTGCCTAAACCCACACCTTTTTCTTCCGGCATCTGTGCATCCAAAAAAAGGTTCTTTAAGTAGGCAGAAGCTGAGATGCAATGTCATGCCAAAATGAATGCTGAACTTGAACTGCACACAACATAAGGTCTCACTGTCTGACGCAAATTGCACCTGCGACTGTGTTTGCGCTCCTGCTACCATGCCATCCATATGGAGGCCACTGTGTTAAATGATTTGTTCTGTGCTTGTCAGACAAAAGGCATATTTATTTATTCTATTTCAATTTGTAAAGGACTTTATACAATATTAAACATACATTTTACCTTTTAATGTATGGTACCAGAGTTAAACAAAGGCTAATTTGTATCTGCAGCCTCCCGACAGGTCACGACTAAAACCACAATTCATTATTTACAGTCAGAATCCAAACCCTACAACAGTTTCTTTCTCCCACAAGATAATGTCCACAACACTCACATCTGCACACACACACACACACACACACACACACACACACACATGCATCCTCATTCTTCACTTTTTTAATTAGAGGTGTCAACCTTGTTTTCCTCCCTGGTTTTCACAGTAAACAACTGGCATTCTCATTACTGTGATTAGAGAAAACCATAGCAACACTGTCCATTGTCAACGTGGCAGAGGAACAGGTCTCCACTTGCCTGTTGCGCTGAAAAAGAAAAACAGCTTAAAAATGTAAATGAGGGATTATTGAAATGGTCACATTCTCAGACAGAGGCAGCTCTGTGAGCATCAGCACATGCCAGACACAAGACACAGCCAGGACCTCCTCTATGTAGGAAAAAACAGACAAGACACAGAGAGGACACAAAAGACAAGACTGAGAGAGGACACAGTGAAAAACTGAGAGATAACAGACAGACATGACCACTGATTGACAGTTCGACAGGACCAGGACTGCAGAAACCTGGGCGATAGCTGAGGTGGAGAGCCCCTCTGGGGCATTCACTGTATGGTAAATGAACTGCTAAGACTCATCTGAAGCGATGCAAAGTGGAGTGATTTATTGGGTCAGCTCCACCGAGGTATGCTATGCTACATTCCCGACACGCCTCTATCAGTGACAGAGAGATTAGCTGGGGCTCTTTCTTGGGGATATGCGTTTTTCTAAAGAAGATAACACTTGGTTAGAACTTGAGGCCTTGTGCTTGCAGCGATGGAGGAGTCATGAGTGCTGAGTCCATGTCGAAGATGGTTTTAAAGGGAAGGAGGAGCTCTTTGTTCCCGGTGTTCCAAAAACTGGAGAGGAAAATGAGAGAGAAGACGGGGGAAGAGCAATAAGGAAAAATCACGGTGGCTCTTTAGTACTGAGACACTGATTTTTGGGGTAGAGAGTGAAAGAAAGAGAGTCAGCTGTAGAGTGGTAAAGACTGTGACA